AAGATCAGTAGCAACAGAGGAGAGAAAATCTGGCAAAGTAGAGTTAGGGAATGAGAGCGGAATCGAGCCATTTCTTGGAGACAGAAGGGGCTTGGGAGAATACAACATAGCCATAAAACCCTTTAAATAGTCTGAAACTTGATTTTGAGGTGAAACAATTTACGTACGTATGATCACTGTTTCATTCTTATGATTCCGAAAGCAAGCTCATTACGACAACTTGAACTTTTTTAATAATCTAATCGTTCTAACCGCTTCAGGAATAAATGGCCTGCAAGTTTTCATGATCCAAAGGGAAGCGAAGATTATTATCTTATAAAGGTACGAATCATATATATAATTATAATATAACAAGATAAAAAAAACTGAAGAAGAAATGTTTATGTAGATGTTTACGTGTAAAGCCTATCTCAATGATATATAACATAATGAATTTTTAGAAGATATAAGTAAAAAGTCCCAGAGCGTGGATACTCATTTCATCGCAAGTAAATGAAATTTAGGTAAAAATTATAGTGAATCGTAATATTTTTCAAGCACAAAATGATATTATACATAAATTATCAGTTAACATGATAAAGTAGACTTATTGTTCTTTCTTTTATTTTTGAAACAAAACTTTTAGTACAAATGATTTAAATTTGCGAAATGATAATAGTGCAAATCTTGTAGCTTGCCTTAAGCTTTATGCATGTAATGTTGTGAGCCAAATGCCCTTATGTCAATGAGCGTATGTCTTCAATCAATTTCTCAAGGTTGCAATAAGAAGATCCACCTTCCTTGACATCATCATGGAACTTTTCTTGTAATCTCTTCCCATTGATTTCATCCATCAAATCTCTCACCATTTTCTCAATCATTGATCCATCACATGTATCTTTCATGTCCAGACCGATTTTCCAGACATCACTCGCGAACCTACTGTTGATTTTTTGGTCAGCAATTACAGGCCAACAAATCATGGGTACTCCTGTATAGATACTTTCCAAGGTTGAGTTCCATCCGCTATGGGTTAAGAACACACAGATAGCTAGATGGGCCGAGACCTCTTCTCGAGGAGCCCAACTTGCTATCAATCCTTTATTATCTGCCATCATGTCACTCAGCTCCCCTAGGATCAGGCTTGGGTCAGTCTCTCCTGTAATTGAGTCTGGCCGAATGACCCACAAAAATGGTTTACTACTATTCACCAGGCCATGTCCAAACTCAAGCACTTTGTCTCGTGTCAGGCCTATTACACTCCCAAAGCTAACAAAAACAACTGATCTCGACGGCTGGGAATCAAGCCAAGCCATGCAACCTCTTTTCTTCTTTCCATAGGATACTTTTGCTTGATGATGCTGAAGTTGCTAGGTCCTTAATGCGAGTATTTGAGAGACCATCTAAAGGACCGACACCGTAGATTTTGGTAAAAATATAACCGAGTTTAGTTATCATGGGTGCTTCAAGTCCGTCGCAAGTATTGATTATCATAGCAAACGCTCGTGGCATGACTATGGTTTGGTCGTTGATAAAGAATTCCAAGCCTGGATCATCCGCTCTCTGAATCCTGAAAATTCCTGGAAGATCTCGACGTCTAACAGCATTCTCCAATCCTGGAATGCAAGTGACTGGCTTGTCCATGTCTTTATCTGCAATAGCAAATAGGTTTCATGGGAGTTCGAAATGAAATGAGTTATCTATGATAACTGTAATAAATTCCCAGCAAATGTAGGAAAGATAAGGGAGCTTTGATATTAGTTTGCAGCTTCAAAAATTATCAGCCTTAAAATCTAAATGATTTCACATAATAAAGCTGATCATAGAAGTTAAAACCATAGGGGCAAATTTTCCAAGGTAAATGTAATGGAATCATAGTAAAAGAAGAGTACTAGTTGTTTTAATATGAATCAGTGAACGCAAACTAATCATTGGAGAAAATCAATCCAAAACTTAAATAAGAAATCCACTCAGAAAATAACTAGATAAAACTGTATATATCAAGGATATATATATCAGCCACAAAACAGATCTGAACTTCTGATCAAGAGATCAATAGAGCAAAACATCAGTTAATTCATCATCCATAAATTATTTATAATATGTATAATATGTGAGAATTGCGAGTGACTGCTTTTGTATGAAGATTTGATCCAACTAACCTTGTAGTACTGGAACATCTCCTTCTTCAATGAGCTTGGGTAGATGAAAGTAAGTCCAGATGCAACAAACACTCGATGTTCGGAAAGCGAAAACTGGAATCTGGAATTCCTCTGCTACATCAATAACAGAAGAAGACAACAGCCCATCTTCTATTATGCACGTAGCAGGCTGCCACCGTCCGTTTTTCTTGCAAAGCGAAATCAAATGCTCACGGAGCTCGGGCTTGATCACAGGAGCTGTAGACAATAACACTTCGGTAATACTCATTTGCCCCGAGCGTGGATGATCACGTGGTGGACCATCTGGGATCGTCAAGAACTGAAATTCAGGGTGGCATGCCAGCATGTCGGCGGAGAGGAGGCGTTCGTGGATGTGTTGAGTGTTTATGAAGGTGACTTGGAAACCGGCATGGCTGAGAAGCTCTGCAAGGTAAAGCATAGGCTTGATGTGGCCAAGTGCAGGGATGGGCAAGAAGACTACGTGGGCCACTTGGGGTTCTGGTTGTTCCATTTTTATTGTTTGAAGTAATTTGCTTTAGCTCTGGGTTCTGATCTGCAAAGTGATTTAATTAATTTGCTTCAAACAATCGTTAAGGAGATTCATAGATAACTGGTTCTCGATTGTCGCAGCATGTGCATGATTTAGTTTGATTTTAGCTTTGTGGCAGGCGAGAGCAGAGAGGCCAACTTTCATTTGCCACCACGAGTGCTGCTGGGTTGTTTGCCTTGCTAAGCAATAATTTCTACTTCCCTATTTATCTCTCAATTTGAGCACAATGGCAATCGAGAAAAAGAAGGAGAATCTTTTCTTTACCATTAAATTAATGGCGTTTTTTTTCTTTATTTAAATTAAGCTTTTGACCAAATGTGTTTGTAGATTCTTCAAATTTTGACAGCTAAAATTTTGACTGCTAGACAGAGCACGAGTTTGATGGTGCCGGTGAAAGAATTCTGAAGAATAAAACGTGCGGGCAGCTGCCCCACCTACCGGCTCCATTATCTTGGAAAAAATGAATAATAATGCTGGGTAGGCATTTGGTTTATGACAACAGTCGGCTTTCTCATTTATCTCATGACAACAATTGCAGGACATAAGCTTATCCACGGACAGGCTGAGGGCCTGTTTCACATGATAAATGTGTTAGGTTGGGCTTTGCTTATAAATCAGTCTGAATCAAATTTGAGAACCCAAAAAATGGAACATTTCTCGGTATCCGGCAATGCTCAAAAGAGACAGATCAAGCCTAGGTGGTTTGGTGATAGCCTGCCAATAGTTGCAATGGATGTTATATCCTTCGGATTCTTTTTTAATTTATAAAAGTTGATATTATTATAATGGATTTCGTTGGCCCAGTTGCAAAAATAGTTGGAAAAACTACAAGCCCAAAAATTATCCAAGTTAGATTTATTATTTATTATCACATTTTTTTTAATTATAAATATAAAAAAATTATAATCATAATTAATTATTAAATCAATATATTATGAATAGTAAATTAATAAACAAAAATACAACTAAACAATCAAAGTTACACAAAATAAGATTTTAATCTAAAACTTCAAAATTCTAAAACATCTTCTTTACCATTAAATCAATATATTATAAATAAAAATTATCATTTCTAATTTTTTTTAAAATTATAAGTAAAGTTATAATCACAACTTAAATCTCATTCGTTAACACTATAGCAAAATCTAAACAATACAATTATAGAAAATGAAAGGAGAAGAAGAATCAAATCTTTTTCCCTTTTTTTTCCCCTTTATGGAGAATTAACCATTCCATAAGTAACGTTTTGGCTTGTAGAATCCTTTAACCCCAACAAAGAAATGCAATAATAATGGCAACAAAAATGAAAGGTAGATTTCCAAATCAGTAAGGCACAAAAGATGTAAAATTTTGGTTTTGGCAAACCACAATCAAGAACAAGAAGAACTCAGAATAAACATTTTCAACTTTAAATCTTTAATAAAGTGTGTGTTTAAATCGCCCACAAATGCTTTTTTGACATTAAAGCTCCATGTTTGAATGCATGCGAAGATTGGAATATGGCAATCCCAAAACCAAGATTCCCATTTTAATATATATATATATACATATAATGTAAGTCCAAGAATTTCCCCCATAATTTTTGTGGGGCTGAGCTTGTCTTTGCCTTTTTTGAAAAAAATAATATGGTTAGTAGGCCTTCGTTGAAAAAATTCGGTCATTTAATATTATTTTTAGGTCTTATCTTAACTTTTTTTTTTTTAAATCAGCAAATTACAAAAAACATTGTAAATTTTCAAAGTTAAAATCTATTTAGTTTTAGTTTAGAAAATGCTTTTTATTTTAATTTTTATACTGTTAAATATATTGAATAAGATAAAATAGCTAATTAAATTTAGAAAAAATAAAAAAGAGTTTCAACATGTAATTAAAAAATTAAAAAATCAGACAAATTTATTTATTTCATTAAATCGTACACTATAAATGTAAAAAATGGAGAATAATTTTTAAGCTAAAAGGAGTCCAACTTATTAATAAAAGTCCCAATTTTCTTGTTTTTTTGTAAAAAAAAAAAAGAAAGGTACAACGTAATTTAAGGGTAGATAAGAATGAGATGATGATAAAAATCTGAACTTTATAGAAGACAGAAAAGACAAATATTAAAGTCAATAATCCAACATACCACGAAGGGGAAGAGTCCGCCAATATAGACCCTAGGCGGTGGCCCGTGGGTCCCACACCCTTCATCGGGATTCACTCCACGTGAAGAATCAATCAAAGAAAAAAAAAGAAATGGTCTTCAAAGTCCACAAGTAGCGGGCCCCACATATCTATCCAAATCACATCACCCGCCTCTTTGCTTGCCCCCCCGCTGTTAACCGTCCGATCTTAGTATATAACGCCAACGTCTCACGATCTACCCTTTCACTCTCCAACAAAAAAAAAAAAAAAAGGCGCGTTTTTTTTCTCTGTCACTCGATTGTTTATTTCCTTGCGCTCGGGATTTTCGCCGACTTACTTCTCTCTGTAACCGGGATCTTCTTCGAGATCGGCGATTTTTTCGAGATTTACGTCGTTTTCTTCGACCTGCATTGCCGTCGTTTCTAGCTGGTAATGGACGATTCTCTCTCTTTGTTTTCTTGATTAATTTCGCTTTGCGTTTCTCCGTTTTTCTTGTTGGCTAATTAATGGTCTGTTTGATAGCCGAGAAACAAGAAAGAAAATAAAGAATACTAAAGAAATAGTTTTGTTTAAGTTTCTTTCTTTTTTATTCGTTTTCTTTGAGCTGAATTTTGTAAGAGTGAAAGAAACGATGCTTGCTGCCAAGTGCAAGCTGTTAACTTCATCTCAAGAGTGGAAAAATGTGAAATTTATTTCTTGTTTCTCGTGCATTTTCCGTAATTTTCTCAGCTTCCAAACGGAGGCTGGATTCGATGATTCTTGATTAAGATTCTTTGTGGATCTGACAGATTCTTTTGTTTTGGACTTCAATCAAATGCAGCAGATTGAGTTTGATTATGCAAAATGCATTTTTTTATCAGAGCTTTATATTATCTGTAGGTTAAAATAGAGAAAACAAAGCGTTGCTAATAGTTTAGAATCTTTCTTGTGTCTTTTCTATGTACTATAGCATTTTTTAACCTAGAGATTGACTTTCGCTTGAATGGGAAGAAAAGATTACAACTTTGGGACCTTTTTCAATGGTAAATGACTGTGATTGCTAATGAGATTAGTATAACAAAAGAAAGAAAAAAAAATCAAATGATTTGTTGGGGAATCACTGAAGTCATTGCCGTAGATTCCAATCACTGAAGTAATAGTAGTCCTTTCTAATGTTACTTTTGCAATCTTTAAATGGAATTTTGTTTTTCTGTCTTAGTTCCTTTGATTTTGCGTTTATTTGTTTTGCCAGAGGGATAGGGACCTATATATATGGGCAGAAAAAAAATGATGAGCTGGGATTTGTTTGACTCTGGATGTTTAGGATAAGTCTTTTGCTGCATTTGTTTACTGCAGATGATTAGCACAAGTTTTTGTTCAAATAGGTTTGGGGGAGGAAAGTTGACATGTTTTCTTAATTTGACTTTAATTTAGTATATTATGTTATATATCGCACTCGCTACAAACCAGGTTACCCTATCAAATTGATAAACTGCTTATCGGAGAACTTCTCTCTGTTTGCGCTCTTGCAGCTAAGATTTCTTGTAAAGCACAAAAATTCATTTCATAGAAGAAAAGCTAATGATCATTTAGAACCTTTGAGGGACATGGGATTTGGTTCAGAGTCAAAAAGGAGTTCAAACCCGCCGCAAAACTCGAAGATAGTGAAGGAGAAAGCTCAGTTGTGTCAAGCAAACCTGAGGTTAAAGAATGAAGGCAAGTTAAAAGTAAAGAACGGTATTGCTTTGCCACATGGTAATCTGCCAGGTGAACTAGGAAAAAATAAAATTCATAGCACCTTGGTCCAAACAAAATTCTTAGGGTATTGCCAGGGTCAGCCACTCAAGGGCAAGCCAACAAAAGAGGATGAGCTTGTCAGGTACATGTCAAACTTGCCGGGTTACCTACAGCGTGTGAACAGTGGAGAAAACTTTCAAGAGAAGGCATTGAATGTTGGAGTTCTGGACTGGGCACGTCTAGAAAAATGGAAGTACAACCGAAAGCGTATCCCGACATTAACGGGCAATGATGTATCATCCACAAGCAGCATTTCATCATTGAAAACAAATTCCAAGTCATCTGCCCTTTCTAGGGCAGTTCCCAAGGATGGTTCTGCCAACAAAAGCAAGGAACGCTCTTCAACTTGCTCCAATCTTAACTCATCTCACAAGGATGGCCTTCCTCGAGGTGCAAAACTATCTACTCAGAGGGTTAGACACTTTCAAGGTATTGAAACTGCTTCCAAGAGCACCTTGGATCAGCAGAGGAAGACATCCAAGACTTACAAATCCTTTGGGAAACATTATCCAGATGTAATTCTTGGGAAGGGGAAGAAAAAGGAATTAGATCAGAAAATCACTTCAGAAATGGGAAATATGTCATCAAACATGAGAAACCATGGGGTCTCAACTCTGCTAAAGGAAACTGCAAGTGTTTGTAATGGTGGAACAAAAAACAGAGTAGATCAAAGGCAGGAAATTGATGTAAATAAAAAGGATTTGGATCAGAAGAATACACCAGATGTGGAGGCGTCTTCATCCAAATCAAGAAACTATGCAGTTTCACTGGGTTCTAGGAAAACGTTGAGTGCTGAGAGTGACAAAACTAAGAAGAAAGAGACCCAGGAATCAGAAATTGATCTTGCTCATCAATGTTCTCCTGGTGAGCGCAAGAATGTTGTTGTTCTTCTACCAAGATCTACCCGAAATAGCATTTTTGAAGAACCCCGAGAATTATTGGATGGGATTTCGAATGAAGCAAGCTGGAATAGTTTTTCATATGACTTCCTTCAGAAGGTTCGCTTTGGGAAATTATGTTCTGAAGCACCTAATTCTTGTCCGTTGCCTTCGGGGGTTGAGACGAATTCTGAAACTGACATGATGGCACAGGGTCTGGAGCCTTCATCCGATGCATCTCATGGATCTGCATGCTCAAATAAGCCAGGAAATATAAGATCTCAAGGCAAGTCCTCAGCAGAGAGCAGGATAAAATCTCAGGATGCTGATGTTGAAACTTTAAAGATACTGGAAGAAGTAATGGCTGAACTGGGAACCAGAAAAAGCAGAATTACTTCACCAAATCGCCGTTTTAGTTTCAGCTTAAGTCGAATGGGTAGAAGTTTAAGTTTTAAGGAAGGTTCTGCTGTCCCACAGTTGAGCTCCACTTATGTTTCTGTCAAATCTGGTCCTGTGAGATCTGATTCTTGTGGTTTTTTGGATGATGTGAACAAAGAGAAGGTGAATGGCCATAACAGAACTAGGTCCAGCCCCTTAAGAAGGATGCTAGACCCACTACTGAAGTCCAAGGGCTTTAATTCTTTTCGTTACACTGACACTGTTCAGCCATCAAAAGGGAGCTTGAATTCCTCTACCGCAAGGCCAGTTAATGCTAATGAATTCCTTCAGGAAGAAAAGGTTGAGCCATCAATGACTCAAGCTCTTCTACAGGTTACAATGAAGAATGGACTGCCATTGTTCAGATTTGTTGTTGACAATGGCAGTAACATGCTGGCAACTAGCATGAAAAGCCTACCATCAGCTGCTCAGGGCGGACCTGATTACATATTCTCTTCTGTTTGTGAAATTAAGAAGAAGAGTGGCAGGTGGATAAGCCAAGGAAACAAGGAAAAAAATTGTGGCTACATCTATAATATTATCGGACAAATGAAGATTTCCAACTCTCCTATTTCAGACTTGACTGCACAGGACTGTTGTAATCAATATTTGGTAAGAGAATCTGTTCTGTTTGGTGTGGACCAAAGACAAGCGGATCAAGCATCGGCAAAGTTTACACCAAATACAGAGCTTGCTGCTGTTGTCTTCAAAATGCCTGGTGAAAGCACTGATATACAGCAGGGTGATAAAGACATAATGAAGAAGGGCTTTACAGAATGTTTGGCTATGGATGGATGCTCTTGCAACTCAATAGAAAATGCAAATAGTACTACTGTCATCCTTCCTGGTGGTGTCCACAGTTTGCCAAACAAAGGAATACCTTCCCCATTGATTGATCGATGGAAATCTGGTGGATTATGTGACTGTGGAGGTTGGGATGTTGGTTGCAAATTAAGTATTCTCGCTGACCAGAACAGCAAATTACGTAAGATTTCAAGTACATGTCAAGGATGCCTTGAACTGTATGCCCAGGTATCCTCTTTTCTTTTTTAATACCTTTTAGTTCTCTTCTTTATTTTAATGTTGTCAGGATATCTGAATTTGTTCTTGTTTTTACTTCATGCAGGGAGAAGCACAAGAGAACAGGCCTATATTCAGCGTGATTCCCAATAAGAGTGGAATCTACGCAATTGAGTTCTGTTCATCAATCACTGCATTACAAGCCTTCTTTATTTCTGTAACAGCTATATGCTTCCAGAAATCCTCTGATCTGCCAGAATTCACTTACCTGCCTGAAGTAAAAGTTAAAAAGGAGACCATGGTGAATGGCAGCGTCGGAATGGAGAACAAACCAACCATTGTTCTTGGAGCCGTGCCTGCAAAATATGCTCCTAACCCTCCTCATTCCCCTGTTGGCAGGGTGTAGTTTCAAACGTGGAACCTTCTTTGCTTTTCAGGTGTAGTTCTCAAGTCTCTAAGGGTACCAAAATGGGAAGGCAGGTTGACAATCAACCATTCCTGACGCATACAGGGAATCGGGGTGTAGGCTTGTTAGACATGGTTAATCATCTTGATTTTGTAAGAGGTGCACAACATTACCAACAGATCACTTGTATAGAAGAAATAATATTGACAATTCAATATACCACTTGCTGTTTTAATCAAGTGAGTTTTTGTGTAAAGTCAAGAACAATAAACTCCTTAAGCTGTCTCCAACCAAAGTACCAGTGAATCATAGAATTCAGAACATGGTCCATATTAACTGAACAACGAGCAGCGAAGCAGCAGAGATTTAAAGAAAGAAACAAGGGAAGGTTGACAAAAGACAAAGTTAAAAGCCCTTTCTAGTGCAAAACGCAGTGATACAAACATCATAGACCATTAATCCTCTCAAACACAGTTGTCACAAACTGTCGCCCCAACCCAACTGCTACCTTTTGTCATGACGAATTCCATGCATGTAACATACCCAAAATCTCCTTTAACATGAACTAGAACATTTTTCAGCTCTATTCATAGTTCTTCCTACAATTTCGCAGCTTTCCATTACAAAATCATAAGCAAACATCCCATTTGCCCATGGGTACACACGACATACATCATCTCCTTTGCCCCAAGGCAGTGCATGGTGGCTAGCTAGATCTCTGCGCCTGAAATCATCATATAAATGAGAATTTGCTGCCAATACTGTAGCCTCCTTACTATCCTCATGGAGGAGTCGAAGGTCATCCCTGATTTTTGCTGCTTCGGCATAGTTCTCTTCTTCAATGGCAATCTGTAGCCAAAGGGTTTTGCTTTGTCCGGAAGCAGAAACAAAGATTCGGGTGGTGAGGGCATTTCGGGTAAAATAAAAGAAAAAGGTTATGGGCTCAAAAGTCCACTTGAACTTAAACTCGTACATGGCCTCCATCGAAAGTTCATAACTTAGATAAGTTATGGGTCTGACTGCAGATCAAACTTTTGGATTTACTTATTTGAAGAAGCCCACTTTGAAAACCTCAGCCATACCAATATTCCAAGAAGTTTCCTAAGCTGTAACAATCTCACAAATAACTCCAACATATTTCTCACTTCGAAAACTACAACATCAATATCTTTTTAAGTAATTTCACCTGTGTTTTTTTCGGCCAATATGTTTTCAATCATGCCATTGACGGCAAAAAAAGAAAAAAGGCAAATGCACTAATAATTCTAGTAGCCTTTTTGTCTGAGCTCTAGAATTCGAACTATAACAAATCGTGATGTTATTTGAAAGCAACATTAGTGTTTCTTCCTTTTAGTTCGTCGACAACATTTTATTTTAAATTGAATAATAATGATCAAAACAATAAGAATATGATACAGTGGAAGCAGCCTGACAAAAAATTTTAAAAAATTCAATTACTATTTCTCAAGAAAATTTGGAAAAATATCAAAAGATTGGTGCTGGAATTGAAGTATTGAATAAGTCGTATATTTTCAAGGGAAAGAAATTTCCTGATCTACTTACACCTTTACTACCTTATTACATACAGACTTTGAAGTTAAGTTTCTAAGATTTTTGACCCATATATTACAATAAATAAAATATTTAGTTGAATAATATAATTTTTTAATTACTACTTATAGGCATCCATTAATCAGAAGTAAGATGAAAATTATGCGGCTCGAGTTTTAGGAAAGATTAACCCTACCCACCTAGCAATGAACCCAAGAACCATAAAATAAAATAAAGAAAAGAAAGAAAAGCATGCTGACATTTGTGTTAGGTATTTGAAAGGAGCTGCACATGCACTGGTATTTGGTACCACACACAGAAACTGAAGCAACAAACAAACTAGCCACCCAGCAAAGTAAGGCCTCAATTGGAGTTTCCAGGGTCCCCCTGGGCTAACCATGATGCTTCTCTGCAGCCTTTTTAATTTTGAAAAAAATGCTTTAAAAGGCTAGTTTAGGCTTGGTGGGTTAATCGTGGGTGCAATTTTAGCTTTGGGTTTTTAGTCCTAGGCGTTTCCATCAATGGAACCTTAGCATTCCATTGACTATCGAGGAGAAGTAGCGTTCAAGATTCAATTCTTATCAAGTTTTTTATTAATTTATTTATTGATTCAAGCGATAATTCGTATATTTCCATGAAATTCATTCTGTGTTCAAAACTAGACCTGATTCGGTGTAACTTGCTCTAAAAAGTTGATTTGTTTCGAAATTTGTTGTTAATGTGCTTCGTATGTGAGAGAGTGGGGTGACAAATAGACAAGTCGCCATCACGTTTCAAGAAAGCCGCCTTGGCGGTTTCATGTCCCTTCCCTTCTTCTGAATTTGATTTTTCAAAAAATCCCACAACGGAACAGAACAGAACAGGACATGCCAGGGCAACATCATCAACCAACTCTCCCTCCCTTGTCGATTGATTCACGCTTTTCGTTTCAGCGTTTTCGATCGCCTTGTGACATTTTGCCCCAAAGATATCCCACCTTGATATTGGGGAAGAGAACGGTCGGCCCGTCGGCAATAACGACCATTGACTATTGACTCGTTGAAATCCACGTCCAAACGCACTCCTTGTTCTTTGCCACTACGATGAAATCTGCTTGCTTTTGCTTTCTGATTTAATTTATCGTAGCAAATCAAATACTTGTTCATTCCTTGCTTTTTTATTCTAATTGCCGTAACTGCCCTTAACCGTCACCAACTACCTTCCCAATCTTTTACTTTTGCCCAATTCTTTTCCTAATATATACTAATAGGGAATTAAATTCGAATTATCATGTTCTAATACAAAAAAAAAAGTAATGATTAAGAAATATAGTGATTATTAATATAATAGATAATAATTATAATCAAATATTAGTTAAATTTCATAACAATATCAATGAATTAAATCAAACAAATAATTGAATATAAAACCAAATAAATTTAACATAAAATTAAATTAAATTCACATATTATGCCGTTAAAATGTTTAAACAATTGAAATAAAGGTGTAAATGATACATTAGTATTCGCAAGTTATTCGGGTTCGATTCGAATAAAATTTGAATTCGATTCGATTATCATCAAGTCAAGCTCGAACTTAAGTAACTCGATTCATCGATCGAACCGAATTCGAGTATTCTTATACTCAATTCGATTAACTCGCGAGCCTAATCGAACTTTTATGTTTAAATTTTTATTATTATTTTAATTAATAAAATATCTCGAATTTGAGCTCAAACTTAAGTACAAATAATCGAACTCTTGTTGAGTATAATAATTGAGCTTATTTTTATATATTTTCGAATTTAATCGAACGAGTTCGAGTAGCTCGAATTCAATCATGAATTGAACTCGAACTAAAAAAATGAAACTCGATCGAATTTGAACCAAGTATCGAACCGTGAGTTGAGAGTTAAACTTGAACTCAAACTTCTTACTGTATCAACTCGATTTACCTTAATTACACCCCTATATTGAAGTACCTTAAATCATTTTTTTTTTTTTTTTTACAAAAAAAAAAAGGTGCATGAAATTTCAAATCTTTTCCCTCCCTGTATTTATATTTTCTATGAGATTTTTTTTTTTTTTTTGGGTACCACAAGCATGAAATATTTGTTTTAAACTATTCATAATAATTGATTCACTTTTTCACTTTCTACTTGCAATACGGTAGCATGGGCCGATGAGGGAAAATTATTGATGAGCCTATAAAAAAGGAAAAACAACTTTTTTGTTAGTACCCAAAAGAATAAATAATTTCCCACATATTAAATGACGGAAAAAAGGTTTCACCTAAGTGACCTAAAGAGCAATTGTAACTTTATAAATGATTGAAAAAAAAAAATTCCTACTTGAAGAAATGCTTTTAACTGTATATTTTATTGGTAGAAACTAAACCCTCATGTTACTTACATCATTATTTTTTCCATCCTATAAATTGCACTATAATAGTAAACTCAATTGATTGAGAGTACATTTGAAAGCTCGATCATAAGATTTTCATCGTATAAAAAAAAATATTTTTTTTATAATTGAAGCTCCAATCAAATTTTTAATAGAATTACGAGTGTTATTCCAAATTATATTACAAAATCGTTGATTCAATTTTATTTTTATGTAATGATAGTGGCAACTTTCTTAAATTATTTGCCATTTCACAACAAATACTTGAAAGAGTCATCTTTCTAAATAAAAAAAACTAAAGATGTTTTGGAATTAAATCACATTAATTTAAGGTCCCTTGCTTAAACATTTAATTGGAGTTGTTGATATTATAATTTAATACATTGACAACGTACAACTTTACATAAAATAATAGTAATAGTAACACTCAAAACATTTAACTCTTATGCATATTTATTTTAATTAAAAAGTTGAATTCCAAATTATCATATTTGTGATGTATAAAATAATAATTTAACGTCACATTCTTATCAATAAATGTCATTTTAATATAGTAAGTTTTTAAAATTGTAATTAGTTGATAACAATAATATTTAAAAAAATTATTTTATATTTACTTGTGCATCCCCAGTTGTGCATCCCCAGTTGCACTCAATAGTTATGTGTTAAGTAACTTGGTTATTAAGTAGTAATATTATTAACAATTTTTTATTATATTTATAATTAGTAGTAGTACAAATAACATGTGACATTGGGTAGAAAGGTTAAGCAAGCGATGACAAATGGACAGACATACTGGCAAATAAGAGCTCTGCGTTTAATTATAATTTGCACATGAACCGAACTGACGACAGAAAAGAAATTAGCCCATCAATCAATCTGACAGCATTGAACATTCCATTTCCCACTTGGCCCCTCAACTTCTAATCTATTTCACTTAATCACCCCTTATTCTCCCTTTTATCTTTTAATATAAATTATTTAAATTTTAAATTAAATAAAATGTATTATATTTAATAATTTAAAAATAATAATTAAATATCATGTATTCAAAATAATTTTAATAAAAAATTATCAGCCGAACTTAAAATTTTCAACTACGTTTTTGCCTCAAAAGCTTTTCAAAATTTGAAAATCTAACCGAGGTAGGAAAACAAAGACTGATTCTCGGAAGCCGAGACGCCAGTGACTATCTCACCCACCACCACAGAGGACATTTTGGTAAATATACTGCAATGGACTTGATAAAGTCATTAAAAAATATATATTCACACCGGAATTGCAGGCCGAGGACGGAGGACACTGGACATGGACATTGACATGAAAAGAAATAAAACTTTACCGCCAAACCAAACTTCCGTAGGTTAAAGTAAAAAATTTTTTTACCGTCCTTTTGTTTCGATCTTAATAAAATAAAAAGTAGATTCAAGAAGGGGAATTTTTTAACCGTTAATTAATTAAATTAATGTTAAAAGTAACTAGGGAATTACCGTTTCCCGAGTCTCTGTCTCTTTCACTTTCGCAGTAATAATAGTAATTGGTTGCGGCGAAGTTTATTATTTATTATTTATTTCTCTTTTTCTTTTGGGGGTAGTTTTTTTTCAAAATAAAGAGTGAAAAGGGCGTCTTTATAATTTTCTTTTCGGCTCATTGTCGCAATTCTCAACTGTCTCTCACGTGTTCAACTCGCGTTTTTAAGCAGAGAAAATCTGCGAATAATAGCCAAAAAAAAAAAGAAAAACCGGAGAAATAGACCGAGAAACAGAATCTCAGAGGCTTTTCTTTTCTTTTCCTTTTATTTTTATTTAAAAAAAAAACAAAATTTTCTTCATTTATATCGACGAGGAAGAAGCCTTAATTCAACCCTTTACCCTCATTCATTTAATTTTCTTCCTTGTTTCGCGATCTTGATCGTGGATCGTCAGTCCTTTGATCGCTTAAGGAATCGATTAGGTGGCGGCGTTTCCAGTTGTGGTGGATTTGAAGTTGGTTATTGGAGGAAGGGAAGAGAAGCATAAATAAATTTCGATAAATTTTATTTATTATTATTGTTATTATTTTTTTTTTGAGGTTACGGTTTGGTAAAAGGGAAATTTGCTGAAGATTGAGCGGTTTCTAATTTTAATGATGTTGACCTTAACTGGTGGGTTTTGAAGTACTATGGAACTGGTCGTTTCACGACAACAAGATGACGCTTTACATTGGTCGCGAAGCTTCAAAGGTGTTTGTTATTGTTCTTTGTATACGAGAAATGGAAATTATAAAGGATTTTAATTTCATGTTTGGGTTTATTTTTGGGTTTGTAGTTATGGAAGAGAATTTGTGCAGAGACAACTACAGAGATCAACCTTCTTCTAGACAACTGGAAATACGTTCTTGCCGGTCTCATTTTCCAGGTTTCATTTTGTTTTTTATTTTTATTCTAATTAAACCCATTTTTATTTTCAATATCTATTTCGTTTTAATAGTTTCGAACGTTGATTTCTTCCTAAAAGCTTTTTTTTTTTTTAAAATAGAGATGCTTGTTTAGATGAAAAATTTGGGATCTGGTGCACTGTAATGATCGTGGTTTCTTTTACTTGTAACTTACAGAAATGAAGCTTATGCTTTTAGCATAAGATAAATCTCTATCATGGTTCATACAGATGACATTGCTTTAGCAATGAAAAGTTTGACCTAAATGGATGTCATTGCCGATTGTTTAAGCTTTAGTATGTTACATTTTATTGTTTCTCAAAATATTTTTTTTGGGTTTAGTGGTTTTGTCGTCCAACATTCAAGTATGATTAATTTATAGTCATTTTATAATTAGAACATGTAGTTGGCCGTGGCTTTTTGTTTTGGGTCTGAAATGTGCATTTCCTCTCTGTAGTACATTCATGGTCTAGCTGCCCGAGGAGTTCATTATCTACACCGGCCAGGCCCAACACTTCAGGATCTTGGATTCATTCTTCTTCCAGTAAGAACAAGTTTCTTCTGTTTTTTCTCTTTGCTTATCTGTTTGGTGAAATGTGTTCTTATAGTTAATTTTCTGGTAAATTTAGGAGCTTGGACAAGATAAAGCCTACATCAGTGAGATGGTGTTCACCTTTGTGTTTTTATCATTTGTCTTGGTAAAGTTATTCTGATGTTGTTATCTTTTTATTTTACTCCCTTCTCTATCGATAATTTCATTGATTAGTTTTATTCAGTTCTCACATTTGTAGTACATGGTATTGCAGTTCTCTTTTGTCAGTTCTATTAGCATCTTTTATGTATCTAATTCTAACATGGGAATTGCTACTTGCAGTGGACTTTCCATCCTTTCATCTTCAAGAGCAAAAAGATCTACACGGTTCTAGTTTGGTGCAGGGTGCTAGCATTTTTAGTTGTGAGTGATGATGCTTAATCTGTATTTTTATTCTGATTATATAGGCACCCAACATAGGGCCTTGTTCTAGGACTAGTTTTTAGGTTCTTCCTTCTGTCATATTACGCCAATGTATGTTACCTTCGTTAAGTGAGAATCAACTGAAACATTGTTCGATTCTCCTATCAATTGTTAGATGAATTATTGTCCTTGTTCTCTTGCTAGTAATTTATTGAGCTGCTAATTCAATTTGGTAAGCTCATCCAACCCTGGTGCTATAGCAATCAAAGATTCAAGTGAGCTCATTTTGGCTCAAATAGTATATCAATTACAAAAAGGCAGATGATTTTTCCTTTCCCCCCTTTTTTCTTTGTAACCAAAGGTGTCTATACTTTGAAGTATCATTCTCTTCAATAACCTGTCAAATTAAAACTGAACTCAATGCTGAAGTTGTTCATCTACCTTTACTAATTTGATGAATCTTGATAAATGATGAAACCTTAAGCATTTCCTCAGTGTTTTGTTTACAGTTGTTTGTTTTCTTTGTTGCAGGCTTCTCAGATTCTCCGAATCATCACATTCTATTCAACTCAGCTTCCTGGTCCAAATTATCATTGCCGAGAGGTATAGTCTTGAAATTATGTTTGTACTTGCTCTCAACTTTATGTTTACTTTATGAAATGTCTTCTTTTAATAAATTTTTTTCTGCATTGAACATTTGTTCTTTGGGGGTTAATGTAAGAATTGAAAATTGATTTTAAGATCATTTTAGTAAATAGCTTGTGTTTTTTGCAGGGCTCGAAGCTTGCCAGGTTGCCAAAACCAGATAATGTGCTAGAAGTCCTCTTAATTAATTGTATATATTCTTATTTTATTAAAAATTTCAATTTATTGCTTTTAAAGATATAGATATGTTTTTTTTTTATTAAGTATTTTGACTCATTTGCTTGTCACATTTGCAGTTCCTCGAGGTGTAATATATGGTTGTGGTGACTTGATTTTTTCATCACACATGATCTTCACCCTGGTATTTGTGCTCACCTATCAGAAATATGGCACACGAAGGTAAAACATGGCTTATTCTTCTTATGTACTTGTTTTTAGTCATTAGCCCCAAAGACAAAGGGAAAAGAATAAAGGAAATGTAACTATTGGGAACATCAAGAGTTATTATGTCTAGTTCCATTCTTACAACACTTCTGATTCGCAATAGCAAAATGTTTTGATCAGGTTGTATCCTAAGTATGTTTGATTAGTTTTCTTGTATGGAATCAATGGGCTATACATTTTAGCTTGCTTTATTGACATGCAATGAGTAGACAAACTGATTGGTTTCTGGTGGTATCGTTGTATAATTGCAGGTGTATAAAGCAGTTTGCTTGGTTGGTAGCTATTATTCAAAGTCTATTGATTGTAGCATCCCGCAAACATTACACGGTTGATGTTGTTGTTGCATGGTATGAAGTATACTTTCGAAATTTCTATTTATAATTCAAATTTTATTTTTTCAATTTAGTTTGACATTAGTATGATTTTTCTGCAGGTATACTGTTAATTTAGTGGTATTCTTCATAGACAAGAAACTGCCTGGTTAGAATGTTTTGATCTTATCTAACTTTGGTTTAACATTATTTTTAATTCTTTCACCATTTGTCGGGACGTAACCTTTGGCACTGTTTTTTAAGTTCTAACACTAAGATATTACCGCAGAATTGCCTGACAGAACCAGTGGAAGTTCACCTCTGTTGCTACCATTGAGCACCAAAGACAAGGATAGCAAGACCAAAGAAGAGAATCACAAGCTCTTGAATGGGAATTCTGTAGACCCTGCAGATTGGGTATAGTAATTTTATTCGTAAATTCTTTTCCTCTGTCAATATCTTCATGGTGATATCCAATTTAGATTGGCATTTATGTTTTTTTTTTCTCTAATGTCTTTAGAGGCCGAGAACTCAAGTTAATGGCAAGATTCTGGAAGATGCCAATGGAATACATGTCGATACTGCAATGAATGGTGCATAGATGATGGAAGCTGCTGCTATCACTGTAACGGGGCTGCTTGAATCCTTATGATCTTGGATTAAGGCTTAGCTACTTCCAAGACTGGTAAATTTGTATTCTTAAGAAAACAGAACTTGAGTGGTGCACTTGCACATTGTGCAGTCCTCCCGTGTCTTGGTTAAAATCATCAGCATCAAAATGTATCATGGAATTTTCCAAGTTCCTATTGCAGCTGTCATTTTCTTTCTCATGTTGATAGCACCCTCATTTACTGTAGCTGTTGGAATACTGATCTTTCTCTCAACAATGTCGAATGGTGAAACATATAGTTGTTAAGCCTCTCAATGCCGAAGCCATTGAGATAAATTACTTTTTAAGTGACTGTTAAATCTTTATATTTCATTCCAAGGCAGGATTGCAGGTGAGGACTTGAATCATGATAGAACCGAATACCCAACTAAAAGCTGTAAGACAATGAAAAGTTGAACGATTCAGAATTTAGAGTACTAAAAGGGGTAGTATCTGTGGCCCCTTGACGTTCATGTGATTGCGCTAGCCAAGACAGGCCTTAAAAACTATGATTCCTGCAACTAAATGGCCGATGGTGAGTTGGCAGGAGGGAGCAGAGCACATGACATTCCATTTCTTTATTGTTGCATGTGCTGGTGATGTAAGCTAATGCGTATTTTCTATATGTCCTGCGCCAGTTGTCTACAATTCTTCCCTCCCTCTTTTATACGTTTGAAAGGCGCAATAACGTGCAGTAAAGTCTCTTTTTCCTTCCCTTAATAACTAAGCCAGGCTGCTTCATCTTTCATGCCCCATTAGGAAACCATTTTTCTTAAATTGTTCCAATTATACTTTCAGCAATATTTAACTACTGCACATTTCAGCCAACATATGGGCCTTAATTATTCTCCTTCATACTGGGAAATTCATTATTCAAGTACGAACTAGGGAGGGACCGATGCGTGTCGATATGATTTCAAATTGGAAAGATCATGTGGATGTGAATGGGATACAATACATGAAGATTGTTGACTACTAAAACCATTGTCCATGCTCTTTTGAAAAAATGAGCTTTAATGTCACAAACTCTGTCAGAACATGGTATAATTTGAATAGGATCCTTCTAATCCTATCTCTAACATCATTGGAAAGGATTTAAACAAAAGAAGGGTATATACCCTTCTATCTTTATATTCTTTATTATATTTGAATGATCATTTTGTTGCGTATCCATGGTAAAATTTCACGGATATGGGCTGTTTAACAGCTAGTCCTGCTTGCCCATGTGGGCTCTCTTTGGAGTGTGCTAGTGTCGACAACTTGACAGCAGAGGCCCCATACCTCTTCGGCGATCTTGTAAGCAAGGGTAAGTGCTTGATGCCCCACCTGTAGGGGATGACCAGAAAGGCGATGCTGGCGCAATTTAAGCTGTGAAAGTTGGTCAATAAAGAGAAGAGTGGGAGAACAATGGGAGAACAATGGCATGTCTGATTGAGAGGCTGTGGTCTGAGAGAAAGAAGCTGCAAATTCCATCATTGTTGCATGTCTGAATAGCTACCGTTTTCTCCTTTCGAATGCCCTCCCTTTTTTTTTCCCAGGTGAAAAGCCAAAAAGGGGTCCTCTTGAACCAGAAGTGGGTGGTTGTACTAATTATGTCACCACCTGTCAGACATGGACTCTCTTGATTCCCTTGTTTTTGTTATTCCTTGTTGGATAGTGTGACCAGGGCATGCTTAAATTGCAACAGGGACTTTTAATGTTTTTGTTATATCTGATTTCTTGGGGTCCATTAAATATACTTGTAATGGATTTTTCGTATCTTTTTTATCAGTGACCACTTGTTAAATATGCTGTAAACAGATAGAAATTCTGAAATTCTAACTTCCAATTCATTCTAATAACTTCAGAAACAGGCATAGGAAAGGCATTTGCTCAATTTGTACACAACTTTTAATGTTCCAATCCTAAGGAAAAGAGTGCAGTAGTGATAAGACTGATAGTTTCTTTCGTTTCGTGGGTTAGTCAAAGCTCTTTGAAATTATATATGCTTTATAGGTAAGTTATAACCTTTAATATAAATCTCTTTCAAAAAGCCATCTACCTTTTCTTCCATTGATTAAGGTTTCTTGGATTGACAGTAATTGAATTCCATCCTGTTTATAAGAAATAAAAAATTTTTTTTTTTGATGAGTCAAACGCCAACTTGCTCACTTTCCCACCATTTCCTACAGTCTTCTACATATGCTTCTCAACTCAATCATCGTTGAAGCCTATAATTTCAATTTTTTCTTAAAAAAAAACTTTTATTCTATATATGTTTTTTTTAACGACAAGTAACATTAATCTTTACCGGATGATCATTCTCATTGTCATAAAACACGATTCTTGTTTCATGGTGAATTTGTCAAGAACATAATATAACACAAGTGAAAGTCCAAAATTTCAGGGCGTAATGTAACACAAGTGATAGTGATACTTAGTAAAGACAATCAAATTCTTAATACAACTTTACCAAATGTAAGACCAAACTCACACACAATAGCATAAATCTGCTTTCCTCGTCATTGAATTGTTTGACTTTTGACCAAACCAAACACTATACCACGATCATGATACCTTCAGAGGACAAATATAGACCCTCAAACCTTAACATATTTTCCAAAAAACCACCCAGAACCAGAAAGTTGAAAAGAGAATGGAAGAGGGAAAAGGAAATCAAATGATGAATTTGTAGGAAAAGCTGAAACCCAAAATTAAAAGAAAGAGTTTTTTTCTTTTCATTGGTTGGATAAATACTTAAATTTCCACAAATTCTAAGTCATAAATTTCGCATTTTTATTGCAAAGAGAGGGAAAAAGTACTAAAGCTGAACCAAAAAAAAGAGAGACTTTGGATTGACGACGATCAGAGATCGGGATTGTAGCGGCTATGTACGGTCTCTGATCATTTGATTTACGGTTGAATATCCGTCATTTGATCGTTTGAGTCGAAAAAATGGGAGCCCGTTGTTCTAAATTCTCTATTTGCTGGTTTCAGTCTCACCTTAAAGCTTCCGTCATTGAATCCTCCGAACTCGGTAATCTTGTCTTGTGGCCTCTGTTGCCCTTTCTCTGTTTAAAAAATCTGTCCTTTTTTGTTTTGGGTTTGAGTAATTACGTAATTTAATGCAGAGAACGGAGGCAAAGGTGAGAAGAACACACGGCCGAGTTTCAGTGAGTTTAGCTTGGAGCAATTGAAAGCTGCCACGTGTGGGTTCTCTTCCGATAACATAGTGTCGGAACACGGTGAAAAAGCTCCCAATGTTGTTTATAAAGGGAAGCTCGATAATGACCGTTGGGTGGCCGTTAAACGGTTTAACAAGTTCGCCTGGCCCGATTCTCGTCAATTCCTCGTCCGTTTAATTCAATCCCAAATTTTCATTTTGTTTTTGTTAAACTTGCTTTTGTTTAAAAAGGGTTGGTAAAGATTATATTGAAATGTGTTTTAGGAGGAAGCAAGAGCTGTTGGGAGATTAAGGAGTGAGCGGTTGGCAAATCTGATTGGTTGTTGTTGTGAAGGCGAGGAGAGATTGTTGGTCGCCGAGTTTATGCCCAATGAAACGCTGGCTAAGCATCTTTTTCACTGTAAGTTACCGCCTTTTTGTTTTCCACTGTGAAAATGATAGCTCAGTCTAGCCTCAAAGTGAAGAAAGTTACTGGGTTTGAATTGTCAGGGGAAAATCAGCCAATGAAATGGGCAATGAGATTGAGGGTGGCACTGTACTTGACGCAAGCTTTGGATTATTGTAGCAGTAAAGGAAGAGCTTTGTACCATGATCTCAATGCTTACAGGATTTTGTTCGACAACGTAAAATTAATGAAGATTTTGCTTGGGAAATGACCCTTTTAGCCTTCTTGGTTTTGATTCTGAACTGGGTTTTATGTGACAGGATGGTAATCCCAGGCTGTCTTGCTTTGGGCTCATGAAGAATAGCAGAGATGGCAAGAGTTATAGTACAAACTTGGCTTTCACACCTCCTGAATACCTGAGAACAGGTAAAATATGTTCAAACGATACATTTGTTCCGAATTCTAAGAAATCCATTACTTTGAATCTCAATTCTCAACTCAAAGATGTGCTTTCTTTGGCAGGTAGAGTGACGCCAGAAAGTGTTGTGTATAGCTTTGGAACCTTGCTGCTAGATCTTATGAGTGGCAAACATATTCCTCCTAGCCATGTAAATTCTCTTTGTCTAATTATAATTTCCATTGCAATTAGGATGCTGTCTAAACTCTAACGTTACTGAAGTTTTCTTTGCAAGAGAAATCTTGGTCATGTGAACTTAATAATTAGTGTTGCCTTCATATTTTGAATCTGGATGTACCAATAATTGGTTGAAAAAAATCTGTATTTACTGTTATTTCTGCTGTATGATTTGATTTCTCAAGGATCTAGCATGCTGGAGTAATTTCATGAGATGATGTAGTTTTAATGATCATTGGTAAAACTTTTGATGGTCTAAAAATTTGTCAAAAGAAAATGTGATGCTGACATTTGGATGCTGTCGACTTTAGTGTATCTGAGTTGAATTAATCCACGGTATTTAAGTGTCTGTATGCCTTGTTTGTAGGCACTTGACTTGATTCGCGGCAAGAATTTTCTCATGTTAATGGATTCTGCTTTGGAGGGCCATTTCTCTAATGATGATGGAACAGAGTTAGTGAGGTTAGCTTCTCGTTGTTTGCAGTATGAAGCTCGTGAGAGGCCAAATACGAAGTCCCTTGTCATATCTCTCATGTCACTTCAGAAGGAACCAGAGGTACACATAACTGCTGATTGAATTGACTACTGCAAGTTCATATTCTCAAGCTGTTGTTATGTGTAGTTTGGTATCTTCCCAACTTTTGAACTTTCTCTCATAGACCATTTATTAATTTCAAGGACATAATCCTATTTTGCACCCACATACATTTCTTCTCCATGTCCTTCATTATTTTGGATTATCTTTCGGAAACACCATTAAATTTCTCATTAAATGGAGTTTTGCTAGGTATCATCATATGTTTTGATGGGTATTCCACAAGGAACTGCTTCTTCAAAACAGCCATTGTCATTGACACCTTTTGGAGAGGCTTGCTTGAGGATGGATCTAACTGCTATACATGAAATATTGGAGAAGATGGGATACAAAGATGATGAGGGGATTGCTAATGAGGTTCGCTACTCCATCCTTGATGTTCAATATTTAGGAGGTGTGAAATAACCAATTTACTGCAAAATGTTTCACTGCAAAGACTCAATTCGTACCCAATTATTTGATCAAATCCATATTTTGTGGCTTAAGGAGCAAAGGATAATTGTCTGTCTATTATTTTGCAGCCTGTTAATGCTACTTCAGCTATCACGTATTTTGTATCTAATTGATTTTGCATTTTTTTTCTGGTGCCTTTCAGCTTTCTTTTCAAATGTGGACCAGCCAAATGCAGGATACGTTGAATTCTAAGAAACATGGAGATACTGCTTTTCGAGCTAAGGATTTTGCTAGTGCAATTGATTGCTACACACAGGTGAGTTTCCCATGTGCAAATCTACACCGCTTGTGATTCCTGCAGTATAGCGTACTGAACTCAAACCCAAGACTGTCTATATGCCTGCTTATTGAAATAACAGACACCATGTTGCACAAGCAGGGAAACAAGAAAATATATGGACAGGACAGCACTAGCTAAAATCAACATATTAAGAAAGAAATGATAGAGGCCGCATATATTGTTGCTGGAAAACAACAGAGGTTTGGGTGGGTGAAGCACTTGGTTTATGCTTTCGAAAAAGAAAAAGGAAAGTTTTTTACGAGTTTGTGTAAACTTGTTTGGTTTGCCACATGTGCATCACCAAATTTTCTTCTGAAAATTTATTGCTAGTAGGCATTGAACTGAACTCATTAATGTAATACCATTTTCGAGTCGACCACTTGAGCATTAATAAGCCATACAGGAACGATATTTGACGGTTTAAAACAGCAGGATATATACACTAAAAGATCTTGTCTGTCTCTGTAGTTCATTGATGGGGGGACCATGGTTTCACCAACCGTCTATGCCAGGCGCTGCTTGTCTTACTTGATGAATGATAGGCCACAAGAGGCCCTTGGGGATGCTATGCAAGCCCAGGCGGTGTCCCCTGAGTGGTCCACTGCTTTGTATCTACAAGCGACTTGCCTGTTTAGCCTAGGGATGGAAAGTGACGCCCTAGAAACGCTCAAAGATGGAACCAACTTGGAAGCCAAAAGGAGCAAAAACTGAAAATTGTATAGCTTTTCAAATTGTTTTATTTTTTCTCCCATAGTTTTCTTTAGGCCCTTGTATTTATTCCTTATTTTCCATCTTTTTATCACTCCGGGCTATGGCTGCCTTCCAGAATTCTTCAATATTTATAGTTGGTTTTCATATTTCAAGTTTGTACTGGGGTCTGTTGGAGACTGAGCATCATACAGAAGGATGTACTCTGGCTGAAACGATTAGAAACTTTGGTTTGTTCGACCCTCAAAGTGAGTATGAAGCTACCCCTTTAGCATCAGTTCCGGTGCCTGGGTCGTTGATCCTGAAGATTGCTTTTTTCAGCTTTTATTGGGCAACTATTAATACAAAACTCAATTGTTGCATATTTGCAGTATTACTTTGAGTGCCAGAAGTCACGAACGTAAGCAACTAAGGATTGGCCAAACCCTTCACCAATCACGAGTCCATGACCTGACTCCTGAATTGGCCGGTAAAAGATAGATTTTTCTTCTGGCATTTCTTAGCAATTTCGATTCATTTTACCCCCTAGACAACAATTTTTGCAATGACCAAAATTGTCCGGACCTCATAGTAGACAAGGAGAAGATGTGATGTGAAAGAAATTAGAAAAAAAAAAAAAAAAAAGAGCTGCTAAACTGGTTCTACTAACTATGACTATGAGCCTGTGAGTCTTTGACAACCAGCTAATGCTACAGCAAGTCAAGATGGTTAGGTTCTGTAAGACAACTACTTCAATACTCTTGATGGCAGCAATTTTAAATAACTTTCTGCCAAGTGAAAAAAAAATTCCCACCAAATAAATACTTTTCAAGGTATTTTCCTGAAATCAGACCAAGGAGAAAATGCATCTTGTCGACAATAGAGCTACTACGATTGTACAGACCAAAAGCATGGTAAAGCAAGACACAGCTTTGATAATTATGATGAATGTGCATATATTAGATATAACAAACTTTCTACATGTATGACAAAGAAGAGGGGTGTATAAAATACCTATTAACCATCACAAGACTGTAGACTATTCCATTACTCGTCATGACAGCAACAAATTTTCTCCAGGTTCCTTTACAGTATTATGGGTTCTTATTTTCATTCCTTCAATTTTGTTCAGGAACTGTGCTACAGAGTTTTAGGATGATGGCATATTGAAGTGAAAGAGCCATGATATGACAAATGCAAATACCATGCAAGCAAGGAGAAAATTGAGGAAGCGATGGCCATGCCAGAAGCTTCGAGAGTCTGTATGGGATGTTGGTCCTGAGACTGCAGCTGTTGCCGTGGAACTGTTGGTCTCATTTGATTGCTCTGTTGACTCAATTTCATTCACTCCAACTACATTGCGTGCAATAGAATGACAAATCTCACAGGTTCTAAAAAAATTAAGCAGACCGAGTGAGTATAGGGAGAGGTATGATAAATCACAAAAGAAAAAAATTATCACTATTGTGGTAATTCAGTATGAGGAGGAGCTAATACACCATTGAACACAAGGATAATAGTTAATGATGTTCAATGAGTAATGGACCATGCAGCATTATAGTTCATAGATTTAATGTTGCAATATACAATAATTACACCCTGTGTTTCAGTTAAAAGTTAAAGCTAAAGCTCCCACTTATGTAGCATTGAATATATTACACTTGAATAAAAGGATCTATTTATCACAAAAACTATCATTATCTTCATTTTACATTATGAATCATGCTCATCCGTGATGATAACAATTTTATGCATGGTTTCAACAATTGCACATTAACTCAAATATCATAGCAGGCATTCTTCACCAATTCCAAATGTAAGTCTCTCTTCGCATATGTCTTTTAATGTCATATGGAAGGTATAAAGATGGATACCTTGTAAATTCTTAGCCAAAACTAGTAAATTTAATTAATGTGGCCTTCCATTTGGCTTTCAAGTCAGAAATAAGTTAGAGGATCAGTACAATGGTGTTGTATTGGGAGCATGATCATATCAATTGTTAGACAGTTTCAAATCCTATCTGATCAATTATGCAGGTCAATGATGTGGGCTAATCAACCACTTAACCGGAATTTTAGATGGTGCAATAGCTTAGCAAACACCATTAGCTTAATTGTGGATTGCCGTTTCACCAAAATATGACACCAATCCAGATATGAGTGAATTGCAGAACATGCCAAAGCAAAATCTGCCAAAAAGTTTAGAATCACAGCTAGAATCAGGGAACTCATCTCACCAATGGTTTCGTATCTAAAAATTCAGTAATCCATAATCATATCAAGTAAGAAATCTAGAATTAGTAACTGCGAATCAAACAATTCCAAAGTGGCGCACCAGCAAGCAATGATCTTCAACTAAAGACTAGAGAATGCATCAATAATGGTCAAATCCCCACATTCCTACAAGGAAAGAGAAACAGAAGGAAAAGATAGAGAGATTCCTAACCCTCCAAAAAGCACATAGCAGCAAAGAATTGTCGGTGTGGTTAGACAAATAATGAGTAGTTCTTAATGCTTAAGCCTTTAGCTTACTTTAATTTCTATCAACCTCCTTTATAAATGTAACATCCATCCCACTTTCTTTCCCATTAAGCAAATTTCTCTTTTTCACATGCATCTTTTCACCATATGACTTAATTTAACCAGGATTGTAAAACCAACACTATCAAGAAAGAATAATCCCAAGTCTAAGCAATCATCAAAAGAACAATAAATATAAATTACAATCATGATCCATGAAAATATAGTTTTTACTAAAAAAAAATTCCTTAAAAATCTGTACTAGACATAAATTTAATATTGTTAAGAACTTACCATTTCGACATCTAGAATTTTATCCAGAAGCCAAAAGCGAACTTAAAATTGAACCAAGAAAAAGGGCTACAATTCTTTTACTTACTTATTTCCTCTGATCTTAAACCATGCCTCAGCACACTGTTTATGAGCAGCAGCAAGATCATCCTTACAAGAACAACCCAATTCAATAGGAACACCTGATTCATGACTGTTACTTTCCAAACCCAAATGACAAATTCTACAATCTTTCTCAACTTTCGCCAAATGCACCTTAATTTCAGGAACTCCACTCTGAATCTCCACCTCCACTGAACAATCCGAGACTGAAGACACCCTCCTGGAATCCGACACGTCACCAATCTCTCCATCAGAAGCGCAAGCAAAACTGTACTCATCGTACGAACCACCTGTAGTGGAATAAAACTGAGAGTAGCAAGAACCCTCTTCGGCACTGACGTCACTCCCATTCCGGCGGCGAGTTCCTTGCTCTAAATCGATATGGGACATCTCCAATGGTGACATTTTGAAAAGACCCAGAAGCTGAAACTTGGAGCTAAGGCTCTGTAATGAGCATTAACTGGCTCAAAGTTTCAAGGTTTGAGGATCAATACTCAATAGGCTCAAAGTTCAAGCTTTGAGTGGGTTTTGAACAAAGTTGGGATAAAATGTGAGAATTTGAAGAAGGTACTATCGGATTAGGTGACCATGTACCTTCATTAACCTTTCACTAACCAAGAAAATTTATAAAATGGAAAAAAATTGGAACACCCAAAAACAAGGAGTGAGCCAAAAAACCAAAAGGTAAAAGCATGGCAAGATTTACAGTGTTAGGTCTTCATACTTAAAGAAAAATGAAAAAAAAAAAAAAAGAACAGAGAGAGAGACAGAAAGGGAAGCTTAAAGAGAAGAGGTGTTTAAAGACAAAGGACTCATGCCATGCTAGAAGTGTTGAGACTAAGACACGCACTGCAATAAGAACAGAAACGTGCAGTGAGTGCACAGAGAACTGAGAAGAGATCTCTTTTCTGTTCTTTACATTATTAGACAATTAAAAAAAATAGGAGAAAGACAGAGAAACAAAGTTGTTGGAAGATTTAGTGTTCATATTGATACTTTGGGATCTTTGTCTGAGGCAGATTCTGTTCGTCGATGGTGGTATCAATTTAGTGATGTGCGAATCCGTAATATAATCGGACGGTTGATATTAAATTTACACATACTCCTTCGAAGAGCACGTTCTTTTCACGACACAAGAACCTTCCTCCCATGTTTCCAGTCGTGTTCTTTTTGAGTTCTTCCCTAACCCTGTTTGTATTTTCTCCTTTTATTAGCTGAGACTAATGGGATAATGATATCGTACTTAATTTTCATGACCTATGAAGGTTTCCTTTCGCGACAACAAAAAAAAAAAGTGAAATTTTGAGTCTTAACAAATTACATGTCGGAAACAGCCTCCTTTTATCTTTTAGCCTGGAAGTTACTCAATAAGAAGACAGATTTATCCTCCGGTTTTAGCCGAATGGGATTGGAATGATGGAAAATGGAGGATAGAATCAAGGGTAGTTTTGTCAGTGAAATATTGAAGCTGGCCTTGTCGGATTTTAGCTTGTCTTTAATTAAATTATTTATATAAGCTAAAAGCTTTCAGTTAACCGATACACTAATCTATACGCTAAGCCAAGCCCTTCTTTCATTTATTTATTTTAGAAAGAAACCGCAAGACAGAGATAATTATTCAATGCATCGCAGCCTCATCTTCTTAAGTTACTATTGGTTCTTAATCAGCCTCGTAATAATTAATCATAAGTTTTTTACTTATCCATCGATTCTCAGTTTACATGTTAATTGTAAGTAAGTTATTTCGATTAATTGAAGTGAATTGGATTCGATATGATAATCAGATTTTTATAATCACCTGTTAATCAATCGGATCGTTGATAAATATCATACTGGTCCGATTGACTCAAGTTGTATGCATCGATTGGACCTAACTTGGATAAGAGATCACATGAGGTAAGGGAACGAAGAGATGATGAAGTGATGTATCAGAGGGTAGAGTAGGGCACTGTTCATGAAGAGTAATCAAGAAGCGAACCATGTGATTAAAGTTGGAAGCGGTTTGACCGGAGGTGGACCACCTCAACGAGAAAGAAAATTCCAAACGAAAGAGTTGATGCTAGGGCCTATGAGTCCAACTTTTTTTTTTTTGAGATATGTTATAATAAGGCCAACTCCTGAACGTAATGACAAATAGTATAAAGATGGGATTAATAATCGGCTGTCGAGAACGGAGTCAATGGGGTAGGCAGCATCACGATCCTCCCTAAATTTTTTTACATTATTCTAAATTTATTATTAAATTTACAAAAATTAATATACGTTCTCTTTTTTTCAATTCAATTTATTATTTGATCCTTTTTAATTATTATCTGATTTTATCTCTATTAACAGTTTGCTTATATATACACATGAATGTATTTATCTTTTTTTTTCTTTTTTTTTTTAATTCTATTTATTTATATAATTATTATTCAATTGAAGTTGTATATTTTTATTACATTGTAGTTGAATTGAATACTGAACATTTGGCTAGCTATGCCTATACTCCATTAATTTACAAATTAACTAATATAATTGCGGGGAAGGTGAAATTACTTTGAGGTCAGCACTGCACTGGTAATTTGAAATTCAACTTTCTTTGAGACCAAAAGGATTTTCGAAAATCCCTTCAAAATGGACCATTGCCTGCCTTGTCCATGGCCACATGTTTATTTCGCAAAATGCTTAGGACTGCATTTCTTCTTTTTCTTTTTGGTTTCATTAATACTTTTAATAAAGGTTAAATATGAAAATAATTTTTGTACTATAAATATTTTTTTATTAATTTGATATTTAAACAAATAAAATTATTAATTTAATATTATAACTTTCATTTTGTTTTTCATTTTAATATCTTAACTAACATTCGTTAGTCAAATATTACCTGTATATTACTGACATTATAACACATTTAGTCAATGTTATATCATTAATCATTTCATTACCACTAAAAGAAAATTCAAAATTTTAAAAAAAAAAAAATTCAAAAAAAATTATGAAAGATTTTTAAAATTATTTGCAATGTAAGAACCATAAACAGATAAGCACGAAAATTATTTGTAACTAGCAACCCAAAAAAGAAGAAAAACCGTTTTGGATCGCTTTCAAGCGTCAAAGGTGGAACCATTCGCCCACCGGCCGATAATCCGCAATTCCCACTTCCTACCAAGAACTAAGGCGGAGCAACCAACCCCTTTTGTTCTCTTTTTTGCCATAGTAATTTTTAAGCCCATTTTTGTTGAATCTGTCATCTTTGTTTTCCTAATATTCCCTACCCAAAAGAGCTGTTAAAATAAGACAAGCATATCAATTAACAACATGCCAAGAATTCTCCATTGTCTGTAGAAACTGAAATACCCTCAATCTTAAAATATATATATATATATATATATCTTGAGTTTGATTATCGTTTTTTTATAAAGGAGGTTGCATTATGAAGCGTTAGGTCTAGTGAAAATTTCCAGGGTTGGGTCTCTAACTTGGATAAATATTCAATTCTTCCTGGTTAAACACACACCAACACAGAATACAGAAAAAGAAAAAGATCTATGCAGTGCATAAACTTGAGTCTTTCTATTCATAAACCAACAGAATTGGTACAAAATGGACTGATAGGTATTCAGAGTTAGGTAACACATGCGGATATTTCACATTTGGTTTCAAACAGAAAGCAGCTCTGCAAATGCAATACAACATGTTCATCTCTTTCAGGCAGCCCCTAGTACGTGTCTTTTTCAGGATTTGAATGTTGCATGAAAGACTTAAAGCAGTTTTTTGTTTTCCTTTATTTTCTAGAACATCGGGAGTGGAAGGCTTTGAATCATTGAAACCTGAAAGGATAAATCAACATGTTTCTGTCACTGGCCTTGGGCTAGGCACTCATCATTTGTGAAACCAGATGTCTTCCACTTTCTATCCGCATCATCCCCAGCTTTAAGCCTTTCACTCTGATTTGCTAGCAAAAGAGAACAAAGATAATTAGCCCTGATTATCTGCCTGAATCTAATAGAAATAAATATCAAGCAAGTTGCCATTCTACATCTGAATCCAATACACCAAACCTACTCTAAGTTTTTCTCCACATTACACTTTGACATCAATGTCATTCAATCACCAAACACGACCAATTCACCCAAATACCACTTTCTTATATCCCATCTTCTCTTCAACTTTCTGCAATCCTAAATATTTAATTACATTCTAACCAAAGGATTCTACTTCAGTATGATTTACAATTAGAGGCCTTTCCCCCTCTAGACTTCATTCTAGGATAGGCCACGCCAATGCAACTTGCTAGTCAGCCACTGAGTCCTTTGGGCTCGCATAAGTATCACAAAGAAACTTCTCCATAACAGGGCAAAGGTTACTATTTTATAAAGAGAATAAAATATGAGCTGGGAGAGAGATATAAGCATATTGAGATTGTTTTGAGACTCTCAAAACAAACTAGCCTCAACACGAACTAGACAAGATCTAAAATAAGACTCAACAAAACAATGATTAATGAAACTTAATTTTTCAAGAGAATGGTAAAATACGATTATATGGCCGATTTGGAAAATAGTGAAGACATTCTTGATCCCAACAAAGTTAACAATAAGGTTCAATAGGAAACAACTACATACACAATCCAAAATAAAAAAAAAAAGGATGAAGAGTGGTAATCAGAATGTAAATCAGTATTTCCAAACTTTGTCATCAATTCATGCTGTTACAGGGATGTTAACAGGCTTTGTTCATAAAATGAATATCTAAACTAGCTCCCTTGCATAAAATTTGTCAACCACTCACCATTTAAGTCCTTCTCATTGTTCAGTACCATATGGTGTTTACTTCAAACACAGAAGAAACCAGGATCCCATTACTGCATCACTCCCAAGCTAATTGACAGGCTATTGAAAAGCCTCGACTACTATTGTCTCTTCATCATTTTTCTGACTGCCTTCTAGGCTTCTACAGAATAATACATACCAAGGCCAAGGCAACGATCTCAACCTGGAAGTACAATTGCCTTCAATTCTATGTTGACAGCAAGTTGCCCATAAGATTGTTGTTTCTCTCTTCAATACGTAAATGACCACTCATTCTGCCCTCTTCAAAGTGTCCCATGTGCACTTGAGATCCATGAGGTGCTGTATTGTTAGCTGCATCATCCATTGCTCTGATGCTGTTATTTTCCAATCCACTTTTCAGCCAAGCAAGGTTATTTATATCAGTGGCTATTGCGGCCAATTCATAATTTGGAAAAGATGGAGGTTCTGAAAATTCCACAAATTCTGGCCCCAGCAAAGTGCTATTTGGATTTCTACCATTTTGAGGTCCACAACAACCATGACCGCATTGTAGAGGCACTAAGCATTCAGCGTAAACTCCTTCAAGCAATTTGCAGATCTCAACATCTGGCTTTGATGTTTGAATTGGAGGTCCTAGCATTGGAACTGGCCTTGAACAGGGTGAAACAAATTCTTGTGCTCCCACATTATTATAAACATTAAAAGCACTGATACGGGCTATTGGACGGAAAAGAGTTGCTGGTTTAATTGATTCATGACTAGATTGAATCCCTATTGGTGCTTTTCTCTTTAATTGATTATCTAACCTTTCCAAAGAGCTTACATTTTTTCCTTCCAGAGATCTGTATGAACTGCCCTCCGCACAAGACATAGTTTCTTCAGATGATGCCTTTGTTTTATCCAAGCTAACATCTTCCACTATATTTTCAGATTCTGATTTTATTCTGCCAAGCTCCATACACCGACGCCGCAATGTGGAATTCCAATGGTTTTTAATAGCATTATCTGTTCTTCCAGGTAGAAGCCTTGCAATCACTGCCCATTTGTTCCCATGTACTGCATGTGCCGAAATTATCATCCGATCCTCCTCATCTGCAGCAAACGTCATTATCAGCTCAGTTTATGAGAAAGCACTAAATACATCACTGTAAGTCATATTTTCCATTACTGTAAGTAAGCCTAAATGCACCAACCAACCATACAAATGCATGGGTATGTACATATGGTAAACTAAAAAATTGATGAAGTGAAAGTTGCAAGCTAATACTGGCTGCTGTCCTCTGAACTTATGTCTATGGATATGACTATGAGGACAATATGTTTTGACTTAAAGATGATACATATTATTTCTGCTCGAATGCTAAGCTTATGAAATGAAGATAACTTTCCCCTCCCTATTACTTTCTAATAAGCAATGACACTTCCCTAAATAACAATCAGTTTCTCTAATGCTTGCCAAAATTACTCCCATTTCCGAACAACTAGACTGCTTTTCAGTTTCCTCAAGAAACATGTGAATCAAGCTTTTACATAGCAAAAGCTAGCTACTTGGCTTTCACTTTCTACATTAACATCTCTGTTTCTGTCACACGTATCCCTAAAATTCACAAAAAAATAAAAAAGAGGTCAACAATTGTTTTTATGTTGGAATTTTGTGGAATTTATATGCTTGTTCACTCAAAGCACAGTTCTTAAAAGATTTGTGAACACATAAAACTACATTACTTTTTGCTAACCATTACATGACATAACTTAAACTTTAAACAAACATAGTTGATAGTACTCTAAACTTCAGATTATTACATAAATCTAGCATGCAAAAAAATCCAAGTAATTCCCAAAAATTAAGAAAAATAGATAACCACATTGACAGATCAAAAATCAACAAAGGCGTAGACTTTGTACCAGTAAAAGGCTTGCGCTTAACGGCCGGGTCTAGCTGATTACACCAACGAAGCCGACACGACTTGCCAGAACGACCGGCAATTCCTCGCGCAATCAAGCTCCAATTCCTCGGCCCGAACTTGCTCACAAGTTCACTCAGTATCGCATCTTCCTCGGGCGACCACGTCCCCTTCACTCGCTCTTTTCGCGTTCGCCCTCTAACAGCCGAATCATCGCCGCCTCCCCTACAGCCAGCTTGTTCAGCGGCTTCGCCGCCATATGGGGCTGATGGGACGTTGATTTCGGTAACGGTCTTGTCGCTTCCGTTTTCAACGGCTTCAATTTCCGTTTCCATTAGTGTGAGAATGATGACAGTCTCCCAAGTACCAGACTTAACGGCAAAGAGAGGTTTTTTTTTTTCTTGAGAATAAACGGCGAAGGGTGTTTGTTACGTGAACAATAAAGAAGACTTGAATTAGACTTACCGGGCAAGTGTTGTTGGGAATCCTACTCATTTGACGGTTTTATCCTCCAAGTTTTCTACTGTCCAACTTTTGGATTATTATCAAAATTCAAAATCAAACCAGGAAGTTTTATTTTGTCTCCCCCAGGCCCCGGTTGCTGTAATTTAGAAATCTCTAACAATGAGAAGTACAAAGCAAAAAAGCTATGTATCTTTTTTTTTTTTTTTAATGTAACATTTGAATTATAAATTAACAATACTTTTTTAATTTTTTAATTATTCTGAACTCTAAGAGAAAAATCAAAGTTTATGTATTTGATATAGTAAAAAAATACTATACTAAAGTAGTATATTGTGAATCATATTTTAAAAAATATAAATAAAATTTACTTTCTTATATATAGCAATGGGAAAATAATCTTAGAAATTAAATTTTTTTTTCAAAATACTATAATATAACATGACACGAATTGGATTTATCTAACAAATGTTCTTAATTATTTGATTTCTTTTGTCCAATGTTGAATTCTTTCTTCTTTTTTAAGGATACAAAGAGAGAAGGCAGTTTTGTGATTTCATACTTGATGCCAATACGGACAAATCTTAATAAAAGAGTTGACCAACGACCACGGTTGAGATTGACTGGAAAGCTGTCACCGTCGTGTCTTACTATTCACTTTAATGGAATTTTTTGGATCATTAACTTACTGTTAATTTCACCTTCATTATCTCACAAAATGCACGTTAGAGATTTAGGATTTAAATAATTAATCAGATAATTAATGTAATAATGATTAAGTAAAAGTGTCTAGTAAATTAGAAATTCAAGTCTTAACAAATTTAAAGGTTTAAATCTAACATTTACAATCTATTCTTTTATTTTATCTTATACCTAATTTTAGGCTAATGTTAAAAAAATAATTATATTATTTTCATCTAAATTATATGTTTTAATTAAAATAAGATTAGGACTCTCAATCTTATCCCTATATGATGTAAAGTTGATTTTTTTTCTGAATAAAGATAAAGATATATATTAAAATTTTGGATAAAAACAAATACAAATAAAATGAAAATTTTTTTATTTATTACGAAGACGAATAATATAATATTAACATTAAACCTGTATATTTACATATATTTAATAAATAAGTTTTTATTAAATAATAAATATTTTTTGAAATTAATTAAATATAATATTTACAAAAATTACATATATACAAAATAAAAAAAACTATAAAATAAAATTTATTTTTTATTTTTTTAAAATTATAAATATTATGAAAATTACCTATGCCTATTAAATCTTTGCACAAATTGAAACAGGCATAGATGTAAAAATATATATATAAATAAATATAATATTAAAAATAAAAAATAGAGATAAAAAGTGTTCGACTTATCTCATGCCTTATTTATTGAAATATTTAAATAAGATAAGATGAATAAAGCATTATGTTATTTATATTATTATAATTTTTTTATTTTTCAAATTCTGATTAGATATTTTACTTTATTTTATATAAAAAAAAAAAAAGAAGAAAATTTGCATTGCATGATCAATCGGAAGAATAATATAATTAATAAAATTATTTGGTTTAAACATGAAGAAATAAAGTTCAATTTATAGGCCCTGCATTTTCATTGTTTGAACTGGGCTTGAATTAAACGAAATCATATTTTGGGGCCGAAAGGCAACAAAAAAACTGACATAGAACAATGAACCAAGGTTCAAAAACTAGGTCCAGTGAGTTTCTAACAATGGTTAAGCCCATCAAGCATGACCTTTGCTTGAGTGATCGACTAGTTGTATTATCTTCATCGATTTTCATCATTCTCACACCACATTTAAATTTATTTTTTTCCCAAATAAAATAAAAAAGGCAATAATCTCAAGAAAAAAAACTAATATATTACCTACCAAAAAAACATAAAAAAAGGTTGAAAAATCAACACTTAGCCTCCCTTGCCAAGATCTCACTGTCTATATTAAAAACCCATGGATCCACTTTTCATAGGCTTGGCTTGGAGTCATCGAAAAGGAGGATTAAAATTATTTGATATTGATTTAATTTCAGATTTTGAGGGGGGTCTCCTCAAGTTAGTTAGTACTTATTTATCACTATATATATATATATATGCAACAATATATTTAGTGAAAAATGCTTCTCAACATGCCAATTCTATTAATTTATTAGCAATAGTCAGCGGTACATGAGCTAGTAGCAACAGGAAGCGTATACTTTCAGGCGAGAACAGAATTTCCAAGGCTCTTCATCCAATTGTTTCAGGAATGTTTTGGTCAGCGGAGGCAAGTTTCCTTTGTTTTTTTTCACTCTTTTTCTTTTTTCTTTTGTTTTTCCTTGGATTGTTACTCAAACTTGCAGAAAAATCTGTTTGACTTTTTGTTTTTGGGTGCATTAATTGGCTAAGAAAACTAAAACCAAAGTTTAATATTAATTAAAAATCAAACATGGTGTCGGATTTTACCTTTTCAAACTGGCATACGAGAAGAGTTGCGTATCATGTAACAAGGCAGTTTGACTAAAACCCTATCATCTCTCTCTCTCGAAAACATTTTAGTCAACTCTGCTACCTAACAAGGCAAACCCAAAAGGTTTCATACAAATTAAAAAAAATTAAAGCAATGTTTGGAGATTTTAACTAGGAACTTGGATAACAGTTTTGAAGAACACTTGGGCAATTCTATGTTATTAGACTCACAAAAATAATGTTGGACTTACCTAGTTCCTGATGTAACCTTCCTAAGAGTTTTTTTTTTTTTTTTTCTCCTCCTCAAATGGTCAAAGCCAAAATCTTATACTTTATGATTGGCTGCTCAAAGTTGTAATGATAAACCTTGGGTTTTGTTGTACACTCATTGCTTATCATCCAAGCATTCCAGCTGATATCAAAGTCTTTCCTTTTACTTTTCATTTTTCTCTTCAATTTTCACATTAATATTCGAATGAAGCTGCAGAAGGCGTGAAAATCGTAAGAGGAATTGAACCCTATCCAATTTTTATATATATGTGGAGAATTTAAACTTCTGTACGCATGAGATTGAAGATAACGTGATTAGTGTCCTGAAATAATAGCGAACTTTGGCGTATATTTCTCCGGAATTAATATATAATGGTAGATATGACTAGATGGTATTAAATGTTAATTAATCATTTAACAAGTTGAATGTTCCAACATTCTGGACCAACCAATAATTATTTGTTTGGGTTTTGTAAATATTATCTTTTTTAGGAAGAAGAAGATATGAAGATCAAGGAACGGATTACGACTTAATCCAAGCAGAGAATATATATAAATATATATACATTTATAACATGAATTTCTATTAATTTTCCTCCTTTTACAGAGCTAAATTCAGAAAATTAATTTTTAAGTGAAAGTACTCCATGGGAATAGTTGAGATCTGATTCATGAATAAGAAGAAGCATAATATCCCATTAATATAAACCATGAATTATCCTCAACAATCTCCGAAGAGACAAAGGATTAATCTAGGGTTAGGGTTGAAATATGATTAACTGAGCTTATTATATACTGATTTCGGAGCCTGTACTTGGCCAGGGAGGGTCTAGCCTGAGAATGACAAACCCAGAACCTAGATGTTAGGGCATTGCCAACAGCTCCTTGATGTGCCCTTTACCTTTGAATTGCACTGTGATTAGATTTCTTAATGGAACGGCCAGCAGACCTTTTACAATTATTCCACCTAAAAGATTACCACAATGGAAAATTCGACTGAGGCTTTGGTTGAAAAAGGGGAGGAACCGTTTGGACTACAGGGGCATTTACGATTCTAGTCAGAAATATTATCAAATTCAAAAGGACTTTTTAATTGATTGAAAAGGCCAAACTTAACCACTAGAAAACAATGGTTCGACTAAAAGCAGAAAATATTTTCCAACACCTTTTGGCTAGTTTGTTACGCAATTGTGTGCCAAATGCTAAGACTCCCATTTATTTTATTTTATTTTATTTTGGATATTGCAGGCTTTAGTTGAAATACGACAGAGAAGCAAATTTTTTTTTTAAATTTAAACCATACAAAATGATGACGAGGGACCCTCACGCTTGTAATATAAATAAAAGCTCTTATTTTTCTTACTCGCTCATTCCTTGCAAAGCATTCTAGCTATTATCTCTCCCTCTCTTCTCTTCTTTCATCTTGGCTTTGAGCCCTTCAATTAATATGGGACGCCCTGTTCTCTTGTTTGCTTGCGCTTTGTTTCTTCTGGCTGCTTCTACATCTTCATCTGCAAGAATAGTGGAGCACACGTTCTATGTAATCCACTTATCGAGCTTTATCCATATACAATTCTTTTTCATTTCTTTTCATCGATTAAATCATCCTCCCTCTGTTACAAGTTTTATCCATATCCATGAACAGAAGGGGTTTTAGAGCCTCATACTCTTCCTCTCCCAAGGTCAAACCTGTCATTGCAATCATTGTCTTACCTTAGAAACTTACCAATCATACCAGCTCGACGCAATGGCTTTTACAAATACCCTTCACATTCCTTTATTGATATTTACATCTTTAATTAGCTTTCAACAATTTCAATTTTGGAGCCATCAGTCATGTATAATTTGTTTGTAAAATGTTGAAATTTTAATTTTAATAATCAAATAATTAAGTTTTAGTAATTTCAAGTATATAAAAAAAATAATTTGGGTTATTAGTGTAGGTTTACTGCTCAATTGAAGTAATTTAATCTATCTTTTCAAGGAAATGAGAGTGATTGTTAGTGTCTGACTGGTATATTAAATATCATCTTACATAGACGCATATATGTCCCTAACTTTGTAATTTAAATTTGTTGGCAGGTGCAAAATTTGACTGTTAATAAGCTATGTCACAGCCAAGTGATTACTGCTGTAAATGGTAGCCTCCCTGGCCCGACAATCCACGTTCGAGAGGGTGACACACTAATTGCTCATGTCTTTAATAAGTCACCATACAACTTGACTATTCACTGGTAAAATCCTCCTGAAAAATACAACTGAATTTAACTCAGTTTTTACCAAAATTTAATTTTACTTTGACAAAGAAATATTATGCATCAGATTTCCCTTACTAAAAATTAAATATTCCTGCCTGCTAGGCGTTAGCTGTATCAAGCGTCAACTTGCTTATAATTGTGCAATTATTATTGACTAATAATTATTCTTCAAAATGTTTTGTATGTTTTCATAATGAAAACATCATTGTCCATACTTCGTCAAGCGACGTCGGTTCTTGTTTTATTAATTCAAAGGAGAGATTTTTAATTTTCCTTTGAAAATAAAATATAGCCACGAAGAAGTCCATTATACTGTACTGGGCGTACATGTTTATCTTATTCCATATGTTAATTTAATTAACATATAAAAGATTGCTCAACTCCAACTAATACTGATATATACTAAAACTTAATTTATAGCCCATTATTCTTTCGTTATTTATATATTATTCATATTCATATTCATATGTGTTTTGAACGGTTTACTTATGTTGGTGGACTAATGATTGTTTGAGCAGGCATGGAGTGTTTCAGATACTGAGTGGCTGGGCAGATGGACCTAGCATGATCACACAATGTCCAATTCGTCCTGGAAATAAATACACCTACAAATTCAGAATCATTAAACAGGAGGGAACCCTCTGGTGGCATGCTCATGTTTCATGGCTCCGTGCCACCGTTCACGGTGCACTCATTATCCGTCCCAGAGCCGGCCACTCTTATCCATTCCCTAAGCCGTACAAGGAAGTTCCCATCATATTAGGTAGATAACCACTTCTAATTTTTGCCAGGATCTAAGATTTTACCAAAGATTAATCTCTTTAAGACTATTGGTTAAAGTATTTTTTTAACTTAATCCACTAATGTTTCCCACATTCAAAATATTCAATTCATTATCAAAAGATGGTTTCATAAGTCTGTCAACTTCCATAAAAGCAATGAAATGTTGGTTGGGTCTAGGTTTTATTAACAAAAAATTGCAATGGCGTTGCAGGTGAGTGGTGGAATGCTAATGTCGTTGATGTGGAGAACCTGGCACTTGCCACTGGCGCTGCTCCTAACATTTCAGATGCTTATACAATAAACGGATGGCCTGGTGATCTCTACCCATGCTCTAAAAAAAGTATGTGATTACTGATTACCAATACATGATCTCCATGCATGTGGTCTGTTTTATGTAATTAATCTAATTTTTATGAATGGCCAATCAGAAATGTACAAGCTTAAGGTGGAGCAAGGGAAGACCTATCTCTTACGTATTATCAATGCTGCACTCAATAACCAGCTTTTCTACAAGATAGCCAATCATAAGATGACAGTTGTGGCCATTGACGCCAGCTACACCAAGCCTTATGTCACCGACGTTGTGGTTTCCGGCCCTGGCCAGACAGTCGACGTTTTACTAACAGCGGATCAGCCGGTTGGGTCGTATTACATGGGCGCTATACCATATGCAAGCGCGGCTGTACAGTTCGATAATACTACAACAAGGGGTGTCATCGACTATGATGGTGCTCCGTCATCAGCAACACCGCTAATGCCAGCCCTCCCGGCATTCAATGACACCCCCACGGCGAACAAGTTTTACACCAACATTACCGGGTTGGTTGGTGGGCCTCATTGGGAACCGGTCCCACGTAAGGTGGACCATAAGATGTTCGTTACCATTGGATTGGGGCTCCAGGTCTGCCCAGCAAACTCAACTTGCCAAGGTCCAAAACTCTCTGCCAGCATGAACAATAAATCTTTCGTGTTACCTACCAGCTTGTCTTTGTTGCAAGCCTTTTTCTTCAACGCCAGTACTGGAGTTTACACCACTGATTTCCCTGCCGAGCCCCTAATTAAATTTGACTACACCAACGCTAGCATTAACAACAACCAACTGCTGCTCTTTCCTCCAAAAGGAACCAAGGTCACCAAGCTTAAGTTCAACTCAACTGTGGAGATAATCTTTCAGAACACAGCTATCCTTGCAGTGGAGAACCATCCCATGCACCTCCATGGTTTTAACTTCCATGTATTGGCTCAAGGGTTTGGAAACTATAACCATACCGCGGTTAGAAAGAAGCTCAATTTTATCAACCCACAAATACGAAACACTATTGGTGTGCCAGTAGGAGGATGGGCTGTCATCCGATTCACAGCTAATAATCCAGGTTAATTTTTTATGCTTTTAAATTAATTTCATAATTCCGTTAGATATAGTCAACTTTTGCTTCATTTTTTCAACCTAATGATAAGAAATGGTAGAGTTCATGTAAGCTTGAGACTTTGTCAAATGGAAAGGAAACGTCTTTGACAAAAATGGTTTAGACAAGGATGTCGATGGGTTATGTTTAATTGGTAATTTTAGGTTAATAATGGAGATGAAAGTGACAGTTCAACGGATCCTTTTTTGAAATTAGCTCCAGCATTTTTGTTTCTTTTTGTCTACCCCTTGTGGAAGGCATTGAAAGATTGAACTTAATATTCTGTTTCTATTCATGATCTCAACTGTTCAGGTGCATGGATAATACATTGCCACCTAGACATGCACCTGCCATTGGGCCTGGCCACTGCCTTCCTGGTTGAGAACGGACCAACTCCGGCAACTACCTTGCCTCCACCGCCGGAGGATCTACCACGATGCTAGAGATATATAGCCATAGTTGATGGACTAAAGAAGTTGGAAGTTCTTTTTTTATGCTAAAACATTTTTTTTTTTTTTCTTTTATATAACAAAGACAAAATGAGTCTATAGAGAGTGAATGAAGTGTGAAGTGAATGAAGTGTGAGAGAAGGAACAAGTATTAATGTACAACATTTTAAAGAAATTTAAGCAATAAAAATTAATAAATGAATTCTTTTTTTTTTCATTGTAAAAATAAGGAGAGTCATGGATGACAACAACTGTCCAATTCAAACAACTTTGTATATTAGTTTATATAAGAGTACGTAAGACACATTTTTTTATGACTACAATTCTAGGAATAAAATTTAAAATCAAGAAAGGCATTTAGAATCTAGTGATCGATTGGACACTTCTTTAAGGTCTTCAGCAACATGCACGTAGGTGTCAATTGTTGTCAAGTTATGAGAAACTATTACTAGTGTTTGAATAGGCATTAAGTGTTTCAAAAACTGAGCTGCTGGTCGGATGGACCTAATTAATTAACATGACCACTCAATGTCGAATATTTCCTGGAAATAAATACACATACAAGTTCAGAATCACAGATCAAGAAGAAACGCACTCTGGTGACAGGTTCATGTCTCATTGCTCCATCGCACTGTCTATGGCACATTGATTATATTTATCCCAGTACAGGTCACTCGTATCCCTTAACCCTAAGCCTCACAGGGAAGTAATATAAGTCCCCATCTTATTACGTGGCTATAGTTAACCACTTTTCTTAAACATTCATTAATTATTGACAATTGATAAAGGTGATGACTGTCCTAAAGGCACTTCCTAACGAACAATGTAATTTATAATGAAAAATAAAATATATTTTGTAATTGCAGACGAGTGGTGGAATATTGTTAATGTCATTTCAACGTACTAATGGTTAAAACCATTGGCGTTCCAGTTGGAGGATGGGCTGTCAATAGCTAATAATACAGCTTAATTTTCTATTACCATTACTTTTATTTCATAAGTTAGAATAAGATAGTCAATCTTCTCTTGATTTTCTGCTAAACACGTGTTCTAAATACACTTCGATATGCATTATCATGACTTGGACGTGCACTTGAGTTGGGGCCTGGCCAATGCTTTCGTGGTTGAGAACTGACCAACTCCAGCAACTTTGCCCTCTCCTCTGGTAGATCTGCCATAATGCTAGAGGTTCAAGTGCAGAACAACATGACTAAAGTTTCTCAAATTGAATACCCTCAATTGTTTTTTGTACGTGTTGCTTAATTTTCCCTTGAATTTTTTGGATGTGCTTTCATGTTTCCATTAATTCCAGTATGATATTCATTAACATTAGTCTATCGAACTTGTCAATACCAAGTTGTATTTAGCTCATATTCTTCCATGATGTAATTATAAAATTATTCCCACATTAATTTCCTTTATTTTTTTTTATCATTTTTTGGAAGGTCTTCTCGATCTTTTGTCCCTCTTGTTTGGTTCTCTCATTATATAATTTTACAATTTCATCATTTCTTTGACACAAGCAATCAAGCATATGCTATAAGCTTCTCAATTCTCATCATATATATATATATATATTTTAAATTGTTCATTGGTTGGGCTTCTTAATAAGCATCCAGCATCTATCCATAAAATTGGGCCGTAGTCCACAAAGAATTGGCCCCAAAAGATTAAACGTAATGTTGCTCATGGTGAAATTGGGCCACTTTTTAATGGATGGAGCACTGGATCTTCAACTTGTTGGGCTAGTAAATGAGATAACCTTTGAATACCCATTTGAAGCTTGAAATCCAAATTATCGTAACTCACCCAACAGTTCCTTTCTTTTTTTGTTTTCTTTGTTGGAAGGCAAATTTACAATGTTTAGCACATTTCTTCCACTTTCTATAAATTCTATTGATATATGGAAAGATTGGTATACCATATACGAATCTCAATACCATTATTAAGAGAGAATATTAGTAGTATTATTTATAATGAACGAAAGACAAGTGTTTGTTAAAGAAAAAAAGGAAAGGAATTATTCCTCAAATCAAACCACTCATATAAACAAACCCTGAATTCCCTCTTCTCTGTAAAATTATTCCTGTAATCAATTTACATCTCGAAGCAAAGTAATTCTGACGAAACCATTATTGAAAAAACCAGGAACTTGATCATCCCAGGGGAGCTGGGGCAGGAGCTTCACCGACCAATGATCCTAGTTTACTAGAAAAAGGGGCAGGGGCAGCACCAGAGCTCAAGATAAGCTCGACCATGGAACGCCGAAGGTTGATGCGCTGAGCGTCACAAAGATCAGGCAAAAACACTCCTGCAAGCAATCGTAGGATATAACATTAATTTTTATTCGTAATTTAATGGGGTCTTGGAGGAACTTTGAGATTTCATTACCAACAATATTCTTTTGATTGAATCGCAAGCAAAAGATATATAAAAACTCCGGTCATATTGAGATATCACCTAGAAAATCATTCTATAAAAATAAATAAAGGTGGCAAATTCCTTACCTTCACCGGCGGCCAAATTGAAGTAAAGGTCAACAATGTTGGGGCACTTTTGGTAGCAAGCAGGGGCACAAAGCTTGGCAGTGAATTGTGGCTCAAGAAGGGAATCGGATGAAATGCCAATGGAGTTTCTATCAACCCCACAAGCACGCACACATTCATCAGTCTCAATACACTCAGCCATTCTCTCCACAACCACCTCTGATGTCCTGCATTGGTACTCTACGTTCCCATCTCTCTCCACCGCTGTTTCCAACAAACATCTCTTCCCCGAAGATGATATCGAAAACGCACACACATCCTTGGGCAAATCTTCGCAAATAATCTCAGCTGCAAAACAAAAACCAAACAAAGATATAAAAAATTACATGAATGTGATACGCTTGAGACATGAAAATATAAAGTCATGCTTACATTCACATACCTAGAGAAGCATGGAGGAAAAGAGAAGAAAGGACGACAAAGAAGGGGAATTTGAAAGAAGCCATAATTAAATTGGTGATCAAGCTATTTTCTAGGTTTCTTTGAAATTGAGATGGCAAATTAATGACAAAACAGGGCGTTGTATTGTTTTGTGAGGGATAGTGATAAGAGGAGGTTTGATATATATAGAAGGAGAAATGTGAACAAGTATAAAACCAAAAGGGTATCTATATTTTATACGTATAGAACAAAAACCGGCTTCACTTGCTTCGTTTCTCCTTTGATTAGCCCCTGCTTTGTCTTTGGTTCGTTGGCTACAAAGAATTGACCTTTATGGTTAAACACGCGTTTGGCCGATTATACCAGCCTCTCCTTTGGATTTCTCGAGACTTTCACGATTTATTATTATTTTTTTTCGTTTTGTCTGAGAGTTGATTCCTTGTTTGATACGTGCTTCCTATGCTTGATACTTGGTTAAGACGTGTTTATTTGTCTTCATGCTTAAGTTTCCGAGTTCCAACCCCAAGAGTTTTCTAGTTCCACTCCATTTTTTGCTTCAAGAATTTTAGTGTTTGAATTTTGAAATCATGAAATTCTGGTTTCCGTTTTATTTTCTGGATCATTGACTCACTCGTTTATTTCTGTTATAATTCATTATTATGAAGTATCGACTTGTATTTGCTAATTTTTGGGACAATTTCCATCTGGAAAAATAAAAAAAACCAAAGACAGGGCCAAGTTTCCTGTTAAATGGCGAATGCGAGCCAATCAAGCCGAAAGGGCAGGAGCTGGTTTCTTATTGAAGTTGGAAAATTGATACGTCAAACCACTTTTAATTTGGCTCGAAGTCACCTACTTTTCTTAGACGCAGTTGGTACTCTTGTTCACATCGAGAGACCTTGCTGGTTCGCCTTCTGTCAATTTTGTGTGCTGACAGTGAACTCGAAAGGAAAGTTACATTAGTCTTTGTGGAAGTGCAGAGACGGCCCCGCCCTGCCCTGCCCGACCTGCCTGTATTAAAAACCCAAAAATTTTCGTTTTGTTCCTCAGTTTTGGTCTTTGTTACGCAAAATACGACCAGATTTTGATGCTTTCAAATAAATTCTGTGACTAATGTTGCATTTGCGAACGTCATCTCAAATCAAATGATCTTCGTTTCTGTTTTTTTCACACTTATCTTTGATTTCCTAAATTTATAAATCCACTATGGACAAAAAAATATTTTAAAACAATGGTAATAATTATAATAATAATCATTTTTTTAATCTTGGAAATCAAGGATGTCTTAGGTTCAAAAACTCCAATTCCTAAGAACAAAAAAGTGGCAGACATTACCGGTTGTTTTAACCTAGAACTTGTTTTCTTGTCTGGAAACATAAAAAAGCATTTCATGTTTCATCTACTTCCTCTTAATTTTGACATTGTCATATTGATTAACAAAGTCGGCTCAAATAATTTAGAATTCAAGTTAAATAAATATTATCTCTAACTATTAAAATGGGAAAATATGAACTAAAATCCCAATTAGAACTGGAACTGACCATGTTTTGGGATTTATCACACCCAAAATATCAGTTTAGAGCCAACTTCCAACGAGATGGCCTTACAAACCAAGTTTTTCATTTTGGGTTAAGCTGATTTAACCAAGCCTAACCCAAACAAGTTTTGGACTGAATTGCACAGGTTGGACTTCCATGGTCCCAGAAACAGAGCCCATCTAGCCCATATCTGATATCACAACCAAGTTAGTGACTTCGTATGCCACTTGTAAATTGAAAACACCCCGGGCTCGTCTGGTGGGACTCTTCAAACGAACCATGATCACAAAAATGGATGCGCAAAGGAGGATAAGTGGGTCCCCGATTAACAGAAATCGTTTGGCAACCTCAGAATCTCACCTTCAACCCTGCTGGACTGCTGTAATTGCAAAGTAAGTGAACACAAATATCAAAAAGAACAAGAAAAAGAAAGAACACCAAAGCAGAAAACCAATTAACCAACCAAGAAAACCAAAATAATGGTTGCAGCAACGACATCATCTCAACTACTGTTATCAAACTCCCGCTCTTTGTCTCCTTTTCAGCTACGCGTCTTTGACTCCAAAACCCTTGTGTCATGCCCCAGCAACAGAAGTAACACTATCAAGAGAAGGCATGTTGCTGGCGGGGTCAGGTGCATGGCTGTGACAGCATCAGAGGCAGAAACGAAGAAAAGTGGGTTTGAAATTTATACACTAACAAGCTGGTTGTTGAAGCAGGAACTAGCGGGTGTTATAGATGCAGAGCTTACAATTGTGATTTCCAGCATTTCTATGGCATGTAAGCAGATTGCTTCATTGGTGCAAAGGGCTAGCATTTCCAACTTAACTGGTGTTCAAGGCGCTGTCAATGTTCAAGGAGAGGACCAGAAGAAGCTTGACGTCGTTTCAAATGAGGTCTTGTTATTAAATATCAACTGTGTTTTGCAATTAAACAATATTAACTTTCTCAAAACTAATTCAATGATGGCTTAATGCATATTTGCATTAAAATGGAAGTCAAACATTACGAATTCGTATGAGTTCTTAATAGAAGTTGTCAATTGGTTGTATATCTCCTTAAACAGTTGAATTCGAGGGACTGGACACTGAAGATTCTCACTTTAAACACCATAGCAACCCTGCTGTTTTCTGCTATTTACACGTTATAGTTTATAGAAAATGGCTTTCAGAAATTTATATCTGAAGAATTCTTGAAATTGGTATTACTTTTGCTTGACCGGTTAGCTGAAATAGGCAAAAATGCTTACTTGAGAACAAGAATTCTTATGCTACCAGGCGAAATTCAAGAAACTGATTGTCTTGCATTTACAGGTATTCTCCAACTGCTTGAGATCAAGTGGAAGGACGGGGATTATAGCATCAGAGGAAGAAGATGTGCCAGTGGCAGTAGAAGAGAGTTTCTCTGGAAACTATATTGTGGTATTTGACCCACTTGATGGATCATCCAACATTGATGCTGCTGTTTCCACAGGTTCCATTTTTGGAATATACAGCCCCAACGATGAGTGCCTAGCAGATATCGGTGATGATTCCACTGTAAGTCCATATCTATTTGATTGAATTTCCAAACCTATATCCAAATTTCAGATATTTTTACATAGACAATCCCAACTGTTTCATGCATGGCCTGCAGCTTGATTCAACAAAACAAAGATGTGTTGTTAACGTGTGCCAACCAGGGAGCAATCTTCTAGCTGCTGGCTACTGCATGTACTCAAGCTCTATAATCTTCGTGCTTACTTTAGGGAACGGGGTGTTTGCATTCACCTTGGATCCCATGTATGGTGAATTCGTCTTAACTCAAGAGAAAATTCAGATCCCTAAAGCTGGAAAAATTTATGCATTCAATGAAGGCAATTACCAGTTGTGGGATGACAAGTTGAAGAAGTACATTGATGACCTCAAAGACCCTGGTCCTAGTGGCAAGCCTTATTCTGCTAGATACATTGGAAGCTTGGTTGGAGACTTCCACCGCACACTGCTATATGGTGGAATCTATGGATACCCCAGAGACAAAAAGAGCAAAAATGGTAAGCTGAGGCTCTTGTATGAGTGTGCACCAATGAGCTTTATTGTGGAACAAGCTGGTGGGAAAGGATCTGATGGACATCAAAGAATCCTTGATATCCAACCTGTTGAGGTGATCAGAAACATTAAACTACTGATAAAATGACTAGTTTGTGATTTCTTTTTCCTGTGGATAAATTATACTAATAATCAGTGTGCTTTTTTTTTTTTTTCCTTCTCACAGATACATCAACGTGTGCCACTTTATATTGGAAGCCAGGAAGAGGTTGAGAAATTGGAGAAGTATTTGGCTTGATTAAGATGAGAAGTATATATTTTTTTGTTTTATGAATATAGCCAAATAGATTAATTTGCAATTGAAAATGGCGATAAACTCATGTTTGGAATAGCTGATGCCTTTTAATGAACAAGTGGTGAAAGTTGGTTCTTCCACAACTTCGAGTCTTGATATTTGCCCTAAGGAAATAAAAGTTTAAAGTTATGTGTTTGTCTATAGTAAGTTCACAATTTTTTGATCTTAAATGCATAATATATTTTAAATGTTGTTTTATAACCTCGTTGCATTACTCGTTTTTACCTCTTTTTAACTTAAAAGTTGATCAGTAGTTAATATTTAACTATATAAATCTAATGAGTATTATTTGCTGATTTTACTGAAGGGTAAAAACCTTATTATAAAAGTCTCCAATTTATAGGTAAATAAATAAATTAAGTACACAATTTTATTAACCCAAACCTCATGACCACACCCGATGGCAAACCCCATTCAGGCCGCTACATAGGTTGCCTTGTTCGTGAAATCCATCGAATGCTACTTTTTAGAGGAATCTATGGCAATTTTAAAAATATATATGACAATTCATATATTTATATTATATAAAATATTAATAATTTTTGTATTTTTATTGTATTTATAAAAAAATATATATCATAATTTATATTAATGTAAAAAATAAAAAATAATTTTTTGTTGAATTTATAATAATTTTTACTAAAATTTTAAGCTTAATTATTTTTATTTTTTTATATTATTTTTGGTGCCATGTTTTAAATCATTGGCAGATGTACCTATGAGCAAAACGGCAAAATTTGAAATCTGAATTTACTGTATGAGTGCGCACCAATGAGCTTTTTTAGTAAAAAAACTGGTGGTATTGCAATAGATGGTGTCCAAAGAATTATTGACATCAAACACGAGAAGGTAATATCCAAGATCCATATATAATTTATGTTTCAAGAGCTTCAATGTGCACCAGCGCACACCAATTATCATTGGAAGCCCAGATGAAATTCAGAAATTACAGTAATTGGCTTGAGCCCCAAATTATGAGTTTCAACTCTGTTCCTTTTTATTAACATATTTCAAGCATATAAGGATGATGTTCAAGAGAAAAAAGTATTCAATTAAAGAATTACATGATTACGCAATCAAACTGCTAACAGCAGCCTCCATGGTCGGAATCCTACATGATTAATCAAAAAATACAGGATTTGGTAAACCATTTCTTAAGTATGTAATAGCATAATGTGTTGCCCAGACTTAATCAATGACAGGTTACAGAGAATCTAGTTTAGTGCCCTGGTAAAAAGAAAAAAGGCTTTAGAAATTGTTGACTAAAACATTAGTGTGTTGTTAAGCATTGCTTCCAGTGAGTGCTGTACTAGTGCATGTCAGCCAAATAGTCTTGATGGTAAAACCACTTAGTTCGTAGCAGAACAATTTTGTTGCTCCAAAGAACTCCTTCGACCTTTTGCTGTAAATTCAGAAAAAAGGAAACATGAGATAATTCAAATATAAAATCTCAAAATGAAGAAGGCAGTGGAAGGATTTAGTGTCTTACCAGGGCTTAATATTTTTATGCATTTTGTTGTAGACTTAACTGAAGTCACAGTGTCGGGTCCTGCAGCCTTAGTACATGCAGAGTAAGTATACAAATATCAGTTCGGATGCAATTAGATTAGGCAGCAATGAGCTTTACCACCCTGTGCATTCATGTCTTTCTCTGAAAACACTCCAGTGATGGTAGATGAAAACTCTGACATAACTTGATTAGCCCCCAGATTGCCATCCCCTGATTCATGAGATGACCTGTGCGGCATGCATGGAATATAAACATCGGAGAAAAATAACTAAACTGAAAGTAGTAAAGAAACAAGTGGATAAATTATTGGTCAAAACATGCGATACGATTGAAGTAGCACCAGTACCCTGAAAGAGCAGCTGCACAAGTACCCGATGTTGGTTGGCAAGGGTAGCCAATTCCTTCACATCCAAGATCAAGATCCACTAACAGTCCAGAGAAGGAGAAATTTGCTCCAAAAGCATCTAAATTAGGCCAATCCAGGTCAAAGAGATCTGCATCCATTTCAGACTCAGATGTTGAAGTCTCATTCATTATTGGTTTGTCCACATTCACTGCTGCATCAGAACCATCAAAGTCCAGCCTGCCCTTTACATAATCCCTCTTGCCAAGCCTCTTCAAGCACGTCTTAACTGGCGAACAAGAAGAGACGCAACGGTTCCTTTCTATGGTGTAACATGTCATTTGCTTTAAAGGACTAACTTTCTCGGTTGAAATTATGGTGCAGTTGGTAGGAGTGATCACTTGAGGAGCACTGCTGTGACTGCAATTAGCAGTTGAAGAAATACCCAGTGGAGTCATTGATTTATCACTCCGAGGAGAAACTGCTTGTGGGGGTGTCTTAGGACCTGATGAATTGGTTGGAGGGGACAGCTGTGGCTGATTGAACAAACACTTGGCAACACCAGATAAATGCATCGTAGATTCATGGGCATTGCAATTGAGGGTTGATGATTCATTTACAGAGATTGGCTGACCACCTACTTGGCTATTCATTATATTATCAGAATCTGGAAGCTTTTCTGTTCCTGCACCCAACATGTCAGAGATGTTATGGATGTATCAAGGCATGAAATGATGTGCATAAGAATGAAGAAAGTCTACCTTGGGTGGTTAACTTCCTAGAAGTTAATTTGCTACGAGTTTTCTTTGCAGCTGCTGGGGCTTCATTGACAGCCTCCGAACTCCTTTTATTTCTTGTTACTGGTGAAGAGTAGTTATCACGTTCCATTCTGGAATTGGAAGGACCAGATACTGGAATAACAGTTGGTGTACCAAACACAGGATGGCCTAAAGTAAGCACCAAGAGAATGATTGATGAATTAGAAAATCATAGTAAAACACTTTTGAGCATCAATCATGCATGGTTCAATTCGAAATCTAACAGTAAACAAAATCTGACCAATTCTAAAACAATCAAACCAACCAACCAGAGCTCCAGATTCGTACCTGGAGGAGACCCAGCACATGGATCTGAATGAGGAATCACGGCTACCGATTTAGTTGCAGTAGCATGAGAGAGCATAGGCACCGGTGCAGTCACACTTGCATTGTAAGCGTTCATTACACTTTGTATCCCCTGTAAAAGGGAATGAACCCTTAACTTGTCTTGCTCCAAACGAGCCTTTTCCTGCTCTACTATCACTTTTTGCTCTTTCAAGCAAATGTACTCGTCTAACATTGCCCCCAAACTTAACAAACTCTTCGGCGCCTACCCAATAAATAATAATAATAATTTTTAAAAAAATGGCATAAATATGTGAAAATAAAAGATTTCGGTTAATTGGGTTTCTCTACATACCTCTCGAACAGGGGATTTGGATATGAGAGAAGAAGCTTCGTTTCTGAAAATGGATCGAGTTTCGGAGTAGTTGTTATCGGAAAGGTAACGGTCAACGATGAATGCGACTTGGACTGGAGTGACCTTTCCTTTGCCAAGATTCTCCGGCTTCTTAGATCTGCTTTGCTTCCTCATTTTGTTTAGAAGTGAAAAGCAAAATGGAGAGGAATGGCGAGGGACTTTCAGATTTGGGTTAAGAAAGGGAAAGTTGGATATGGCGCCATGGCTGAGGGAGGGAGCCGTTTGGGGGTAAATGAAAACGCGGGAGAGTTTGAAAGTTTTTGGACCATTTTTTTTTTCCTTTTTTATCGACTTTGAGCGGTTTCTTTGGTTACTCTCATCGCATTTGAGATTTTCAGTTTGCCGGGAAACTTCCGTTAGATAGCGGTAAAATGTAGTAACAACAATTTTTTACTGGGATTTAGCGGTGAAAATAAATGGCTATGTGTTGGTGTAGGGGTGGCATCTGTGCATCTAATGTGGTAACTACTTAACAATCATAAGTCAATTTAAGATCAATAAAAAGTCATTTTTTGCATAAAAAAAAATTGAGAGTAAAATTGCTCAATTCTCGAACTAAATGCAAGATGTGTTTATAATTATAAGATTTGTTGGTCCGACGTTAACACTACTAAAAGATCATAGAAAATATTCGTTTCTAGATTAGTGGAGGGTCCAAAATTTTTCTGAAAATATCTATTTGTAATATATATAAAATTATAAATAAATATTTAATATAATATATTAATATATTATTACAATTGTACATGACGAATTTTTATAACTTAAGAAAATATATAATTATATAATTATTAATATTATCAATTAAATATTTTTTAATATTCTCATTTGTAAATTCGTTGACATGTTGTCTAAAACGTTGTTAGTTCATATTTATAAGTTGGATTTAACAGTTCTCATGGATTTAATTGATTGCTGTCTTTATAATTAAATTGAATAATATCAAGAACAACGCATTGTGCTCTTTGTTGAAATCATATAATTCATACTTTGTTTTTTTCCCTTTCTTTTTTCCGTAAAACACTGAGGCTTAACATGATGTGGTTGAGGGCAAGCATAACATTCTTTTTCTTTGCTTTGGTTGGGTCTTGAGTTACGGACCAAGGGTAGTTCTTCTCAATCTCATTACTTCCCCCCCCCCCCCCCCCCTCTTCCCACTTTCTTCTTTTAAAAGCAAATAGTATTTCAAAATTTCAGGCACTATGCATAGCTGATAACTCAATGAGCAGTTTGATTGACATTTTGGTGCCCCTTAATATTGAAGCTTGGTTAACTCAAAAGGCACATCGATATACCTGCATTAAATTATTTAATTTGTCTAGTGTTTATTAAGAAATTGGTTACCTTATGTCCTCATGGTTTTAACTTTTAGCTTTGTTCACTCTCTCATAGTTTCTTAAAATTATAGTATATACTTAAAGCTACACGTTATTTTTAACTGACTTTAGAAAACGAGGGAAAGTTTTAATGGAATCCCATTGTTAAAGCCACCAAAGTAGGATATAGCTAACTGCCTGACTCCAGAATTGGCATTGCTTGTTGACTGTAGGTTGAAAGCTAGGATGAGAATTATATGCCTTGCTTCTGAGATAGTGGGGAACGTTAATACAAGTCTACAAATTATTTTTAAGGGCCACTTTAAGGCAGTGGATACTTTAAAAGATTGCTTTAACAATCTCCCAGAAGAGCTAATCTGACCAAGACTACATGGTCCTGGTCATTTTTTTTAATCAACTGCGTGTTGGGGAGTTTAGGTTACATGGTTTGTCTGGTTTAATGGTGGTCCTCCAAACCAATGCTCCATTTCTTAGAATGTGGGGACTTCAACCAATTAAAGTCAGCTTCTTCAATATAATCTGTCCACAGTCTAGACAGAAAAACCATACTACCTTTTTTACTATAGTTGGTATCCAAATAATCTTTATTTTTCTTTTACTGATGAGTTGCTATCTTCATTCGGCTTCTTCTTTGTCTCTGCTTGATTGCCAGAACATATTCAAGGCCCACTAAAAACCACTATCATCGCAGCGGAAAATAAAACCTAGCTCTTTTTTGGAGAGGTTGTTACTTATTAGGTTGTCACTTGTAACTCTTTTCACGGATAATATATGATTTGATCAGCTGTCTCTAAAGAGACTCGTATATCTGCTCGGATAATAGCCATTTTTGCTTATCTAGGAAATAGATGTTGGCCTGAAAAATACAAGCTAGGGTTTTTGTGTCTGTGATCCATTTGTTGATTTCGATCTAATGCCAGCCCCAGAAACAGAGTAAAGACCTCATGAAAACCAACCAAACCCGATAGGGTTTAAAATCAATCTTAACAACCTCTAATGCCAGTGGTCCCCTCCCATGTTTCAAATTTAATAATACACAAACAAATGCTAGTGCCTTTGGGAAGTGGGATTTCACCCAAGGTTCATATGATTCTTGGCAGTTGGCAGCAGTATTTGTAACCTTCAGTAAATGGCATGTGCTTTGTCCCGTTTCCCATTGCCTTGTTGATTTCATTTATGTAAAATAACGTGGATAGATAACCGTTTGATAGTATTAGAGAAAGGGCACATTTCATCAGGGAAAAAAGAAATGGAAAACAAAGGGCATGTTACACTTTTTGCTCCTGGTTAGGGTAAAAATCATTCCTGATCATGTGTTTTGTAATTCTTTACCTTAGTTATATTAAGTTACCTGTTTCAATTATTTAAGAAAATGGTAAAATTGTTCCTATATTTACATCATAACTCTTGTTTTTCCCTATTCACAGACATGAAAATGATGCTTTAACATTCAAAATGTACAAATAGTTTGATATGCAAAATGTTCTCTGTCTGCCACCACACAAGTAGAATATATTTTAAAGCTTAATCAATTCAAAGGTTATTGTGACGGCCACAAAAAATCTGTAGATTTTTCTTCTCTTCCAGGCTCACGAATCATACCCACCTTAGAATAAATATAAAAGCCAGTCATTGATGAAGGGTTCTTTAATACAATGTTACAAGTAACTGACTGATACATTTAAAAGAATCGAATGCTGCTGAGAATGACTGAGAATCACCCAAAACTTTTGCTACATACAACGGTCAATTTCCGACACTCGGAAGCTTCCTTCTATCTCTATGTTTCAAACTAAAAACTGCTGCCTGACCAACAATCTAAGAGCACGCCTAGATTATTAGTTTTTACCTGGACTGGGAAGAGCTTTGGGTAAAGTGGGCAGCCTGGCAGGCAGGCTCATTACACAACAACCTTACCTTCGCACGTTAGAAATGGTCCCTTCCTTCAAAAATGAGAATCCATTTTTTTTTCTTTTTTTATATATATTTTTGCTCCCCACACCAAAAAAGAAAAACCTTTTTGATTCTTATAAAACAAAAAGGAAATTGAAAAAGGGATGAGATAGCGGGGGATTTTGCTTAAAATTGATAGACTTGAGACACACTCTTCCGGTACTCTTCAGCTGTGTGTGTGTGTGTTTTTTTTTAATTATTGCAAAAGCATTAGAGCGTTGTCTGGACTTGACAGTTCTTTCACCTAAGACGTATCGTATCTTAGCTTTCCTCTTTTTATCTTCCTTTTTGTTGTGGCTAACAGACAAGTTTGCTTTGACAACTGTAAACTTTCAATAAATCCAATAATTTGCAGGTTTCCACATTTGTTTCTCATATTGGTACTTATACCAAGTTGAGTTTTAGTAGTAGGATTCATTTTTTTAAGCTCAAGTTCACATCCTTTTTTGTGAAAGAATATGGAGCCCTTGTGTTGGAGTTTTGAACAAGAAGTATAGAAAATGAAACATATTAAGAGTACATTTGAGGATTTAACAACAAAACAATCAATGAATTTTTGTGGGTAGACATGTAAATACACAAAACACAGGGTACATTTGAGAATTTAGTGACAGTTCAAGTGCAAAACTGAAAGTGTCCATTATAATATTATTCCCTCGGTCAGCAACCACTGAGAGAAAGTGAAGGAAAAAGAGTTGCAGGAACGAGTGAAGTATTTAATTTTCACAACCTCCAAGCCAAGCCAATCCCCCGATTCTTTGCTTTCTTTCCTCTGGTTCTTCACCCAGGAACCTAAAAAAATAAGGGAAAAGAAATCACCTAGTTGTAAGTGGAATCATCACCCAGCAAATCTTAGTAGACCAACATAAAAAAGCAAACGTAGAATCAGCTCTAACCCACTTCAGCAATGGCCACATTCTCCATTTCCAACTGCTTCACAGCCCTAACTTATCTTATTTTCCTCTTCAAAATCTTAGCTGCAGACCAAGGCTCCTCTTTTTCCTTCAAAAGTTTTGGTAAAGATCCAAAGTTTGAGTCTAATGTTGCTTTATTTGGGGACGCACATGTTGCTAATGATGGCTCTTGGATTCAACTTACTAACTCAGTGAGTTGGAGTGCTGGGAGAGTCATGTATAAGAAACCCATCAAGCTTGTTGAAGGTAAAGTCAGGAATTTGGCTTCTTTTTCAACTCACTTTTCCTTCTCAATGTCCCATGAAAATGGTGATGGTTTGGCTTTTGTTATGGTTCCTAGTAGTTTTAATGTTAATGTATTGGGCAATAGTTCGTTTGGGATTTCTCTTGGATTGGAGAAAGGTAAAAGCGGTATTGTTGCTGTAGAATTTGATACCTTAAAAGATGCCAAGTATGATGATTTGAATGAAAACCATGTGGGCATTGATGTGAGTAGTCTTGCATCAGTTAAAGTGAGAAATTTATCCTCTGTCAAATTGGTATTAAACGATGGAGAAAAATTACATTCTTGGATTGATTATGAGGCAATTTCAAAGAGACTAGAGATTAGGTTGAGTCAATCTAGTAGTACCAGGCCTAATGATCCATTGCTTTCATACTCTATCGACTTGCCAAAACTATGGAATGGTGAGGAAGTGTTTGTGGGCTTAAGCTCTTCAAACGGGAACTCTTTGCAGACTTGCTTTATTCACTTGTGGAGTTTTAAGCTAAGGCAGGTTCCAATTTGGATGCATTCCCAACCACTTGATCCTGAGGCTATTGCAAAGAACCCCAAACCTCTGACAGAAGAGCGCAAGGGTAGCAATTGTTTTTGGAGAGTGCTTGCTGTGTTCATCTTCGGCGGTGCATGTGGAGCATTGACAGCTTCCTGCTTGCTATATCTATGGAACATATTTGGTAATAGGCGCCCGGTAGCGCCTGAAGTGTGTGGTGTGCACTCTGTGGATTTTGAGTACAAGAAAGTCAAAGTAGTAGTAGACAAAGCTGTCAAAGACGGCAAGAATTAGGTGTTAGAGTTGGGTTGGATGTTTTATGTTGTAAATTGATGATCTATTTTGTAATTGTAGTTGCAGGTTTTGTGTGTGCTTGTAGCTGATGACCAATTGTGAAAAATTTTAGCTCTAAGTTACATGGTGTTAATGATGGAAGCATTGAGATTTACCTTCAATATAAATTGCAATGTTGCTTGTCATAACCTTAATTATTTCTAAATGCATAATTCCTGAGGAAGCTCTTTGTGCAAGAAATCTGTAACTGTGACCTGATTTGAGGACAAGTGCATGAACTATGGGATTTGCAGGGGCACAATATATGTCTATATCGTGGTTTAGGCTGTCTTAGGTTTTATTCTCTTTGTTTCGTATTGTATGGATGCATAAATTCCTGAACAAACTCTGTCTAAGAAATCCATTTTTGTGTCCTCATTTGATAACAGCTATTCTGCTCGCTGTATTAAGCTGCCTAGGTTTTGTGCTCCGTAACTTGGTGTTCTGGAACTGCGAAGTATTTATGGCAGCATTATTGTAATAATGCTGTCAATTTACCTTAGAGAATCACGGTTTGGGCACATTTTATGATAGATCTGCTTCTTCCAATGCCATTTTTGCTCAATCATCTTCAAAACCAGAAAATGCTGAGGAATTCCGAGTCTGTGTCAAAACCTTTAAAACTCAAATTGTTTATCGAACTTCTGTCAAAGTCCGTGTGCCCACAACTTCCATGGTTATGATGTAATTCTCTCAGAACTTTAATGCGAGTATTTCTTCTTTTGGAAGGAATAAAGATCCCGTATAGTTTAGGTGGCTTATGGTGTGGCAACAGTGACAGATGTGCTGGAATTTTAAAATATAACTTCAAGCTCTTAAATTGGAAGACTATAGAACTGGAATTATCAATAAATTTAACATTCATATTAGCATACGGCAATCCAGATTAATCATTTCTGTTGCCAGAGACTGGCAATTTGTACTTTTCCTAGCATTGTTTTACATCCGCTAATAACATCATAAAATTCATTCTTGATACTCCTCCTCTTCCTCCTCATATTCTTCCTCATCTGCAGTTGCATCCTGGTACTGCTGGTACTCTGACACCAGATCGTTCATGTTGCTTTCAGCCTCGGTAAATTCCATCTCGTCCATACCTTCACCTGTGTACCAATGCAAGAAGGCCTTTCTCCTAAACATAGCTGTGAATTGCTCGCTCACACGCCTAAACATTTCTTGAATTGAAGTCGAGTTCCCAATGAATGTTGCTGCCATTCTCAAGCCATTTGGAGGGATATCACAGACAGTCGATTTGACATTGTTTGGAATCCATTCCACAAAGTAGGATGAATTCTTGTTCTGGACATTGAGCATCTGCTCATCCACCTCCTTTGTGCTCATTTTGCCTCTGAACATAGCTGAGGCTGTAAGGTACCTTCCATGGCGCGGATCAGCTGCACACATCATGTTCTTGGCATCCCACATTTGCTGAGTGAGTTCAGGTACGGTTAAGGCTCTGTACTGCTGGGATCCACGAGAGGTAAGAGGTGCAAAACCAACCATGAAGAAGTGAAGCCTAGGGAAAGGAATGAGATTCACAGCAAGCTTCCTAAGATCAGAGTTTAGCTGACCAGGAAATCTCAAACAACATGTTACTCCAGACATTGTAGCAGATATCAAATGGTTCAAATCTCCAACTGCGCAAAGAAGAACACAGGAATTAGTTAAATCCAAATCAAAGATTACATAAAACCCAGAGAGGAAAAGTGATAGATGTTCTTACAGCTTGGAGTGGTGAGCTTGAGGGTACGGAAGCAAATGTCATAGAGAGCTTCATTGTCAAGAACCATACACTCATCTGCATTTTCAACAAGCTGATGCACAGATAAAGTAGCATTGTAAGGCTCAACCACTGTATCTGAGACCTTTGGAGAAGGAAAAACAGAGAAAGTAAGCATCATCCTGTCCGGGTACTCCTCCCTGATCTTTGAAATCAAAAGGGTTCCCATACCCGATCCTGTTCCTCCTCCTAAGGAATGACAAACCTGAAACCCTGTAGTTCAAAGAACACACCAACATAAGTCAATCTATATAAGAAAACAGACAGAAAACCCAAAAACAAGAAGAAAAGAAGAAAAGTTACCCTGCAAGCAGTCACAGTTTTCGGCTTCTTTTCTGACAACATCAAGAACAGAATCAATGAGTTCTGCACCTTCAGTGTAATGGCCTTTAGCCCAGTTGTTGCCGGCACCAGATTGTCCGAAAACGAAGTTATCAGGTCTGAAAATCTGACCATAAGGACCAGACCTAACACTATCCATGGTACCAGGTTCAAGATCCATGAGGACGGCCCGGGGAACAAACCTCCCACAGCTTGCTTCATTGTAATAAACATTGATCCTCTCAAGTTGAAGATCGGAGTCCCCGTTGTACTTCCCGGTTCCGTCAATGCCATGTTCGGTACAGACCACTTCCCAGAACTTGGCACCAATTTGGTTACCGCATTGCCCTCCCTGGATGTGAAGGATTTCACGCATTTTCAGAAGCTGTGCTCTCAAACAAAAGCAACAAAGAACGAAAGAAAGGAGAGAAAAATGAGAGGGTTAGAGAGGAGAGATGTGGGGACGGAGGGATCTTTATAGGAAAAAAAAAAGGTTAACGGTAGGAAATTGGGAGAGTTATTTTTGAATGATGAGGCGGGATTTTTCTTCTGTTTTTGAAACGGATATAAAGTAACGGTCAATTAAGGTAGATGGGTATCGGGTGGTTCAATTTGAATTCCAAAATGAGGCAAACAACTGGATTTTGGATTATTTCTCTTTTATTATTGGCATTTGGGGAATGACAGATTGTTATGACGCTAAGCTTCAAAAGACATTCTTAGTTTGGCTCTTTATTCAAACTTTAGGTTGTTTCCCAAAATTTTCCCTTTTTTTATGACTACTTCGTCAATTTTAGGGAATCTGTTCTTTAAAAAGTCCACCTAATCACACTTCCTTTATTACTTTGTCCTAATCAAAAAGTTTGACTATTGAAACTTGAAGGTTGGTGACAATTGAAAGTATTAACTTACAATAAATGCTGTTGATGATTGTAGAAGAGGCCTAAATTTCAATTTGGGTTAGATTAATTAATTTATGCAATCATCTTCAAGATATAACATACAACATCAGAGGAGCATATAACCATTTCCTTTATCCCAAGTTGAAGCTTGTTTTAGAAGAAAAATCATAGCAGAAATGATACTTGGAATAAATATAAGACTGCCATTCAACAAATAAATTATGTGTACTTGGTAAAAAGTGGAACAAGAACTGTTCATAATAAAATCTCATGTTCTAGGATTAATACTATCTGTTCACGGGGCAGTCAGTGCAACAAGCACATGGAAACCAACATCAGCCAACACAAGGACATCAAGTGCTAGTAAGATCAAAAGGGCTTCTTGGTTTATAAAACTGCACATGGTTTGCTAGAATTTCTTCCATGGCCCACTAATGGTGCCTGCAAAGCTCAATTGATTCTCCAACAAAGAGGTAATTCCATTTAAACAAGATATTGTTCAAATGCAGATAATATCTAATGTAATAAAGAACATTAAATCCTAGTCAATAAACTGTTATTCACAAGCAACTACTTCCAGGTGCCAGAGAACAGTTAAGATGGAGAATGGAAGGAATTTAATTTCATTCTTCCAACAACTTCCTTCATCCTCCATCAGGTTCCTAAGCTAATATAAGCTATTTAAAGCTTGTCAGGTGAAAAAAATATAACATCTTAATCAAATGCAAATGCAAAACAAGTGTTTTAGACCATCATATCCCCTCCTAAATTACAATTCTGAAATCTTGTTCAGTACTAAACGTATCTATGAATGATCAAGAATTCAAGATTACTGTAATTGTATAGGAAAAAGCAAATTCATATGAAACAGACAGGACAGGCAGTGAACATGTTACTAGAAAGTAGGAATGGATCTCAGCATGAAACAATATCTTCAATCCCTTAGAAAGGAAATTCAGATAGATAACGCAGTTTGTAAAGTGGCATCATGGATCCAATGCAAGCATCTTACAACATGGATTAACAATTCAGGGGAGTCAATTTTAACCAACTAATATAACAAAAATAAAATCAAAGTTAACTGGATCTCTGTGTGTGTGATTAGTGTCATCTTCGTTTCCTTTCAAAGAAAGTACTGTCAGATAGATAACGCAGAATAAAATTAACATCTTTGATCCAAAAACAAAACCCAGAAAAGAAAAGGAAAGAGTTGAAAAAGAAGCACCTCAGAGAGAACATACCCACTTTGTTTCTTCACTGATAATCAAAGTGCAAGGATAACAATTTAATAATCTCGTCATTGATGCCCTTCTTTTTTACCACAAAAAAAAAAAAAAAAACATATAAATCATCTGAAAGTAAAAATTCAGATTGTTGTCTTGAAAAGACCGGTTCTGCTTTAGAAAACATAGTATCTTGAAATATTGGTTATCCTAGGTACCGAATCCCACAGGGGCAGCATTTGACGAAAATTGCAGCCGTTTATGCAGTGACTAGAAAGAGACAAACCCTAAGGGCAGGTTTGGAAAGTGAACTCTTCTTAACCGCGATATAAGCCAGTTAAGCGCAGATATTTGTTTGGTATTCGGTTTCTGTAATCATGATGTTGGCCTGGATGAAGGCCCAAGCCTTTGTTATTACACAAGTCAAGGGCTATTTTTAATGGGCTGAAACCTTTTTAAGAAAAGGCTAATGGACATGTTTGCTTTATCTATTAGAAATGCACAATGAAACTTAAGTCCAAGTCCAAGGTTTTTGATTCCGATAATAGCAACCAGATTCTTACTGTTTACTGTTTACTGTTTAAGTTCAGGAAAAACTGCCAACATCCTCTTGACCTAATGATGAGAAGAGAATTTGTGAGACATATAGATGTGGGTTCGAACACAAACAATACCATCCCCAATCCTCAGTATAAAAAAAGGGTTCAGGAAAAACTTTCCATCGTCAAAAAAGGAAAAGTTAAAGAAAAATTTACCAAGTTGATTATAAGCAGGCTCTTGCTTTGATTACTAGGTGATATTTTCTGTCATTCTGAGCTCATTCCATGGTCAAAGGCAATTCTGCAGTAGGGCAAGTGTAAAATTTGTACATCATCCAAGCCTGTTATACTTGCAAATGATGAGATTTGCCAATTGCGAGAAAGATGTATAAGAGAGCAAGGGAGGCACACCAAGCCGTTATATGAGAGGGTAGCGTCTAAGAGAGGAAGGGAAGAGGAAATATGGGGTGGTGAATTTTGGAGCAGTGGCAAAAGATAAGGTGGTGGAGAAGGTGGAGAACCTGAGGAAGAGCTTGGATAGAGACGGGCACAGGGTTTTGGCCAGTTCTTGTTGGCTAGCTATAATCCTCCCTGGACTTTACTTGATTTAAGGCCTAATGAGGTTAAGATACCAATAGAGTGAGTGCTACACTATGTGGCTGATAAGAATAATATGTTTGTTTAGCTGTTCTTTTTCTGGCCATTATCAGTCTTGACAAGTCATGCTAGTCATCGCAAATTCTATGTATATGTTGAAATTTTGGATGGATTTCATTTTCTGCTATTTCATCTTTTCTAATAATGTCAGAGAAAGAAATGCTACCAAATGTCACCAGGATTTATTATCCACTATTGTTCTTCATTCATTAACATGCAACTTTAAGACCTATTCCTGGAGCCCTCTTTATCTCAAAAAGATGCATTTTATCATTTTGACAGACTTGATTTGCCTCCCTGCTTTCTGACATTATGTTTGAACTTTAAACACACCATTATCCCTATTCCTGAAGTCCTCGGTCTTGTGCAAAGCTCACTTTTTGTTTAACAAAATTGAGCAAAGATAAGACTACAATCATGGTAAGGGATGTAAAACTGAATAACTCTGATCAAAATGAAAAAAACCAACTGCATATTAACAGAGTAGATTCTTTCCTGAGAAGATGTTAACTTTTATCAGTGGAAATGAATAAACTAAAAAGCAACGGAAGTGTAGAAATGAACTGATTGCATAGGCCTCAAACATGATCGTACTAGCATATATATGAGCTTTCTCTGATTCTACCTTTTTGAGCATTGTACACACAGGTCACGCAAAAAGCTTAGTAACATATCACATTCACATGCATGGATTAATTCATGTCCCAAGCCATGAACCTTTCTCATCCTGTTCAATCTCAACCAGCAAATAACTTCACCACAATAGTGATGATATTGAAAAGTATAAGTGGTAGCCTTAGGAATTGGCAAGCATGTATGAGTCCAATAATCTGCCCCTTAAGTGTATTTCTTCTCCCTCCTTGAATTTCTGCCAAGGTCCATCCTCTTGGAGCAAGGAACCTATCTTCATTCAGTATTGCAAAAGCATTGGCAAATAGAAGCAAACCTTCTAGCAACGTCCAGAAGCCCATTTTCTGCACAAAATAAAGTTTCAGTTCTCAAATTCAGGACAAACTATCCAAATAGTAATAGTTGATAGTGAAAATTGATAACTGAAAACTTCTAATTGGATGGGATTGTGGTGAGATGTCTTGCACTCCTTGTAGGAATAAAATACTAGAAAGAAGATCACTTCCATCTCAAAAAATGTTACTGTGAATCGTAGCCAAGGCTGCTCAACTCACTACATTTTCCAAATTGCAACTCTCAATGCATATAAAACATAGCCTCAACATCCACGCACATAATACCCCTCCTTCTACCTTGTATTATCAAGGAGCTACATGAGTAAATGACCGTGTAATTTTTAGGCATTTTCACTGGTTTCTAAGGAAAGCCCTATCTTTATCTAGCTTTAACCAACACTATTGGTGCTAAATTTCTCTAAATATAACGGCAATGTATTGAAATTCTAAGATGTAAAAGCCAACACATTTCTATGCTTTTCCCATTATCTTGCAATCAGCTGCACTAGCTATGTTTTAGCTCATGGCTTATCATATTTACCTAAGCAAAGGAAATTTCATATCTGCAGAAAAGCTGATTAGCTATAGTCTATAAAATATAGTTAAATCTCAGAGCAACAGGAGAAAATATCAAAATAATCAACATTACTGCTTTGAAATTTGATTCCATTTAATAACTACCGCAAAGAAAATAAAACTTTGATTTACTTTCATAAAACTAATGAACAAGCAACAGAATTATACAATTGCAAATGCAATAAAACAGCAGCAGAACCAAAGATTTAGACCATATCAGGTTTATGATTTTGTGGTTCAAGTAAAATAAATTATGGGCATCAAAAAAATTTTATTCATGAAATTAGCTCTCTCTGAGTAATTAAGATTCGAGAACACAAAGAATCAAAACAGAGCCTATTCTTGGAAACGAAGAAAATACAAAATAGGGACTTTCTCACCTGTGACAATAAGCAACCCAGGAAGAAATTGCTTACAGATTTGTAGCATCAACTGGAAGCAGAGATCAAGAAGACTGGAAACGAAGTCAAACCAGCCAACCAAAATCCTTTTGAGGAAACCGAACCAACAAGAAAGCTGCAAAACGAGAGCAGATTTCAGTTTGTTGGGCCATGTCTGCTACAGGAAAACTTTTGATCAACGGATAAGATCGTCCTTGCTTACGTATTGCTCGAGCTGATAGCCGTTGGATTTGTCTTTTCTTTCTTACATGACCCGAACATAAAGGCCCATAAAACACGACCCGATAAAGTTTATCAGACAAAGGACACGGATATAGCCGTAGATAAACCCTATAGCATTTGAAACAGAACAATGGCATCACTTCTTCAACTCCCTCATTCTTTCTCGCTATTTTTTAACTCTTCGAACCCAAAACGTCAGTTTTTAAGTTCTCCCAAAATTGTAGCCTTACCAAGAGCCTCAATTGAAACAAATGGAGCCATTGAATCTCCAAAACCAACTCGCCGAGGCAGGAAAAAGAAACCAACCTCGCCTTCTCCAGCAAAGAACACAAGGCGCACGAGGAAAACCCAGACTGGAAATGGTTCTATTGAATCTGAAACTGAGGGAGAAGAAGAGGAGTTGGGAGATTTCGACGATGGCATAGATTTTCCGTACGAGGAACCTCCGTTGATCTGCTGCTTCGGCGCTGCACAAAAGGAGTTTGTACCCACAGTTAGAGTTAACGAACATAAGATGCACCCGGATAAATACTCTCACTGGAAAATGCTTCAGTGGGACCCGCCAGAGTTCAGCAGGGCTCCGGGTGGGCCACCATCCAACGTGGCAATCTCGCACGTGAGGCTTGGAGGGAGAGCTGCATTTATGGGGAAAGTTGGGGAAGATGAGTTTGGCAATGAGCTTGTTTTGATGATGAATAAAGAGAAAGTACAAACCAGAGGTGTCAAGTTTGATGAGAATGTTAGAACTGGGTGTACTTATATGAAGGTTAAGTTTGATGAGAATGGGAAGTTGAAGATGGAGACTGTTAAGGAATCTGCTGAGGACTCTCTTCTTAGCTCTGAATTGAATCTTGCTGTACTCAAAGAGGTAATTTTTTAAACTTTCCATTTGTATGAACGGTAAGATTAATTGCAATGAAATTAAAAACAATAACAAAATTTATTATAATTGCTATAGAAAAAATATTATTGCAGCTGCGATTAAAAAAATTTAATGAAAAATTTATGTGGACTTGATTTCATTGGAGTTGGCATTAAATTCAATTGAAAATACGATGAACTTAATTGGTGCGGTAAAATCCAACGAGGACTTACTGTTGATTTCTATGCAATGAAAATCCATATATGAAATTCATAGAAAAAGTAAACATTCCATTTTTTTTTTTTTTTTGAGTAGTTTATGATAATGTGAAATTTATCAATTATGATGATGCTGTGTATGTGCTTAGAGTGGCAATTCTGTAATTAGTTACTGAACTTTTCTTGTCAATTGAGTAGTTGATAGTTGTGAGAATATATGAATCTTTAAACAGTGAAATTCTTTGACGTGTTAATGTGTAAACCAGATTGGGCTAGATGATTAAAGTAGATCATATGGTTAAATTGCATTTATCGACTGAATGTGGATGTTTGCCTATCCAACATTGATGCAGGCTAGGATTTTCCACTTCAATTCAGAGGTTTTAACATCTCCTTCCATGCAATTTACAGTTGTTAAAGCAATTGCGTGGTCTAAGAAGTTTGGGGGGCTTATATTTTTTGATTTGAATTTGCCATTGCCTTTGTGGAGATCACGTGATGAAACAAGGGAGGTGATCAAGAAAGTCTGGAACAAAGCAGACATCGTTGAGGTTTCAAAGCAAGAGCTGGAGTTTCTACTGGATGATGAGTATTATGAGAGGAGGAGAAATTACAGGCATCAATACTATGCTGAGAATTTTGAACAAACCAAGAATCGTCGAGACTGCTATCATTATACCCGTGAGGAAATCTCTCCACTGTGGCATGATGGACTTAAATTTCTGTTTGTGACTGATGGAACACTTAGAATACATTATTATACACCTTCGTTTGACGGTGTGGTTGTTGGAACAGAGGATGTGCTAATAACACCATTCACTTGTGATCGAACTGGTTCTGGTGATGCTGTTGTGGCTGGTATTATCAGGAAGCTGACCACTTACCCTGAAATGTTTGAAAATCAAGATACATTGGAGAGGCAGCTTAGATTTGCAATTGCTGCAGGAATTATATCGCAGTGGACAATCGGTGCTGTGAGAGGTTTTCCTACTGAGAGTGGTGCACAAAATCTGAAAGAACAGGTTTATGTACCTTCAATGTGGTAGTTGAGAGCCATAGAACATGATAGCAGAAGTTTACTATTTTTTCAAGGCAGATTATTAGGCTTTGTATGTGTTGAATATGGATAAGAATTTCACGAAATAGGAAAATGCTGCATGAAATGTACAAAGCCTGAATTCTATTCATTCCATCTTAAGTGACAGGTAGGCAAGCCTTCGCTACTTGTAGAAGTGTAGGTGACGGCTGGATTGCACAATATATTCTTGTTTGAATTGTAATTTTTGTGATCAGAAGTTCTCCATCTTCACACGATTGTTTAGCCATTGGAAATAGTGTATTGTTTGAATCTGAAATTATGAACCCCGTTTGCTTTTGCCTTTTTTCGTTTAAATATCAGAGGCAGTTAGCTTTTATCTTTTGTTGTTTGGTTTTCAATAAACTTTCTGCAATGTTGAATACTTCTGTAGGTGACAAGGCACTAACTGCTACTTAGAATAAAAATCGAATGATCAAATAAATTATTGGAACGTCTTCGGGACTTTGCCCTTGGGACTAGTAGAAAAGAGAAGCATCAAATATTGCTTCAATAATACGAGCTCGGAGCTTCATGTGTAATATGAGCTAAAAGTTACCTTAAATCCAGCTGAGCAGCGAAATTTCGATTCTTTTTTCATTAATTTAAACCTGACATTGCGGCAGAATCAGTTTGGAAAGGCAACTGCTAGTTGTTCTGAAGTCATTAGAAAACAAAAACTGTATAAAACCTTTCTTTATTTGTCCATAGAATCACATTCTGCCAACAGGATTGATTGTCTTCATTTTTTTTTTTCATTTCCTTCTTTTTTTTCCCTTACTTTACCGAATAAGATCGGGACTGTTTCCTTCATCATGACAATAAAGCAGAGACTCACCGCGAATCACTTTGATAGACTCTAGTCCTTATACTTACAGCAGTACAGATATTGCCTTCACATAAGGGAAAAAACTGAAAATATGAACTATTGGTTAGTATCTGATCAGAACATTCGGGAAACAATCTCCATTATGTGCTATTTCAGATATTACATCCGAATTCGTAAGATGCTAATTTTGGCAGATGCCTTTTTTTGTTTTTTTACAACCAAATTATAGAAAGAATAATGAATAAATCAATACTGTGATTCCACCGTGACATATATGTTCGCATGTCTGTATAACTAACCTGATTTGCCTCAGAATTATACATCATCTTCTCTGCTTACAAAAGTTGCTGGTTGGGTCCCCTAACAATACTGAAACTGGTACTGTATAATTCAGTTGACACCAAATCTCACGAGAAATCAGAAACCATAAGATTTCTCAGCCCTGTAGGTCCCCTAACAAAACTGAAACTGGTACTGTATAATTCAGCTGACACCAAATCTCATGAGAAATCAGAAACCGTAAGATTTCTCAGCCCTGTAGGCCTCTGCTGCAAGTCTCCCTACCGGGGGAAAGCACTTAATTCAAGAATCCTTATCAGCCATCCTCCTTCAGAGGGCAGTGTATAATTTAACTGACATAATCCACTAACTAATATACTATCTTTTAACTGAACTCAAGTGCCGATCAAACTTCAGGCTGCTAATTTGCTGCTCCCGAGATCTGTTACAAATGCACCCAGGAAGGGGATTTGCATAAAAATTCTCCTCTAGTCGCGGTGACTCTCCCGGTTGTCTTAGGTATGGCGCTCCAAGCCTGTCAGAGTGTAAACTCTTTACTTCCAAAGAAAACTTCTCCCAAGATATTACACCCTCATCCAGTTGGTCAATGAGTTTGACAAAATTTTTTCTGAAATAAAAGATATTTATGTCAGTCCAGTAGTCTCTTAATGTCCTCACTTTAAGAAAGAAATTCTGCATGTATCTAATACCCTAAAAAGAACTTACTTATCAGGGTTGATGGTCTTTCGAAATCCTTCAAACCGTCTGTGCCCCTGTACGGCTTTAGCCATATTCCCATAATAGGTATAAATAAAGACTTCACTTTCAAGTGCCACAATATAATCCAAGGCAGCAAGGCGATTCTGATATGGCTTGAACAGCTCCAACTCTTCTTCAGTTGCCAAAGTAAAATGAGAGAAGACATTCGGATACTCTGAACGAAAGGCTGCCATGCTATTGCTGCCATAGATCTCTCCTGCAACAATGTAGATAGGCGTGCTGGAAGGGTAACCCATGGCCTTGAGGAAAATGGCTGCCTCTCTAGGGGTCATCGGACATCCCCCTTGACTACGCCGCTCTTCACTATCTATCTCTTTCTCCTTCCAATGTCTAACATTGTATCTCATAACCGTGAGGTCATCACCCTCTTCTGCAGTAAGGTTATGGATGCAGCCTGTGAATGCAAGCATATCCTTCTCATACCTGCAATTAAGATTAGCCTATTTGGCTCAGAGACTTGTTAAGGAGAAATACTACTATAGATGCCAATAATGATGGTACCTTAAGTGTAAAGCAATGTATGGCTCATTATTGTTCTTTAGTCTATCAACTAAAGTCCTCCCAAGATCCTCTATCTCTTTTGTATAGCGGAGAGCCTCATAATTGGCACGGCACCTAAGTCTTTGAATGAAGGTTGCAATGCCATTATTAGCAAGCCTTGAATCACTGTGCGTGAACTTGATCACCTTATGCCGCTTTAGCAATGGGAGCACCTCCCTTCTGTAGTAACTAGCCTGCAAATATAGCATCTAAGACACCATTCCAGTAACACTAAATCAAATGAAATATCATCATTCATTTAACAAATTCCAATCCTTTCCATACCTTTGACCAGGAAACAGGGGCCTTTACCACGGGCTTTATTGCTGTGTACTTAACGGGTAGATACTCAACAATCTCAATATCATCTTTCAGTACATTGATGAAGTGCCTCCAGTCAAAAATATCCTTAAAATCACTGTGCAAAATGTATTAAAAAGGTCAACCTTTTGAAGTTAACAAAGAAGAAAATTGATATTAAAGAAAAAGGGCAGTGATGAATGTTACCTTGGGTCTGTCCAAAATGACTCATGATCAAGAGAAGGAAGAACCAGGGTGGCATTCATTATCTTGGCAACAGCAACCATATCACATATCTATAAGTCAATAGAACCAACAGATTGGGTTGTGGAAAAGATTAAAAAGTTAATCCAAATCTAGGAAAAACAAAGTTGTCAAGAGTCAAACATACTCCTGTTCTCATTTGATTCAGTCCACCATTGGCATGAACAATAATATACGCATTAGATTTTGATCCAGTCCCTGAAGTTAGATCAAATTATTAATAAAAATCACATACAAATCTTTTGTTGTTTTTTTTGCCTGGACGAAAGTGCTTAAAAAGTTGCGAAAGGAACATGACATACTTATTCGTTTCTTAGGTCGAGATATACATTGTTGATAATTGTCACTGTTTGGTTTCATCCAAATTTCTGGGGTCTGCAGATAAGGCAAGTTAAATTAAACACGTTAGTATATACAAGACAAGATATAGATTTCCATAGATAGGAACTCAAAGAGAAACATCAAATAATTTGCATGTGAATGCACGAGAAAAGCTATCAAAGAACATAACACAGCCAACTAAAACATGATCATGATAAAGTAACCAGAAACAGTAGAAATTCGCTGTTTGGTCAGAGCCACCAACCTCAAAAAATTTCAATGCAAAAGAAAAAAAAAACCATAAAAATAAAAGAAATAAAAAACCAAGAACAAGAAAAAGAAAAGGAAAAGAGGGGTGAAGAATAAGAAGGAAAGAAACTTACAGAGACCCTTTCAAGAACGCGTTTGGGCATAGAGAGGTCAGTATCGGGTTCGACATGGGTCTCGGCGACAACTCTTTGGGCCAAGGCCCAATCTTCTTTAAACGTCTGCAAGATCAATAGTCCATTTTGTTTTTTCCATATGCCGTTAACCTCAACGTGACTACTAAGAAGTGAAACTTTGATAAAAACGGAAACAACCGCCATTAACAACAGAAATCCGAAGATGTTACGGCCCATGTTCCTGCAGGATCTCAAACTCTGAGCTATATTAACCGACCAGAGACACGTGTCTTCAATCCATAGGAACCACGTGTCAGGCACCCAAGAGAATAACAACTTCCTGCGAATCAACAGATACCTGATCACGGGGTGATGGTTTTGGTGGTGGTGGAAATAATGGGACCCGTAGGAAGAACTGGAGGGAATGTAACCGTTGGAGTTGTCAGCTTCTTCATCGTTAGAGGCGAGGGTATGATAGTCCGAACAGGAAGATGAATTATAGTTGTCGGACTCTGTTGTTGGAAGATCTGCCACGCGTCGCCTTGTCGTGGTGGGTCCCCCTGGTACTGGGCTCCCGTTTGTCGAGTTGTTTGCACCTCCCGACGACATCGTATCGCCGGAAGTCCCAAAAAAAAAAAAATGAAGAAGAAGAAACAACTCGACGGAAAGGAAAAGAAAAGAAAAAACCAAACAAGAGAGAAAGGAAGGGATGGTTCCGCAATCAAAGGCAGAATCAGAGGTGTGAAAAAATTTTGGTTTTTTGTATATAGTGTTGCGGCCACACCTTCTCTCTCTAGATTTTTTGTTTTTGGTTTCTGTGGGGCTTTTTTTTTTTTTTTCTTGTTTTTCTCTCTCTTTATAAAGCATGACGATTGGCGATTAGGGAATGGCGGAACATTTTTATGGGTTTTTTCATCCGAAGCATGGCCCTGTTCGGTTTCTTTCTTCAATCATTGTTACGTTGAATCGTGCGGTTGAATTTACCAAAATATCCTCTCTCTTTTTTTTATATGATTTTAATTTCTTTCAAATTTTTTTTCGTTACTATAATTTTAATTTCTTTGGTGTCTTCCAATGAAGTTTTATTTTATTTTTTGAGCTAGAATTTTATTATTTATTTTTGAGATTTACGGAGTGAATTGACTAATTTTAGTAACATAATTTTTAAATGCAGTATAAATTTCTTAAAGATGCTCAATTATATAAAAATTATGTCATTCTAACATTTTCTTAAAAATAAAATTTTAAATTTTTTAAAGGTGTTTCGAAATCATTTAATCCTCCGGTAAAGAGGAGGGCAAAAAAAAAAATGGTGAAAATTAAATAAACTGAAAAAAAAAATCCATGTATACTCTTCACAGTTAAGGCAAAGCTATTAGCTAAAAAAAAAACATGCATAAAGAATAATGAAAAAGAAAATTTTCTTTTTTATGAGACCATCAAAAAGCTATGAAAATATTAATATTGCTTTGACAGCAAATTTAGAATCACTTTGTAAAGGTGGAGTAAACTTTACTCGTGTTATGTTGGTAGGAAAGAAAATGAAGAAAAAAATTTAAAAAAATAATTTATTTATTTTTATTGTGTGTAGTATGAAATATGAAAAAAAAAAAAAAAGGTAGAGTTCAAATTATAAATAAAATTATTAATTTAAATTAAATTAATGTTTTTTTCTTTTTCATTTAAAATAAAATGAAAGATGAAAATCAAATTATTTTTTTGTCTTTTTTTTTTATCCTATTTGAAAAGTTAAACAAAATTTCCTTTCACCTTATTTTCTTCTTTCATCTTTTCCTCTTACCAAATACAATATAAAATTTGCAAAAGCAAAGCAGAGTTCTTAGAAATGCAAAAATGTTTGCATGTTCACTTTATCCTTTTGAAAAGTTATAATCTGACAAGATTTTTTTTTGTTGCACAATAGATGTAATTTTTTCATTTTTTATCCTTTTAATCATTTATGTTAACACTTCCACTCAAAAACACAAAATTCCAAAAAAAAAAATCAAAATATTATCTTCTCAATTAAATCAAATATTTTAGCCAAACAAAAAAATTATATATATAGACATTTTTTTTTTACCAAAGTGATTTGAAATCTTGTTTCCCATATTTTGTAATTTCAAGCTTTTTTTATTATTATTTCTATTGTTTTTCCCCACATTATAACCATATTATATTTTTTAAAATTTTTTAAAAATTAAAAACAAATAATAGTATACAAAAATTAAAGATCTCTCTTTCACATGCTTGTAACTATTTATTTTTTTTATTGTATCTTGTCCCAATATATGATATTCAATTTTCTATTTTAAAAATAAAATTGTGATTCATTATACGTATAATCTCAATTTAATAGTTATATTATTCACAATGCCAATGTTGGTCCCATAATTAAAATTCTTATAATCGTAAACCTAATTAAAAGAAGCAATCTCGCATTAACAAGCAACTATAAACATCTCCATGTGAAAAGCCAGACAGATAGAGACAGAGACAGGGGATTGGATGGTGACTCCGTCTGTCTTTTAGCTTAAACTGACAAATCAAGCCATCGGTTTCCCACATCAATTGGACAACTTTTTCTTGTTAATTCCCCATACGATCGATCCTGTTGTTTATAACTTTTGTTATTATGTAATAAATTGTTTTGATGCTATATATGTTTGGTGAGTGTTCTTATCCAAATAAATCTTCAACATTTACGATAATAAAGACAATTTTTTTTTACACTCATTATGGTAAGTAGTTTTTTTTTTTTTAATGAGATAAATTTTCATTCATGTGGTTCTTTTCATTTTTTGTGATGATTTACCATTTTGGCAGGCAAAGCTAATGTTTAAATTCTGTTAGATTTTAATGGATAAATCAAGTGGTTTAGACTTCTATTTCTTATAGATTTGGTCTAAATGCGGCAATTTAAGCATTAGTTATTAATTCAATAAAAGAAATGAAAATAACAAACTGTTTAATAAGGAGAAAGCATGGAAAGGGGTTTTTTTCGGGAAGAGGAACTTTTTGCACTGAAAAGTCAGTACCAATTCAAAAGTAGTAGGTTTGAATTTGAAGTTTAAAATAATTGATTCAAATTATTTTAAAAAAATAATATTAATAATTTTAAAATTTAAAAGTTATATTAAAGGATGAAAAATTTTAAATAAAATATAATAATCATCTAAGTTTTTATTATTTTATTTTAATTAATTAAGTTATCAAATTTTTATTTTCATCAATTGAATTCTTATTAGATGAAAATTGATTAACAATTAACATTAATTTATGTATAGTCAATAATTTAATTTGAGTGAAAAAAATATTTAAAAATTTAATTATGTGAAAATAAATGTTTAAAATTTTAATTAATTGAAATAAAAAAATTAAAATTTAATTGATTATAATAAAATATTAAAAAGTTAAATTATTTTTTATTTTGTATTAAAAATATTTTTAATTATTTTTTTTTAAATTTAATACCTATAATATATTCTTTTATATTTAGATATTCTGCATCCATTTAATATAAAAAAATGATAACTTATATTCTTAAGTAAATAAATAAATAAAACTCAAAACACTCATGACAATATAAGAAATTCGTTTTGAACGGGGTGGAACTATCTCCTAATTTAAAAAAAAAAAAACTATTTACATGCATGATTATGAAAATAATTACATATTATATGTTAACATTTGATATTGCCAATGTCAAATTTTTTTTGTTTTGGAAAGGAAATTTTGAATTCAATATTTTAATATAAAATATATGCATTAATAAATAAACAAATCGTTGAAGTACGACAATAACTTATATCATTAAAAGTTTATTTTATTTTTTAATATAATTTTTAATAAAATAAAATTTCATGTTATACCTTTTTCCATAATATTAAAAATATAATGATAAAAAAGAGATTCGTAATGCTCCTCAACCAGAGATCACCCAAACTAAAGATCATCCAAAAATTTCACAAAAAAAAAATAAATTAAAAATTTTTCCTAAAAATAAATTCCCCTAACAGAATTAAGCTTGAAAATACACTAAGTTCAAAGGACAATTTGGGAACCCAAGGTTAAAATTTTCAACAAAATGAAATTGGAACGTTCCTCGAGAGTCTCCTTCTGATTTTTTCTAAATTTTATATATTTTCCAGAAAATCTAAAATCCCATCACTTGTGGTCATTGACTCCTTTTTTTGGTTTTACACAGCATTTTCTTCTACGAATCCGTTTTTTTGAAACTGGAAAAGACACGTGGCGACTTCTTCCACCCTTTACGTCTCTCACAGTACTATCTGTCGTCGGCGCACCGATTGCCTGTGATTATTTTTTTTTCCAACCGTTGGATTTTTTCAGTAAAAGCTATGATTAGATGCATTTAGAGTTAGGATAAATCATGAACCATTGCCAGCGATGATGGCTTTCTTTCGTTATACTAATCATAATGCAATCCGACGACTTTGATTTTAAAATATGTGATTTTGAAGGTACCAAACGTTGTTGGGCAAAATAGTGTGATAGGTTGCGATGTGTGTGATCTTAGGCCAACAATGCGGTGGCAATCAAGCACGCGAGAGACCAAAAAAGTTTCAACGCGGCAAGAATCCGCAGGCAGAGTGGAAAGCGTGCACGTTGTCCCGTGTCTGTCATTTCGATTTTTTTATTTTTCATTTTACTTAATTCATATGAAAAATATATCATATGCCTGAATTTTTTTTCTCTTCAGATGTAATTTGAATTAATTCTTAATTAATTTAAAATTTTTTAAATGATTTATATGCAAAATCCCTTTCTTTATTTAGGAATATTTTAATATTTTTATGGGAAATATTAAAATATTTTGCTCCATGATGTTGATAATATATTATTTTTCATGTGGAAAAAGATGCACCATTTCCTTAAGCAAGAATATAATAAGAAATCGTCAAAGAATTTTATTTTCCAAATAAAAGAAAATAGTCAATAAGCCTTACGTAAGTAACAATAGTAGATTGAGTTTTCATGGGTTTGCCTCAAGTTCTGGTTGGCAGAAAACAGAGTGAAGATGTTGTAAAAAATGAGTGAGTTGAATGCTTCTTCTCTGTTCTTAAAAGTCAATGAGTCAAGTAAAAACTCCAAAAGTTTTTTTTATCAGGATGTTTTCAAACCAATTGTTTTTGTGGCTTTCAACAACGACCTGAAATAATAAAAGGAAATGTTCAATCTATAGGTCCAAAGCCAAAGTGCACGTTAAGTAGATACGGAGAACACTTTTTAAGTTTTGAACGAGTTGCCAAAGTCAAAGAGAAAATTAAGAAAAAAGGAAACGCTTCTGGATCAATATTGGAACCGATCCTAAATCAAGTGATACAATAACTAAAATTTAAGGGTCCACACGCATTTCAACTAAGTGAGTAAATTGCCCGAAAATCAGATGGAAACGGAAAGGAAAGGCCATGCCAAAGTTTTCCAGCTAGCCTTCTAAAGCAAGGTGGGATGGTGGACATGGAAAAGTACAGAAAACCATTAGGTATATACAATAGAAAATTAATTTGTTCAGTGCGTGTCCACCGGCTAAAGGGCCATGATTATCAGATTTCATTCCATTCCCACCGCCGGACTACCAAACCTTAACGTGTGATGACATTCTGTTGTGTAATAATAATAATAATAATAATAATAACAGTAATAAAAAGGATCAAATTACAAGTGTCAAACATTGAATTTTAAATCTACGAAAATTTGTCTTTTTAAGGAAAATGAATGAACAATTTGAGCTACGATTTAAACTCAAGTTTTGGTATATTTAAGTTGGATTTGCGCTTTAAAATCTTTTGACACTGTGCAAAAGCATTGATCATCCCCCTTACACCTTAAAGATACTTGGATGAGATTTCAAATTGCATTTTAGATGATTTCTACTGAAACCATCCTGATTCTTGATGTTATGGGGCTTCAAAATGAAACAAAAAATTGTTCCCTCACAGACATTACCTATGGACTTTGAGCTTTTCCTTTAACTCTTATCTCTAAGTAAAAGGCTACAGGAAAATGTGAACTTCAATCAGTCACCAAGATTCAAGACATTAGACATTCAAAAATAAGAAAAGGCTGGAATGGTACAGAAGAAAAGTAGTTAAAGAACGGTTACATAGAAAAGAAAAGCACAAACTGTTGTAATGCAAGAATAATTATGTTTATCACATGGAAATTACACACTGTAATCTATTGAACACAGGAATTCAACCAATTTATTATCAGCCACATGAAAAACCTACAAATACGAGTAGCATAAATAACTGAGAAACAATCTCTTTTAACTTCAAAATCTGCCTCATTACACCTTCAACCATTCCAGGCAAGGACATAAGCCCCAGCAAAACCGAGCGGGATAGTAGTCCTTCAAGTACACATCCCGGCTGAATCCAACAATGTAGAAACTGAAAGATTGACGATGACGAGTCATGGTGACACGTGTCACTGGCACCACAGAGATTGCGTGTCTCTCGCAAATGACCCTGGCAGTAGGAGGTACAGAAGCCCTGTCTGCAATAATGTCAGAAGAGAACTTGTTGAGGAAGAAAGAGTCGGCAAAAAAGGCTGGAGTGCACTGATATGCCTGGGTGTTGCACAACTGAACCCCTTTGGCCCTATGGAAAATCTCGTCTGGAACTGATGCTGCTCCACTTGTTGCACTTACTTTTCGAGTTGAAAGTGTTTTCCTACCAACAAAAAGGATCATTCAAATAATTAAAGAGGCTGGAAGCACACATGAATGTAAACATGCAAGTTCTATATGTGCCTAGTATCAATATTTGCAAACTAGCAGGTGAGATATGCCTCTAAGCTAAGGTATTCTAAAATAAAAAATGGAAATTCTGGTGGAGTCCTCCTTACAAATTATTCTAGAGAATTTTTGTGGTCTGAAATTGCCATTGGTAACAAAACTGAGCTGTGATGATTTAAAATGGGAGATTATATAAAAATGACATAACTATGCCAAGGTTGTACAGATAAAATGCAAATGTGGATTATCCACTATAATAGCCAGATGCAGCATATACGTATATCCTGATTTCACAGACCATAATGTGGAAAATATCCCTCCCGAATGAATTTCAGCATTAGAAGTTATCTTCAAAAGTAAAGTGTCATAGACATAGAGTTTCTGCATCCAAATGAGGACAAGAAGCACCGACATTGAGTAATATATATATATATATATATATATATATATAACGGAGAAGACATCCAAATATCATGTTGTACTGGATCATCTAAGTCAGTTGACAACGAAGAATATTTTGAAGAAAAGAATCTTTGAGGTAGTGCAAGCACATAACTATATTAGCAACATAGATTGGCATGCTTACCATTTAATAATGGCAATTTTACGAGTCAACAGAGAACCGTTTCCATTACATGTCTCACACTTTAGTAAGCCATGAGATCCACAAGTAGCGCAAGGAATCTTTCCTTTCCCATCACATTTTGTGCATCTGCAGAAGATATAATTGTCAGTGGAAAAAGTGAATCATGTAAAAACTCATACCTCAACACTATATGTTAGGAAGAAAAAAAATTGAGAGATTAGTAAGAAACCAACTACCAAATTAATGGCTACATTGTTCAATATGGGGTTCATTAGCCAAAAGTTTCAAACTAGAAACCCAGATAGCAGCTTAGGCATGATAACTACACGCATAGATAGTTTCTTGAAATCAAGCATAGCTGTAAAGTATAAGCTCAACAATATTATTCATATTTTGGAACCAGTAACCAACTATCTTGGATGCTAGTTTAGGTTTTCTAGAATTAAATAACGAAGAAACTGCTCACATAGTGTCTGATCCGTCTTTGTGGGCAATTAATCCCCTTCCATAGCAAGCAGGGCACTGGGACATCTGATTTTGCTTATAAAATCCAGGTTCTTGGTCTGCATTGCATGTAGGACATGCAATATCTCCTTGTCCTGCACAACCTGCAGATTTTTTTCTTACACATCAAGTTAAAGCTAAGCACTACTAACCAGGAAGGAGGGAACCATGTATGGCATGTATAACTAATAAAGCACGAAGCATTAATATAACAGGAAAGAGATATAAAAAGAAACTAAACGGAAAGAAAATAGCTATTGAGAGCACTAGAGTGGCAAATAAATTTGTGTTTTGACAAATTTAAGATGTAAAAATCCTCCAACATTAATGCCATAGGCACCATTATTTCAGTAGCATTACCTGAACATTTCTCAATGGTCTCACTATGAGGAATCTTGACTCTTGTTTCTTTATAATGTACAAAGAGAACAGGGAATTGTGATCTTAGATCCAATTCCCAAAGGCCAGGTTCAGGACTGTTATCTTTTCCATCAATGTTGCCACCAAGGTAAGGTTCTGTTTCTCGCACTACTTCTCTCTCTTCTAAGAAAGTTTCTAGAGTTCCCACATAAACATTGCAATCCTCAACAGCATGAATCTTCCATGTCCGAGCAGGATGACTCCCCCAACAGCATCTATGACCAATATGATCAATGAGCAACTCTCGTATCTCTACCTCATCCAATAATTGCCTATATGTAAATCACTCATTTAATCAGTTCCAACAAGAATTCACAATTAATTTTCCCTCAAAGCAAATGTCAATCAGTTCCAACAAGAATTATAGCATTTTCATTTCTCTAGGACGTTTAATCTCCTTGACAACAAAGTAAATTCTAATTTGTTTAAACATAGTTGAGATTAAGAAAAGCTTCATATTACAGGCATGAAATGCTGCTGCTTTATATCCTAATTCAAAAAAATATTGCAACATTACCCAAACATTCCAATCTCCATATGAAGCTATCAAGGATACTCACCTGACCTATCTCTCATATAAACTATCACATTAATACAAGGGAGTTCCGATTTTTTCCAGCCTTACCTCTGAAAATCATTGGAGTATGTGCCATAATCTGTTGTGCTAGGACCTTGATGAAGAATAGCTTGCTCTGGGACATGCAATAAAACAAGTCAACTGTAAGAGTTCACAACTCATAATCTTCATAGACAACTCAGTTTCCGATAGTTAATTCTGGAATTAAAATTGCTTGCATCCTCCAAAAAACGAAATTGACAATTTAAAGCAACTAAAATTCTTAATTTCATAAACCAAAAAGTTTAAACCTTTCAACAAAAGAGCCTGAAATACTCAATACCCATTAAGTAAAAAGAGCGGCTTGTATTGAAGATACCGATAGGATGGGGCTCGGGGGAGCTGACCAAAGGAGCATGAATGGAAGGCGGGTAATGACCAGAAAAAGAAGTCGCTGACCGAATCTCTTCGATGCTAACTTCCGTTCCCGCCAAGGAAGCCGTTGGGATCACCGACCCCGTTCTCCCCACGTACTGATACGAGCTCAACCTCTCACTCTCTTCAACTTCACTTCTTTTCTCTTAAAAACCCAAGATTAATGCAGGATCAGTCGATCATGATCAGGATTGGAAATATCTAAAAATATAAAATAAAAGTGAGAAACAAGAAACCAGAAACTGGGTACCTGAAAGAAGAGGCTGTTCCATGGTTTTTCCTTGGCAATTGAGTGCTACAGTGGTGTTGGTGTCGATAAGTGGAACAAGTGAAGATAAATGGGACAACTTTCCTTAGCAAGGAAGGAAGTGGAAGATCATCAAATAAAAAAAAATATATTTAGTAGTAACCAAATGAAGATTTTGTCATATATAATAGAATTAGGAGGTTTTTGGTATATTAGGTTGTAACATAATAGATTAAAAATAAAATAATATTATTTTGTATTATATTTGATGTATATAAAGAATAAAATGAGATAATTTATTTACGGATTAAAATTAATTTTTTAAAATTTTAGAACGATTGAATCATTTAATAATAAAAAGATAATTACTTTTTTTTTAATTTAATTATATATAATATAAAATAATTATTACCTTATCTATTTATCATCTTATACACTAATTATAATTTTTTTTCTGAGAACAATCCATTTGGGCCACGCGCTATAATCAGAAGAACGAAAACCAAGAAATTGTCTGTTGATTTCTGGGTCAGGTGTGGCCCAATAAAATGTGTACTTAAAAGCCCACATGAAATCCAAGTGTATCTCGCGTGACCACCAGAAAGCATACGCCCACTCACACCATAACATTTCCTGTCCTCTGTAAATTTCACCTTTTATCCTGTTTCTCATCTTTTCGCTAGGGTTTTTGTTCTTTCGTAGGCAAAGCGGCAGCAGAGACTTCTTCGAGTCGAAAATGGTGAAAGGTCGCCAAGGAGAGCGCGTCAGGTTTCACTCTCTCAAACCCAAATCCCTTTTTGTTCTTAGTTTCGTCGCTCCTCTTTCTCATTTGGTCTTTAATTTTTTTCTGTTTAATAGGCTCTACGTTCGTGGAACCATTCTGGGCTACAAGAGGTAGCAAATTTTTTTCTTTTGATTTCTTGAGCTGGTTAAGGAAGTGTTTGGATTGGTGCTCAAGAATGGGTTTTTCGTTTGGTTTGGTTTTGTAAAAGGTCGAAGTCGAACCAGTATCCGAAAACATCCCTGATTCAGATCGAAGGAGTGAACACGAAGGAGGAAGTAGGATGGTACTGTGGGAAGCGGATGGCATATATTTACAAGGCGAAAGTGAAGAAGAATGGGTCTCATTATCGTTGCATTTGGGGTAAAGTAGCAAGGCCTCATGGAAACAGTGGCATTGTTCGTGCTAAGTTCAAGTCTAACCTCCCTCCCAAATCTATGGTAATTAAACAAGTTGTAATCAACTAATTACTAATTAGCTTTTTTTTATTAGTTTTGTTTGGTTCTGGTTTTGCTGACGCTGGTCTCTTTTTATTGGTTGAATAGGGTGATAAAGTGAGAGTTTTCATGTATCCCAGCAACATTTGAGGTAATATGAAACGATTCTCATTTTCCATTTTATGTGCAGTTGACAACTCATTCCACTATGTTAGCATTGTATTCAAGTGATGCCCATTTCTGGATTGTTAAACTGTTGAGGATAGCTTCCTGTCTCTAGATGATGAAATCAACTTGGAAATTTATACTGGACTTTCCGTTACTAAAGTTGTGATAGCGAGACTTTGGATTAATTATGGAAACTTGTGCTAAAATATAGTTAAATTTATAATTCCTATTGATCTTTTCATCTAATTATTTCATTAGCTTTTGGTTAAATGGATTTGTATGTCTGGCCTTAGCAGGATGGAAATCATATAGTCCTATTTTATTAGCTCATTCATTTTATTGATCAATCATTTTGTTCTTCTTTTGTATTGCAGTGGGACGGTGTAGATGCTTGATAGGCATTGCAAGTGGATAGGTTGAGTGAGTCGAGACTGAATCTCAATTTAGAGTTAAATTTTGCTGTTTTCTGTTTGAGAGCTATGGTTCCTAGCTTGCTTTCATATTTGGTGTTTCTTCAATATTTCTTATGATAATGATTATAGTTAGTTCCAAAAGTGGAATATTTGTTATTGGATCAACTATTAGTATTTGAATCTTAAGAACATGTGCGGCAATCCAATTTTTGAAGCATGAAAAATTTACCCTATTGCTATTAGGATCTTGTTATTGTAGCTATTTATTAATCAATTAAAAGAATGTCTTCACTTCGGCCTTTCGCGGATTTGCTTTTGTTTTCTCTGTAAAAAACTAATCAAGGGCAAAAAAGTAACTGACGTCCATTGTAGGGCTTGAACCTAAAACCACAAGGTTAAGAGGCTTGAGCTCTACCGACTGAGCTTGACTGGCAGTTGGTAGTGCAGAAATTAAACCGAAGTCAGGTTCATAGGCAGGGGGCTGATATAACACTATGACGAGGAAATGCAATTGTCAGCTTTTGTTTGCCTTGATATAAGATTTTCTATCTGCTTCTTTATTTCACTGAGACGTCGTGGAACTGGTGCACAATGCTGCCAACGCGTCTTAAAAATTGAAAAATACCCGAACATTGTTGACACGTACGTGGGCAAAATTATATCACGCTTATAACAGATTAAAAAGCAGGTTTTAGATTTATAATTATTCGACAGCAACCCCAAAATCAAACGTTTGATAATCATTAAATTGGCTAATTCAGGTTCCCAGTACCTGAAATAGGGGTAGGTCCCGTGAAATGTACCCTATTTCCTTAAACCTTGCATTTCTTCTTGATTCATACAGTTACGCCTTTTCTTCTGGCTCTAGAGCATGATCGCCCCTATATAGCTTCCCATCCTCCTGCTTTTTATGAAATTTTGAAGAGAAAAGAGAAAAGAAAAGAAAACCCCTTAGCCATAGCCATGAAGACTGTGATTCCATGGAACACGGTCTGGATCGTGATCTCATGGTACAGTTCAAACATTGGCGTTCTTCTTCTAAACAAGTACTTGCTTAGCAACTATGGTTTCAAGTACCCAATTTTCCTGACCATGTGCCATATGCTTGCCTGCTCTTTGGTAAGCTACTTAGCCATAGCATGGCTCAAGGTGGTTCCCATGCAAAGCATTGGTTCCAAGAAACAGTTTCTGAAGATCACAGGGTTGAGCCTGGTTTTCTGCTTTTCTGTGGTTCTTGGAAACGTGTCATTACGGTATCTTCCGGTGTCTTTTAACCAGGCCATTGGTGCCACGACGCCATTTTTTACAGCAGTTTTCGCGTATGTAATGACCAAGAAGACGGAGAGTTGGGTTACATACGTGACCTTGATACCTGTGGTTGCAGGAGTGATCATTGCCAGTGGGGTAACAATTTCCCAACTTTACCAGTATTGTTTATGTTGATTTTGATTTAAGATAATTCGTTTTTTTTAATCTTTTTATGCTTTGGTGAACCTGTTAACTAAATCTGGTTCTTTGATCTGAGTTAAATGGACAGCTCTTTTGTCAGATCTTTTCTGTTTGACTAGAGAATTATTATAAGTTGTCAATACATTTTCACGTATATGTGTTTGTCTGTTGTAGGCTGAACCAAGTTTCCACCTTTTCGGATTTCTAATGTGTGTTTCAGCTACTGCTTCAAGGGCGTTTAAATCAGTGCTTCAGGCAATTTTGCTGTCATCGGAAGAGTGAGCTTTAATTCTTCTCTCAATTCAACTGCGAAATCTTCGAAAGTTTAAAGAAATCAAAAGATTATGAATTTCGCTTTCCTAAAGTTACGTAACAAGGAAAAAAGAATTGGGGCCAAAGTTTGATGGCTATAATACTTTCTTTCACATAAAGTATAAGATTAAAATGAGTCCAATTTATTCTTCCAGGGAAAAGCTCAACTCCATGAATTTGTTGATGTACATGGCGCCAATAGCAGTAGCGATCTTGCTTCCTGCTACTTTGTTGATGGAGAAAAACGTGGTTGCCATGACTGTAGCCCTTGCAAGAAAAGATATCAAAATTGTGTACTACCTGCTTTTCAATTCTTCTCTTGCTTATTTTGTGAATTTGACCAACTTCTGGGTCACTAAACACACAAGTGCCTTGACTCTCCAGGTATTCAATAAGTTAGGGAATAGGGATGGAATCAGATTTCATTTAAAAATTTCTTGCTTTTGCATGTCAGGGTAAGTTTTAATGAATATGTTAATGATGGTCTTTAAAATCTTTCAGGTTCTGGGAAATGCAAAAGGTGCTGTTGCTGTGGTGGTTTCAATTTTGATATTCAGGAATCCTGTTTCATTCATTGGGATGCTGGGCTACTCACTAACAGGTCTTGGAGTTGTTCTCTACAATGAATCCAAAAAGGAAAACAAATAACATCTTATTAATTCTAATTCACAAGTTAGAACATCATCAGAAGCTGTTCTGCTATTGTTTAAGCAGGTGCCTGTTGCTTATGCCTCAAATTCTGCCATCATTTGTTTTTTAGAAACTCGAAAGAGAAGAATTAGCTGCTTCTAGCTATGGTTCCAATTTTCTGGAATCAAGCAACCATATTATGAAATATCGAGTCACAAATTGCTATTGATTTTTCTTTGCTTGGTATGGTTGAAGCTAGCTCAATAAGTCTTTTTTGCTTTGTTTGAACCTTTTTTGGGCTTCAATTTTATCATCATTACGTCAGAGGTGTATCTTGATCATGTCAAACAAAACTGTTAGAACAAAATGTTATATAAGTTCAACTGACTCTTTTTCATCCACATGTATAAATCATTGAAATGTTTCTTCACCGGATTTCATTTGAAGACTTCTGGTTACAATTAGTACATCAATTTGGATGATTTTATATACAGAAAGATTAAAATATAATAACTTCGAATAATTGGAGATTCAACTAAAAATCAAAATAAAGTTTAACTCAAAGTTTAAGAATCATAACTGCTATCAACTTATTTTTTATTAAAACAATAGAGAAATTGAACTGTTGAATGTCTTAGATGATTTTCTTCAGGCCAAAAGATGTATGCTGAGAAAGAAATCACTAGTAAATTACCTGAGAGCCTTGTCATTGGCTGTGGTTTTCTTCTTTTACATGCATAAAAGGACATTAGTTCCAGTCTTCAACCATGAAGTTGGAACCTCGAATCACCAGCCTGATGGGCTAACCATTGCCAAGTGGTGACCATGTGGAAAACCATATTCTTCAGGCTTTTAACGAGTCTTTTATGGCTGCCAATCACAGAGCATACATCTTGACTTATTCCCACCAAAAGCTTACTTGGTAATTCCATCCGAATAGGCCCAATGGCAAGCACGACATCCACTATCAAGGTGACGTCGTTTTATGGTCGAATTCGCCGTGGGTCGGTAGAATTTTTTTACTTTTTTTCATGTAATTATTCCATTTTCAAAGACTTGTTTTGTGGCGGGCTGTGAAATAAAGACGGCTTACCAAGTTTTTCCAGGAGCTGAGCCGGCCAACCACTACCCTTTTGACGATAAGGTTACGTGTCTTAATATAATTGGTACAAAAATCAAAACTCTTAAATGTAGAGTGTAGAGGAAATTTGCCCAAGTTGAAGAGCCCAGCCGGAATCAAAATAAAAGCGAGCGAGGCCGAGATGACGAAGCGAGGAAGAAAGGCAGCAGACCAAATTGCGCAAGCCTCCTCATTACTTTTCCCGAGATTCCTAATTTCCTTTCCTCATCACTTCCATCACTCTCTTTGCTCTCCCCTCCTTTTTATAAAGTAAAATCTTAGTTGATTTTCAATTCCTTTGTTACTATCCTTTACATTTCTTCTGCTGAGAGAGGTTTTGAAAATGGTGGCTGATCAAAAGGGTAAATCCGATATCTCCTTCGCCGGAACCTTCGCCAGCAGCGCTTTCGCTGCTTGCTTCGCTGAGGTATTAGAAAATCACTACCCACTCATTTGTTTTTCTTGTTTTACTGCTTCTTCGCTTTTGGTATCTTGTTCTTTGGTCGTTCTGTTTGTGGTTGACTTGAAATGTACAAAAAATAGTAGCTTGATTGATGATTTGATTGTAAATTTGCATGCAAGAAACGGTTTTTTATTTGTGTGTGTGTCAGTGCAGATATTTGACAGGATCAAGTAAAGTTCACATTTTTGGTGAAACAAACGTTGGATTAATAAAGTTGTTGGTTTTCTTTCAATATTTCCAAGAATTTGGTTAACTTCGCAACAATTTTGACCCCTAAATTTGAAATTTTTTTATATGTGATATGAATGATGTTTGACTTCTATGAACTACAAAAAGGGTATGAAGTTGGCCAGTGCTAAATCAATTTATAGATAGGGGATTGAGAAAGCTTCTTGTGATTCAAATTGTTGGAAAAAAATATTTTTGCTTTAATATGAAGTTCAATTATATTATTGGTGTGCACTTGAATTTAATGTAGATATGTACAATTCCTTTGGACACTGCTAAAGTTAGGCTCCAGCTTCAGAAGAAAGCTGTTGGTGGAGATGCGGCGGCGCTACCAAAATACAGGGGTTTGTTAGGTACAGTTGGTACTATTGCTAGGGAAGAAGGTTTTGCGGCGCTCTGGAAAGGTGTTATACCCGGATTACATCGTCAGTGTCTTTTTGGTGGTTTGAGAATTGGGATGTATGAGCCTGTGGGTGTCGAATCTTCACATAAACGTATTGTGTATTTCTCGTGTTTTTGTTTTCTTGTTGATATGATCTCAAATAAACTTTTAATTATGGCAGGTTAAGAATTTTTATGTGGGAAAAGACCATGTTGGAGATGTTCCTTTGACCAAGAAAATACTTGCTGCCCTTACAACTGGTAAAGAATATGGAGGATATGGCTGGGATTTCTTTTTGTTTCTGGCAAATTTATCCAAGATGGTTTCTCTACTTTAGCTGTTTATTTGCACAGGTGCTCTAGGAATTACAGTGGCAAATCCAACTGATCTTGTGAAAGTTAGACTTCAGGCTGAAGGGAGATTACCACCTGGAGTACCTAGGCGCTATTCTGGGGCACTTAATGCTTATTCCACCATTGCCAGACAGGTTAGATGTCTATTGGGGAATAAAGAGATACCAAGTTTCGAGCTTGTTACTAGCTTTTGACTCTTCTGTTTGCATCTTGATTTTCCAACTCTAGGAAGGAGTTGCTGCTCTTTGGACTGGGCTTGGACCCAATATAGCACGGAATGCTATTATCAATGCTGCTGAACTTGCAAGCTACGATCAAGTAAAGCAGGTAAAGTAATAATAAATGCACATAGTTATTATCTTGTTGAACTTCCTGTTTCAAAAGTGCTCCTTTTTGTTTTTTCTAATGTCTATCTTTCAATGCAGACAATTTTGAAAATCCCTGGATTCACTGATAATGTTGTGACTCATCTCTTTGCTGGTCTTGGGGCAGGATTTTTTGCTGTCTGTATTGGTTCTCCAGTAGATGTGGTATTGCATCAAAGTTCACATTTTGCCTCTTTTCTCTAATTTGTTGGTAGTATATCTTTTTTTGTCTGCTAGTATTAATGAAATTAGTATGTTATTGTATGAAAATGAGATCATGTAGCATGTTTGTGATTACGGGACTTCATCCACATTGTCTGGCCAATTAAGTATGTTTATTGCTGTCAAATTTGCTCAGACTCTATCATGAGGAGTTTTTAATATGTTTTACTATCTATGTAAATGTATTTATAGGCTATTCCATTGGAAGTTATATTGTGATGTCTGTCTAGGTTAGGACATAGTTGAATTAAGGTCTGTTTTTCATTTCACCTGGTCAGCTAGATGCATCTGCATCCTGTTTGCTTTATAAGCTGGTTGAATGCGATATTATCCTATGTTTTCCAATCGCTGTAATATCAAACAAATTTGATGGGTTTTACTCTTTTCCTCCCCTGCAGATTAAGTCGAGAATGATGGGAGATTCAGCTTACAAGAGCACACTTGATTGTTTCATCAAAACTTTGAAAAATGATGTATGTTTGCTTTCTTTGATCTTATATCTCCTTTTCTAGGCATCCTGTTATTACTATACCCTAGACTCAGCTTTGTAACGAGTGATAGAAATAATTATGCATGGAAACTGATTATTTACGTATTTAACTGCAAGATGGTTCCATTCCTCTGAGCATCAATGCCCGACATACTTAAGCACTTCTTCTTCCGTTGTATAGCAGTTATAACTCATTCTGATTCACTAGTTACAACATTTATTTATGCAACAGAAAACATGGAAAAAGAAAAAAAAATTCATATCCTTTCTACGCTTGTAAATTAAAAAATTTGTTGCTAGTTAAGGAGGTACTAGCTGCAGGTGACAGTCTAAATGTGTACAAGCATTTAACTTACAGCATTCATTATCATTTGCAGGGACCTTTGGCCTTCTATAAGGGTTTTATCCCGAATTTTGGACGGCTAGGATCTTGGAATGTGATCATGTTTCTTACCTTAGAACAGGTGAAAGTTGCAAACTTTACTTTTCCCACTATTTGTAGAGCTGGGGTTTTCATTTTCTCAACTTCATCTCCTTGACGGGAGGTTCAGTTGACGCCTATTGGGCAGTCAGATTTGAGAATTTCTTGTGTTGGTCCATAGGGTATAGTTAAATTTTCTTTTCGTTAAAACTGCTAATTTTTTAACAGAGCTTGTTCATGAGCAATCTTTTTATTCTTGACAACAACCAGCTGATTATGGAACAAGGACTGCTATTTTGCCTAGACTGTTTATAAATGCATTCTCAATTGTTTATATCTGGCTTGCATATCTAAAATATTTCTTTCTTCATTCCTCGGCAGGCAAAGAAATTTGTCAGAAATCTAGAATCCTCGTGAGCTTAAAAGGGATGATCATCAATCCCACAGAGCAAGAATTACAAGTGGGACTACCATTGAAGTTTTACAGAGAATAATAGAAATTTATCTTATTCCCTTAAATATTTATGTCATTGGTCTCATTTTGGTAATTGAGACAAATTATGCCAGGGGAATCTCTTGAAATTTCACTCAACTTAGAAACTTTGAAATAATTTTTATGGTCATTTTTATTACTGCAGTTATCATTTGTCATCCCATTGAAATATTGAAACTGTTAAAATCAGAAATTTGTCATCATATATTTCCTCCATTGCACCCTCACAGATTTTTTTAATGCCATACTCCAATTACTTATAGCCCAATAGATAGAGGGTTAAAAGCCCAAAATAAGACAGGCCTTAATTGAGGAGCCCATACAAGAAAAATAAAATGGGCCCAATCCAAGCCGGTTTAGGTGTCAAATTTCAGATGGACCATAACCGCTATTTAACAAATTCGATCAATCTGAGAGTCGAAGAGATTTGATTAGATTTTGATTTCGTGGAAGAGCCGAAGATGCAAGTCGAATCAAAGATGCTTCAAATCCGACTAAGCAAGGGCCCATCCTCGGACGCTGGCGGCTCCTTGAAGCCATTGCCAGTGGAAACGGTGACGGTAACTTGCCCCGACCACCTCATTCTCGCCGACCTTCCCGTTGCGAAGAGCGTTGGCGCCGCTACCTCCTCCTCGCTCTTGAAGACCGTCGGTCGTAGGTCCCGCCGCCAGCTCGGCGAGCGAGTCCACTTCTGCGTTCGCTGCGATTTTCCCATAGCGATCTACGGCCGCTTGGTACTCTTTCTTTGTGATTTTCTCAAAATTATATTTATCTTTGAATTAAAATTAACTAATTTGTAAAAGAGTTAGAGTAGATAACAAAATTTAATAAATTATTGTTAGGAGTTCCTTTATGCATTGGAATTTATTCTGTATTTAATTTTTTTTTTTGTTGCAGAGTCCTTGTGAGCATGCCTTCTGTCTCGATTGTGCAAGGAGTGATTCAATTTGCTATCTGTAAGTGATCACTTCTTAATTCTTTAATGCTAAGTGGTGTTTGAAGAATCGTAGGATTTTCGTAGTTAGTTTATCTATGTGAGTTTTTGAATGGTTCATGAGTAATCACAACCAATATCATTAATTTACTGAGTTTTTACTAAGCAAAATCTTTAAGATGTGGAAATTTCATGCCTTTTTTTCTTTTTCCTTTTTTTTTATCTCTGGGTTTCTGTTTGTTTTCTTGTGGAATGTCTGATTTTGACTGGTTTATGAATTAATCTTTGTTCTGTTTAAACACAAGTAGCTGGGCATTGACAAAACTATTGTTTCTTATGTTTTTACAGTTGTGATGAACGTATACAGAAGATTCAGACACTTAAGATGATGGAGGGGATCTTCATCTGTGCAGCTCCTCACTGTCTTAAGTCGTTTCTGAAGAAGACTGAATTTGAGTCTCATATCCATGAGAGCCACGCTGAGCTTTTACAGCCTAACGCAGACAAAGAAGATGGTAAAGAATCAGAGGTTCAGAGTGCTAAACAACCTACAGGTTCAGATTCCACTGTTCGAGGTCCTCCAAGGCCTGCAAATTCTCCTGGTTCAAACCCCCAGCTACATGATATTGAAGACAAAGTTCGTTGGCAGCAGCCCAGAGAACAAATGCCTCTGAGGCCAATGATGCCAATGGGATTTGGTCAATTGCAGAATTATCCATCAGGCCCCCAACTGGACAATAACCATCCCCCAGGCTTTGACAGGTCTGGCCCTCTCAACCATTTCCAACAAGGCTTTGACCGGCAGGGCACCCCACAACCAGAATCTAGTCAGTTTTCGGACAAGCAGCAGGGACTCTTATCTGAGAACCAGTTTTCTGAATACCCGCATATGCATTCCATGCAACCACCTAATTTTGTTACATCAATGAATTCAAATCCTATGTTAAATCCATATGGCGTTCCTCCATTTCCAACTGATGGAGCTCAATCATTTTATGGTGCTCCCTATGAGATGGCTCGGCCGAGTTCAGCACCCGATGTTGGTTCCGAACAGGGGTCATTGTTGGGTTTCCCATCAGGTCCACTTGGGGCTGTAAACTACCCAGCAGCTTTTCCTCAGTCTTGGAATGGGGGGCAACCTGGTGTCCACTTTGAAGCTTCGCCTGGTGGTCACTTGGTGGGGGATGGTTTTGCGAATTATCAAGGTGATTATAGGCGAAATCCTGGAGGTTTACCAATGATTCCTCCCCCACCAACTGCTAAGAAAGGGATGGAAGCTGTGCAGGGTAGTAATGCCATAGACCCTAGGGATGGCAAAGGTATATATTGATACCACACCCACGGAAGTTCTGGCACCAGCTCCACTTCCACATCATATGTCACAACTTAAACGAGGCAAGTTCCACTCTGGTGATATTGGTCGTGACGGAAAAGGGTTTGGGTGGCAGCAAGAGAACCTTAATGGCTTTGCAGGTAGCCAGGACTAGGAATTGCTTGTATTTTTTTGGTCAACATGTGATCTTTTCTCGTTTTGGGTCTTTGATTAAGCTTTGTAATGGGCTGTCGATTTCTTAATATCATAAAGAGCATTCTACTCCCTTTTATATGATTGAGTTTGCAAATTTATGATTTGCATCTAGGTTCTTCAATGGAAATTTTCTATATAATATTCAAGTGTTAATAGAAATTTCCTTTTCTCCACTGCCTTTTGTTTGGTTCGGATCAGATTATTCATCAAGTTTTGAGCAATTGATCAGAATATTTTCTATATAACATTCAAGTGTCGATAGAAATTACAGGCGAACTTGCCTACATTACATTGCCATTAACGAAAACTTGAACAAATTTTGGTTCGTAGTTTCAACATTAAAATAAAGATTTGAAAGTTCAGGGGCTTGAAAAATATGGTGATCATAAAAATTTGATCTCGAATTGGAATTACATTTTGCGAACATGTCTTGTAAAAGTAAAAACTATATTTCCTTGTATAAATGTTCCTCAACCATTCACTTCACTAAGGATGATTTCATTTGAGTGGTAGCTTCCTTGACATCTCTCTGGTCAAAACCTATGAACTCATACGCCAGAAACAATAATACAGAGAGGAAAAATAAAAGAGAAATTGCATTTCTCCACATCCCCCATGCTCAACAAGAAACTTGTGCCTGCTGTTGGCACTTGCGAGCAGAAAGAAAAACAAATTCTACAGAAGAAAGAAAACCGACGATGAAACAAAGGAAATTAGCTTAACTTCTTCTTCTCCAAAATCCATTTCCGGATTTTGTTCACAAATTTTTAATCAAATTTCACATACAGCTGCTGCATTTTCCTGCACCCATGTATGACATATTAATCAAGATAGCCTTCGTATCTCATGTAGAGCGCTGGAACTGTGAGAACAACAACGAGGCCTGGCAGACGGAAAGTTGATAAACAGATATATTACTGGAATCTGAGATTCATATATCAAAATAATTAAAACCACTAAGAGAAACTACGCATGGACCATGCAATTCTTTTATACTTATAAGGAAACAGAACTCCTATTGAAACACAAAGTAGTCTGAGAAAGGTGGTCCTTAACTCAATCCCCCTCCCCTTTACTTGTAAACGATGATGATGATGAAGATAGTAATAATAATAACAACTTGGAATTAAAACTTACTGGTGTAGCCCAAAGTATGGAAATCAGTCAAGCCACCAAGAACAGAAATCAGCAACAAGTATGCAACAACCTTGAAGAACAACCTTGCATCTTTACCCAATGCAATGTCTTGAGAAACCGAGAGCAAATCATTTACATGGTCTCGGATGAAAGCTCCCACTTCATTTACCATTTCTTCTGATAGATACAATACTGGAAGAGGTGGAGCAGGTCTATTTTAAGACAATAAGTAAATTCAGTTGCTAGTTTCTAATTGGCAAAAATGGAAATTCATATCGATACGAAGAATGGAACAACTTCATTTTATTCTAGTGCTAATAATTATGTACTTGTTCAAACATTTTTTACTTAAAATCTCAAAATTTTTACCACATATTTAGTAAGAAAGTAATAACTTCTTATGACATCTGAGTTTGAGTAGCACAGCTGCATTAATTACCGGTTAAGAATTGCAGCAGATTTGGCCCGGAGAAATAGAATGAAAATGAGAAGGAGGAGAACGGTAGAGAGAAGTGATAACAGAGTGTAGCCAGATTTCTCAAACACCACCCAAGCAGCCAGAGTGACAAACAAGATCCCCACAGTCAAATTCCCTCGCCTCCACAACATCAAATCTGCAACTGTTCAAAGCAAAAGCAATCATCAACCTTTATGGTGTGGATAAACTCTAAAACCAACTGGTAAATGGCAGTAAACTCCAAAATCAACTGGTAAAATGGTAGTAGATCAAGGTATGTCATTGCACTAAAGGAAAAGTCACCTATACCAGAAAGCTATAAAGCAAAAAGTAAAGAAAGGATCATCGAAGATCCATTTCACAGTGAAAGAACTACTAAACCAATGAAATTCTATTGGGATTCAATCAAGCTTATCAAAATGAATTCAAAAGAAAAACCCAATGGTGAAAAAGTGAGATACTTTGCCTAAGCCTCCTCCAAGGATCTCATGAAATATTCTGTGTCTGTTGAACAATCAAATAACAGATCTTTTAAACCCAAAATATTTTAGATGGCTTTGAGATGAATCATCAGACTTCCGATGAACATATACACATATATATATATATATATATATATATATATAAAATAGGTTTCCAGCCTAAAAGCTTCATCCCACTCATACCTTTTGCAACATTTCTTTTTTATTTTCTTTCAAATTCCCTTCTCACTAGTTTCCAAAAAAAAAAAAGGTCTAAATATTAGCATAGAACAACCTGTATTAATTAAATTACGGGGATATATAAATTAGATAATCAATAAAAATAGATCGTAGATGTGAAAGCGAAGAGCGAAGACATTCCCTTCACTGACTGCTCAACAGATTCTCATGTGCCTTAGCTTTCTACGGTGTCAGAACTTTTAAGGTTGTTCCTGTCGTTTGACGAGCTTGTCCTAATGTAACATAGTAAATGAAGTATGGGTTTTGATTGGAGGGTAGTTTGGGCATTCAGCTAGGTTATTATCAGCTAGCTGGTTTTGAACATCAGATTTTACGACCAGACCGGACAATAGTGTAAAAGGACAGCACTTTCGGGTAAAACGAAGGTCATCATCCATAACAGAAAACAGAAATTTCCTGTCCTCCCTTTTGGCTTTTGTCTGAAAACGCCTATAGAGTGAAACCAACAATGCCCTGAAAGAAACTAAAACTATGGCTGAAACCCTGAAGCAGAGATCATCTATAGACTATCAGCATAAATACTAGCGCCTTTTACAATCTTAAATATATGTAATGAATGTATGTACTGCACAATGCAGCAACCTCGTGCCGAAGATGTTTGTTCAAACCATCTAAAACCTGACATGAATCAATGTCACTTGCCCAGTAAATATATATCAAAAAGAAATTTTCTGTCATGCAGTTTTTTCCTGGCTATCTTTATTTTCAGTTTTAGGAGTGTTAGCTTCAGCAGTGGCTGTGGCTGGGGATGAATCCATCAGACTGGCAGCGATTGCAGCCTTCAAGTCGTCATCTTCCATATCTGAAAGCATTTGCATATCTGTCTCTAATGAAAGGAACCGCTCAGGATGCTGTTGAGCCATATTGTTTCTCTGAGGAAGAGCCTGTGTTAAGTTACACGATTTAGTTATCCTCTCAGCATCCTCAGGAGATAGCCACTGCCCATAACCATTAGAAGCTTCAGAGGAAGCAATGGGGCACTCTTTTGGAAAGTTTCCCCTCACCAGGAAAATGCTCCAGCCAGACCTTTTTAATGAGTCCAGATAGGCTGAGAGATAAAACTTTGACAAGTGCTGTGGGGCTGCATAAAGACTGTCGAAATTATACCATTCTCCATTAACCTTCCTGATACAAAACCAATGGTCATGCAGATGACAAATGAATGCATTTTCCAGCTCAGGGTCAATTTGGGCAGGCTCAGCAACTGGGCAGTCAAAGGGAATAACCTGCAAATCCCAGACTTCTAAAGCCTTTTGCAAAACCTATGAACAAGAATTTTCAGAATAGATATCATCAGGACAACGCTATAAATGCTACATGTGAGTCATCGTAAAAATAGATCAGACATACACATGCACTTGTCTGAACAATCAAAAGGAAACAAGAGGACTCCTTTCAACACTAAATAGGGGAAGAAGATGTGTGTGTGTGTGTGTGTGTGTGAGAGAGAGAGAGAGAGAGAGAGAGAGAGAGAGAGAGAGCATAAGTAACAGCAATAAAATACCTTAACCGAGTTCTTTGTGCCAAATCATGGTCATCTTACATGTAAGTATTGAATTGATAACCATGTGTGGGCATGCATGAATGGTCATTGAAATGTCATTATAAAGGAAAATGCAAGGCAAAATCATGCAAAGTTGCTAACTAATACCCTAAAGTCAGTAACGGTTCACCCACCTTCCTAGCCACCTGATTTGGAAAGAAGCCAATAGCATTTCTAATTTAACCTTGCTAATGCTATTCTCAAGATATATATGAATGGCTCCTAAGTCCTAAACTTGATATATTCACGTATTAGGAAGCATGCTTTAGGCATATGGAGGTACAAACTTTGACTGTATCAAGTGTATTCTTTTGCTATATCTCAAAGGAGATATATATGACATGGCATTTATATGTAAAAACCAACTGTAGATGCCAATAACCACCTAAAATTGAAGATACCATAGAGGGAAATTATCATAAAGAAATTTCAAGATGAATGTCTTATCCTACATTACTTCTTGATAATTGCCCCAACCACCAGCATTGACAGGATCCTAATATGCCAGAAATAATCTACATATCAAGATTCTCATGTGTTTCACTATGAGAAAGAAAGCCTTTTCCTTTAGGTTATACTTCTAAAGATGCTAATGTTTTTCGATAAGACTTGAGAGCATTTAACAATTGGTTACTGAATGTCTTCCTCTTTCCCGGTTTAAACACATGCAGTAGGCCTTTTTTGGGTATTGGCATGTTGCTTTCTACATCAACCATAAAGAATACTAGAAAAAAAAGTGTATTGCAGGAGTCAGCTGGATTATATGGAAAAGCCAGACATGTGAGGCTGATATTTTGATCAGCAGTTGCACCAATTATATCCTTATAATCAATGCATTCTATACTGAGTGAAATGAAGATGCACAACGTCTTGCCTATGCATGTAGATTTTCAAGTGATTCACACATTGCACCACCTGAATTACACTCTCCACGTATGTGCGTTCAAGGGCAAGTTGCCTAATATGATATGACCGAAAACATACTGGATCAAACATATTAATGTATGTAATCAGGCTCACTCAGCAATAGATGCAAAAGTCGGACCGCTGGTTTAACTAACAAAACTCAAGTAGAAAATTAAGACAACCAGCTACTTCAATACACAAAAAGTTTGGGTTTTAACCTATTGGAACAATCATAATTTCGAAGTCAATAAAAGTAAAATCTCAATACCATACCAATTGTACGGTACTATATCACAAGAAAACCGACAGAAAAATTCAAATCATCCATGTCTGAATCTAACAATTCCGTCACCAAACTGCTAATCCTAATTACTGAAACTCCAAAGAACTAAACTTTCAACTATAATTGATATTATCTGACAAAAAGCTCTTTTTTTCTTCCCTTATCTTTCCACATTATGAGCCACTACAAGCTTTGACATTTTCAACAAAATAACCAAAATTTGACACTGTACTCTCGGTTTTACCGTTATCTACCATCCAATCTTGGCAACAAGAGCAAAGGAAAGAGAGAAAAAAGAACCTGGATACTAAAGTCGCCGCCGAGGGAGACATTGTGGGATTCCTCGGAGAGGAAATCGCCAGCGGAGGAGGCGGTGGCGGTGCCTTCGAGCATCATCTGGCGCTCCTTGGTGTCGAGATCTGAGGCCAAAGCCGCTAAATCGAATTCGGAGAAGAAAGGTCCTTGCAACACCGTGTTGACGCAATGGACAGCACATAGCTTAGACTCTTGTACCTCGTGGTACAACATCCCTCCGTTGCTCGCTCCCTCCATCGCCCCAACCCAGTCAATTAAATCAAATGAATAAATCCTTAAACAAAGGCCCTTATCCGTTGATAACTTTTATTTCTTTTCTTTATCAAAAACCAAAGCTTTTCGGCTTCAACGAAAGGAAGAAGATGATGACGAAAGAAAGAGAAAAATGGAGCTTTGCTTGGACGTTTTGGGAAAATTCAGCACCTGCAAAGGACCAATTGCCACGTGTAAACCTCGTTTATTTCCCTTCTGGGTTCCTTGGTAATTTTAAATGGAGGTTAAATCGGCACGCTTTGTCACAACAGGCCAAGGCAGGGCTTGAAGTCTGACTTTGGGTTTCAGTCATGGGCCTCCATTCATTCAATGTTCAAACTTCTAACCAGTAACCACCGGTCAAACATTTAGGAGAATAGATAAGATTGATATGAACCTGAAATCATAGAGCAGGAACCACAGTTGATCCAAGAAAAGTACACAACAAAACGACAAAAAGTTTACATTGATTAACCAAAAAAATAAAAGAGTGCAATGACACATCTTCCATGATGAAAGATACAACAATGTGTCGAGAAAACCCCCCCTGTGCTGTTAATCATATTCATGTCGGTAAGATTCAGTGTTTTAATCCATTTCTCAGACAAGCAGATCGTAATGGTTTCTACCGCTGTAACTTTCCTGGGTTTTCCTTTTCTGGAGCCCTTACGGAACTCAGATCCATGCTCTGCAATCTGAGTAAAACCTGAGCCATATCCACCATTTCTATGCTGTAATATTGGAAACACAAAATAAATAAATTAATGCAAGCAACAAACTGAGAGGATGAAAACGTCAAATGCATGTAGAGGCAGTCAGGCAGATGCACACATGCATGGAGCACCTAGAAATTTATAAGTCAGTGGATGCGTAGGCAATTAGAATCCGTGGCATTCGTTCATGAATGGAACTTGAAATAAAGGTTTGGCTGGCATCTGGGATAATGCAAGTTTAGCAAACAATACTTGGTCTTGTAAATGTCACCAGAAAAAGGCCTAATTAAACAACAAAAAGATAGGATAAAAAAATCATTATAATTGGAGCGTAAAATCAGGCAAACCAGCCTAAGATTTTCAACAAATATGGCAAAATTTTCTTCTGAAATTCTTATTTAAATTTAAATATCTCTCTTAATATTTATCTGGTTGAAAAAATATTACACATAAATGTTTTTAAATTTGTAATTTTTAAATATTAATTTTAATGACATGTTAATTGATCCAGCAGCTAATCCACAATAGGGCAATATTTTTATCCGCTGAGGACAAGCATACCTCATGCTCTGGGATATAAACAACTATTGGCTGATCAGACAATCTTGAAAGCACCTGGGACAGAGTTCATGGCCGTTAATCAGCATCTATTGTTTCACCAAACAACTGGCTATAGACAGCTGCAAATATGCGCACAGAGAAAGGGAGATATGATTATGAGTAAATGGCAGGCCTCTTTGTGAATTAAACAATATAACGCTGTAAATTGAAGGCTAAAATTAGCTCTCAAGAACGGTATTTTTCACTCTGTCCCCAATAAAAATAGAAGGCAGAGGAAGTTCTTGCAAACGCAATAATAACTCATCCTCTTCGGAACTCGAGTAATACTTAGCATTGAATATTAACTTAAAAAGCGAGAGAGTCATACAAATATACATCAAAATAACACTAACCATGAGCTCTGACTCTCCTCCCCAAAAATCAAGTCGTTGAATGCATTGGCAGTAACTGCAAAAGTTGATAGGTACACATCACAAGGATATGATAGGAACCGACAACACAATTAAGAATTAAAAGTCTAAAAAAGTTTCGGTGAGTCAGCAGTAAGATTAGAGTTTAATTGTTAATAGTTTAAAATACGATTATTTATATGTAATTTAAAAAAATTATTTGTATTATTTAAATAATTAAACTAAATATTAAAGTGAATCAAGTCACTTAAATTTGTTAAGAACTTTTTTAATTAGTCAAATAATTTTAGAAGTTAAAGATTTGACATTTGAATTTGTTTAATGGATAAATTTATTTTATTTAAATATTTTATTTTTTAAAAATTTAAAATATTAATAAAATATTAATTTTATTTTGAATGAATATGTTTATACAAAAAAAAAATTATTGTATGAATAAATATATTTAATAAAAAAATGACTATTTGATTAATTTTTTTAAAATAAAAAAACATGATTATAGACTTTTTAAATTTCTTTAGATACGAAGCACTTGTTTCCCAACTATAAAAAATGTCTAAGAGAGGAAAGTGGGGCAAAAAGGGGTGGCGATTAGTTAATTTAACTCAATCTTCACACTACCTACCCTAACAAACGGACTTAAATTTTTTCAACAATACGTACCTTCTTAATATTTTATGCAAATTTTGTTAACCAAACCAACTAAATAAGAAATGGAGTTAAAATTAAACGTGATAATTTAGATTCGATTTCTTTAAATATTATATAATATTATAAAATTAAAAATTTAATTTAAATTTAAATTAAATTTTCATTGAATTTAAACTAAATTGAATTAATTTTATTGATTTGATTCAATTTGATTTATTAATTTTTAATTTTTTTAAAATTTATATATTATTTTAATATAAAATTATTAATTTTCTTTTATAAAAATTTAAAAATATATAAAAATTAAAAAACTATATAATTCAATTTAATTTATTTTTTTTATTTTTTCACTTTTTGATTTAAAATTTTATTTAAATTTAACATATAAATTTAATATCTGATCTAAATTAAATAAAAAAATTCAATGAGTTTAATATTATAATTTTAAATTAATTTTCAAAATTTTCAATTTTTTTCCGTCATAAATTAAAACCAAAGTCAAAAAGCAGGACCACGTGGGCTGGAGAGAGGTCCGGAGGCGAGACCAAGGAGAGGTATCATCGTATCAATCAAATTCGAATCGAGCCCATCCGCAACAATACTGCAACACGTGCCGGAGTAACAATAACAGGACCAAAACGCCCCTCTATTGCAACTGTCAAACCCAAAAAAGCTGGCTTTTTGGTACAGCTCACTTTCTCCTTCTTTTTCTGTCTCTCCCGCTCGCTCGCATAAGAAGTATCGACAGAGTGCTTCCCACTCTCTTTTTTAAAGTTTGAACCAAACAAGGCCTTGGATTGACGATCTCCACGAAGATCTCTCTTTTTTTCCTCTTTCCTTGGATTTATGATAATCTCATTTCTCTTCTCCAACTTTTCAACTCTTTTCTGTCGCATCCTCTTTCTCCGATCTTGTTTCTCTTTCTGGTAAATCTCTGACTAATATCAGCTGCTTCTTTTATATTTTATTTTTTAAAATTTACTTTGATTCATGCTGGTTCATATATCGTCATTGTTTATTCTATTTTTTTCTTTAATTTTAATGTTCTGCTTGGTTGCTGATAAAATGGAGGGAAGAATGAGGTTTCAACTTTGTATTTTTCAGTTTAAAATGTGCATATTCAGATCGATTATATGTAAACTACGTGCTAAGAAATATTAATTGGGAGATTCTTTTTATGGAAAAATCAGAGATCAAAATGTTACTTTATTTACTCAGAGGAAAGCTAAAATAGGAACTTCCTTTATTAATTTCTTCCTTTTCTTTAAGGAAATTGACTTTTTTTATTCTAAATATTTGATTGAAATTTGGAGGTTCAACTGTTTGGATTTTGATTGTAGAGTTTGGAGAATCAAAGTTAGGAGTAAGAGATGTCTTCGATATCGTATTCTCCAGCAGCGGTTACCGGAACTTCAGCTTCAGATCTTCTTCGGAGCTCCAGTAACGGCTTGTATGGGATCCCTCTTAAAACCCTAGAAAAGGCACGATTTGCCGTGAGAAGGAGGGATATAACTGTAGCTGCAAAGATTAAGAAAGTAAAGAAGCATGAACACCCGTGGCCTGCAGATCCGGATCCAAATGTGAAAGGTGGAATCCTAACTCATCTCTCCCATTTCAAGCCATTGAAAGAAAAGCAAAAGCCTGTTACTTTGGATTTTGAGAAGCCCCTTGTTGATTTAGAGAAGAAGATTATTGACGTAACTCCTTATTTTTGGTGATTGTTGATTTAGTTGATATTAATATGCTTGTGATTGCTTCAAATGTTGTGCTTGTTTTGAATGCAGGTGAGGAGGATGGCAAATGAAATAGGCTTGGATTTCGGTGACCAGATTCTATCATTGGAGAATAAATATCAACAGGTTTAAGTATTAAGTTTGATACATGTGAGAGTGTTTTTGTTCCTTCTATGTAGTGATAAAATTTCTGAGCTATGTGTTTAATATAATTTTTTGAATCAACACCTATTCAGCCTGTTAATGAGAGTGAAGTTGAAGTATGTAATTTGTTTATGTGGGTTCTAATTTTTAATTATGCCAGAGCTATATTTGAAGCCTGGAAGTTTTATTCTTCATATTGGGCGACCAATGTTTTTGTTTTTTCACTTGCTATGGCATTCATTATTGGTTATTTAGAATTAGATTATAGTACTTGGCTTTAGTTTTGCTTTCATTCATTTATTGCAAGGATGATCAATAATGGAACAATTGCATCATTGCTTGAAATTCTATGGTGTTAAACTCCAAAATCTATAGTTCTTCTTTATCTAGAAGTCTGTGCTGCAAGCCTGGTATGTTACTTTCATAGTTTGAAGCTTAATTCAAAGTTTTGGGAAAGACTTTTCCACTGTTTCATGTTCTTGTAATTGCCAAAATTTAAACTTTCCATGAAATTTAACCACGATAATTTTCTTTCTTAGTATATGATGGTTTTTGCATTACTTTTTTGCTTTCTATCAATTTATAAAACAGAATTTTCACTTCTTACAGATGTGTAAGAAAAAATAATGTAATATGCAATTGTGCATCAAGCTTGCTGTTTGCAATGTCCATATTTTTGTGCCTGAGCTTTGTGCTAATTATCAAATTTTAAGTGCATTTTAAGAGGTTGATGCTCTGTCAAAGATATTGACACATAATCATGTTGGTGGTTTCCAGTTTTAATTCTTCTCACCCTTTCTGTTATTATTTCAGGCTCGAAAGAAATTATACACACATCTTACCCCTATACAACGTGTGAACATTGCCCGGCACCCCAAGAGACCTACATTCCTTGATCATGTATTTAGCATTACTGATAAGGTTTGGTGGTTACATTCTCTTCATCTTTCAAATCATCAACATTCAGTGAGTGGATGGTGAAGAATTGTCTTAATAAATGTCTTTTGCATATTCCAATATGGCCAGTTTGTGGAACTTCATGGAGATCGAGCAGGGTACGATGATCCAGCTGTTGTTACTGGTATAGGATCCATAGATGGTAGGAGGTACATGTTTATGGGTCACCAAAAGGGTAGAAATTCTAAAGAGAATATTCAGCGTAACTTTGGAATGCCAACACCCCATGGGTAAGTTGAACAAAACTTGCATATTGGATGGTACCTTTGAAAATTTCATTTTATTTGAAAGAGGGAATATGTCACTTTTAACTGACATTTATGAAACGCTTACAGTTACAGGAAGGCTCTACGCATGATGTATTATGCAGATCACCATGGGTTCCCTATAGTTACTTTTATTGACACTCCTGGGGCATATGCGGACCTTAAGTCTGAGGAGCTGGGTCAAGTATGAGCACTATTTAGTCTGAAGCTTACCATATTCACTTTTAATGTCAGCTCACTGATTTATATGCATTACATTCATGTAGGGTGAAGCTATTGCACATAATTTAAGGACCATGTTTGGTCTGAAGGTCCCAATTGTTTCTATTGTTATTGGGGAAGGTGGCTCTGGTGGTGCCTTGGCCATTGGCTGTGCTAATAAGTTATTAATGCTGGAAAATGCAGTCTTTTATGTTGCCAGGTGATTTGAGATTTTTTATATTGTTTTTATTGAATTTAATTAGCTACATACAATCTGGCCTTCCATACCCTATTCGATAAATCTTTATTTTTCTTCATGGTACCTGGGTAAATTCTGTAAATGTGGGTCATTTTTAGTGCCATGTCTACGTGTGCTGATGTTCTTTTTCTCTGATTTGATTCTTTTAATGGTATAGCCCGGAGGCATGTGCTGCAATTTTGTGGAAGAGTGCCAAAGCTGCTCCAAAGGTTTGAAAACAGTTATCACTTTTGGTCTTATCTTTTACTACTGATTTTTTTTATGATAGATCATTTAAAGTTTTTATCTATGCAGGCAGCTAAGCAGCTGAAGATTACTGCCCCAGAGTTGCGCAAGCTTCAAATTTGTGATGGAATCATTCCTGTAATTAACATCTTTGCTCTCATATCTTCTATGAATTAGTTTTTCTGCTTTTTTCTTTTCTTTTTTTGTTTCTTCTTCCCTACTTCTAGGCATTACAAAAACCATGATAACTTAGACCTACTACAGGCAGTTTCATGTATCAAAGTTGACTGCTAAGGGCACCATTGTGCTAACCCGCCCTTAGCATATTCTTTATAAACAAAAGCCTTTTACAATATATAAGTGTGATTTATGTACTTCATATCTCCGTCTGATGTTTGACGAAATGCTACATTTGGTTTTCAAAGCATCTGTACAGCTTTAGATTGAATATTGCTCCTGATTTGTTGTTTCCTTTTGGAAGTTATGTTAATCTCCATGGCATCTGAGAGTTATTTTTACTTTTGGTAGGAGCCACTCAGTGGTGCTCATGCAGATCCAGCTTGGACTTCGCTACAAATAAAAGCTGCAATTAACAAAACAATGGATGTGAGTTCCACTAGCAGCAGTTCTTCGTCAAGAATCATATTGTAATATATTAACAAAAGTTTATTCTGCAGGAGCTCACGCCAATGGACACAGAAGCGCTACTAAAGCATCGCATGCTTAAGTTTAGGAAACTGGGTTTGTACCAAGAAGGTGTCCCAGTAGATCCCAAGAAGAAGGTCAATATGAAAAAGAAAGAACAAACTGTTCGTAGAACCTCAAAGGCAGAGTTGGAGGCAGAGTTGTTGGAGGGTGAGGTAGAAAATTTGAAACAGCAAATCTTGAAAGCCAAGGAGTCATCCACCAAGCCTCCTGAGTTGGCTCTGAAGGACATAATAGAAAAATTGAAAAAGGAGGTTGATCATGAATACTCTGAGGCCATTAAAGCCATGGGCTTGAAGGACAGGCTTGAGATGCTGAGAGAAGAAGCTTTAAAAGTAAATTCAAGAGATCAACTCATGAATCCTGTTATAATGGATAAGGCTGAGAAGCTTAAACACGAGTTCAACCAGCGACTATCAGCAGTTCCAAACTACACAACCCTCAAATATAAGCTTGACATGTTGAAGGAGCTTTCTAAAGCCAAAATTCTCTCAAAGGCTGCTACACTGAAGCAGGAAGTTAATAGGAGGTTAAATGAAGTCATGGGTCGGCCTGAGATAAATGAGAAGCTTGAAGCATTAAAGGCTGAGGTTCAAAATTCTGCTTCATCCAGCTTTGTGGATTTAGATCAAGGGCTGAAGGACAAAATTCTGAATATGAAGAAAGAGATAGAATTGGAAATGGTTAATGCTCTTGAGTCCATGGGTTTGGATGTTGAGGTTGTAAAATCTAATGCAAAAGTCCTAAGTGAGCGAACTTCACTCTCAGTCTTAAAAAACAAGGTGGATAATTTAAGTGAAGAAATTAAAAAGAGAATTGAAAATGTTGTCAATTCATCTGAGTTGAAAAATATGATTGAGTCATTGAAGCTGGAGATAGCAAAGGCAGGAAAGAGACCTGATATTCAGTCAAAAAGTAAGATTGAGGCTCTAGAACAACAGATTAAGCAAATACTTTTAGAAGCTCCCAGCTTGTCAGAATTAAAGGGGAAGCATGAAGAGTTGAAGGCAGAAATTTCTGAAGCCATACAATCTTCTGCTGGTACTGATAGAAGTTTGCAAAAGGAAACCAAGTATGAGGAACCTAGACTAGAGATCAATGTGGGTGCAAACTGCAGCTTTGCTTAGCGTATGTAGATCCTGGCATTATACATTATCTGGTTCTCTTTTTGCTTTAGATTTCTGATGAATAATCGAGATTTCTGACATCATTTTATTAGGATGCTTAAGTATTTATACCATTTATAATAAATGCCTGGAATAGTTATAACTAGTTTACTATCAAACGCATTTAGTATTTCTTTTCTGTTACAATTAGGGAAAGAAATGCAGATATCTGAACATTATCGATATTCACTGGTATTTTGTTGTTCCATGTGTAACTATATCTGAACCTTGTCTAAATTCACTGGTATTTTGTTGTTCCATGTGTAACTAATATCTGCTAATTATCACAACTATTAATTATTAATGGACACTCTTTTATTAAAGAGTGGTTACCCTAATTTATAAGTTCCATTATTAAATTTTAATAACTCTGCTAGTTTATTTGATTTGTACGATTGACTTGTATATTCTGTAATTTCTTGTTACTCCTGTCAGAATGTTGATGGTGTTTGAAGTTTGACAAAAGAATTAGAATTGCATCAAGCTCTTCTAGAGGGATTATTCAACCTCAAGCCTTGCAAGTGTCACCAAGTCCTCCACTGTCACCTGCAGGCCGGAGGGCACAAGGTTTTGCATCTATGATACTGATTGGCTATTGCCAACAATTATTGCCCTTTCTCCCCCATTTTTTTAAACCCGAATTTCTCCATTTTGAATTATGTTGTTAAAAATTTTCCAATTGGGTGTTGCTTTCTTTTCTTTTATTTATTGGGAGAATGTGTTTCTCTTTACCCCTAGACAAAGAACATTGTATAGCTTTTGTGATTGCTTGGGGAACCCAATGGCATATGCTTCCAAATATCAGGACTAACATGCTCCTCTTTTTTCCCCCTGTTTTGACCGATTAGTTTAAATGCATCCAATTTCTATGTTATCATATTATATACTTTTTTCTGCCAATGGCAGAATCATGTTTCCTTAAGTAGTCTATGGAAATGCAAGATGCTGTAATGATTGGTTCCCCTTGTCCAAAATGTATCTTGTAGTTGCAAATTATTTCTGTCTTGTTGATGATTTGCCGAGCAAATGGGGCAGATCTATGCTTTACTACTTGCAGGTAATCCATCCGTCTCAGGGTTCATGGGAAGCAGCTCCTAGAATAAATTCGCTACATTGCCTGGATATTCTCGCTACGGATTTTGTTGTTGGCAACCTCAATGCATACATAACATGGATGGTGATAAAGTAAAACAGGGTTAAGTCAGAAGCTTCCTCTGGCAGAGAAAGCAGTGGGTGTCATGGTTACGCAAATACTATCATGTTGACTCTTCCCAACGACCAATATTTTCCTTCTTTGGGATGATAACGGTCAACATTTTACATGCAGCCCGATGCTACATTTTTGTTTGTCGTATGAACTGGGTACAAATCATAACAAAAATGAAAACCAATTTTTATTAAACTAAGTCAAACCACTCAAAACTACAACATTTATCATTGAATCAAATCTTCTATTTCCTTTTTTCTGAGAGGTATCAGGCTCTACTTCGTTGATATTGTGATAAGTGGGCTGGGAAATCGAAACCTTCAATAGAGAAATGGGATCACAGCTTTTCTGTCCTTGGGATAATCGTCCTTGAACTTCTCCAAATACCAACGGCGGCTGGCACGAGCTCTAGGCACCAAGTTGGCACACGTGTAGAGAAAGAACCCAAAACCCACCCAGGACCAGGTCATCACCGCCCATCCAAACCACTCCAGAATCTCCCCAAAATAGTTAGGGCAGCTCACCAGGTCAAACAACCCCCCTCTTGGGACCTTATATCCGCCACCACCCTGTTTTTTTAGCCCCACCAAGACTTTATCAGCACAAATATTCACCCACATGCCAACCATAAAAATCAGCAATCCACCAAGAAATCTCCGCCAAAACAGCTTGTCATTTTCGTAGTCATTCTTATAGTGCGACACCCACCTGGCTTGCAAATAAGCATTCAATAGATTAAATCCGAAAGCCATTAGCGCTATACTCACCGGAAAAGTCCTAGATTGGTTGTTGCTCCTTGACAGGCGAAGAGGGTAAAAGACTGTACGGTTAAGGTAGTGAAAGATGAATGGAGTCATCAACATGAATGCCCTTGGGTTGGAAAAATGTTGGCCAAAAGGAAAGAGCAAGAAAGTGAGCCAAAGAGTGGGACTTTCCATGAGGAACCAAGCTAAAGATGGAGACATGGTAGGGCCCCAGCCAGGGCGGTTGTGCTTGCCATAAGGGGCCTGGAGGAAGTTGAGGCTCACCCATGTCGGTAGGACGATTAGGTAGAGACTAAGCAGGCTGTAGTGAAAAAGGGTCTGATCTGAGGGCATTTTCTTTTTCTGGTTTTGGGGATGTGAGAGAAGTATCTGAATCAAGGTTAAGCCAGAAGTATACCTGTTTGATTGTATTTGAGTTTAGTTATGTTGGGGAAGTGGTATGACTTGACTTCGAGTCTTTCGGATCCTCCTAATGGTCCCCTTGACCAAGCAGAATTAAATTTTTTAAAGCGGATTAATGGTAATGGTCATGGCTCGCCAGGGAATAAATTAATCATATAAAGTAATAGACTTTTGACATGTACAAAAGGAGTATTAGTACTAATAAAGAAAATAGATATGGAACATTTTTTTAATGCAAGAAATAAGAAATTGAATTTTTAAAATCATAACACTAGAAAAAAAATCAATTGCTCAAATAAAAAATATTCAGCTCTATATGCTTTAAATTTATTTTGGATAATTTTCTTTTAGAAAAAAAAATACTAAAAAATATTCTAGAAGTATTCCATTTCCATATGCTTTTAGAGCTGTTCAACAATTGTTAAAGTCCTAACACGATCAAGCCTTTTCCTGAGCAGCAGTTGGCATATATTTTCAAGTTATCTTCTGGAACGCTTCTTTGTTCTGTAAAAGCAATTTAACCATCTCTAATTCCACTTTTTGTTCATATGAAATGGTTAATCAGTCAGGCTTTTTGTTGCAATGAGTGCGTAATTTTTTAGCTATGACCTATAAAAACAAGAGGCTGTAACGGAACACTAGCCTTTTCAGGGAGGCAAAGCGTAATAATCAACTTGAAGATTGATCCTCTCCAAGTCCAATAAATTTCATCCATATGTAACAAAGTTGTCTTGCACCACATGTTGTCTAAGCGGTGGGGGCACTTGGGGATTTGGATCAGTATTCCAGGTTAATAGTGAATGGCATTCTTGTCAATGAACTCGCTGCTACATATCACTCTATACCATGCTTTACATACGCACCTGAATGTCTCGTAAAGAAATTTTGGTCGAATTTTAGCAAGGATTTCAATGATGATATCTTCAGGAAGTTCCGGAAGGGTTCTTTCCTCATATTTTTCTCTGTTTTTCAACTGATGAATGGCCGCCGCAGATGAAGAGAAAAAGATATGTTTGCTTCCCTTTGAATTTTGACGATCAAACAACAAGCAAGACAAGTTTATTTGTAGTATTTTTATAGATAGTTGAGGCATGCCCAAACTCAAACATGCAAGCCAGCCTGCCAGGGTGCAGCATATTTATCGCATCTCTTTGGGCTGTCCGGCTTAGAACTATAACCTAATGGACTTTCGGCCTCATAAACTTGGGTCAAAAGAGCCCACTCAGAGCATCCTTTTGGGCTGTCCAGTCTAATTTTGATTGCTTAAAAAATATATATTAAAAAAAAACTCAAAACATGTTTTAAAATATATTTCCATCTAATTTTTTAGTAAATTATTTATTCAGAGATATATGAAATATTAAATTTATTTCGTAATATTTTGTTTTGAATTTTTATTATTTTTATATTAAAATAGTTATAATAAATATATTAAAACAATGAAAAAAAGGAGGATCAGCCGTGGCGGGATCCAATTCTAGTGGAATCTTTAATGCAAAACTCACCCCCCATTCCCACGTGTTGGTTAGTAACTTTGTTGGGCTTCGCCTTCATCAGTAAATCTATGAATTTTAATTAATTATTTTTTTTCCTCTGGAGACCACACCAGTAATTATTTAATCAAAGTAAAAAAAAGAAAATTAATTGACAATTTTACCCCTTACATAATATTCTATTCTCGGCTGCTGGGCATTTCTCAAGCAACATTTTTTTCCTTAAATATTTTCTTTTATATTTTGTTTTTTGTTTTGTTTTTTTTTTAATTTTATGGCGATTATTTTATCCCCTCTATTATTTGATTTCTCTCTGTCTTCCCTGACATGGGAGTGATTTATTAATTTTTTACTTCTCTCTCTATTTTTTCAAAAAACCAACAACTTTCTCTCTCTAGGGTTTCGAAGGGAAACTTTCAGATAAACCCGAGAGGGCACTCCACCCCAATTGCAGGGTCCGTGCAACTTGCAGAACAAGTTTATCACGTTTATCGGATTCACGAGAGGCTTCAATTTATTTTCCGGGAAAAGAATTGAGAGGATATCACTTTATTTTAGCGGCTTCAATGGCTTTCTGGATCGTCGTTTTGCTGTAATTTCGTCGTCAATTCCATGTTTCTGGTGAGTTTGAAGCCAATTTCGTGTTCCTTTTGTTTTCTTTTTTTTTTTTTTGCTCGTCAACTGTTTCGCTTTTGCTGCTAAAGGATTATTGCTTGCGTATAACTTTGTTGGTTAGGGTTTTTCGATTTGTTCGTTTACTTCGTTCACCAGCTAGACATAGTTTATAGTGAATAAAATCAGGCATGAAGAAATAAGAAAACAGAAAAGGTGAGTGTGAGAGAAAAGAGCAAGAACTTTTAGGTAGGATTTGCTCCTAATTTACGAATTTATTTGCAAGAAGAGAGCTAGCCATTGTATTTTTGATGATTTAGTATTAATTGATTAAAGGAATTTCTGCTTAAGAATAGATATCTGTTATTTGTTTTGATTTTGTTTACCTTTCGGTATAGGTTATAAGCTCATGCTGTTTGGTAGATGCTGAATAATTGCTAGTATGGACTTAAATGCTTCGCCGTTACCTGAAGATGATGAAGAGACGTATGAAAGACATATAGAACATTACTCTGCACCAGAAGAACATGTAGAATCTGCAGTTGAAATTTCACGGCGGGTACCTCTCGGATTTTCTCTTCTGGCTTTCTTCTGTTTTATTTTTCTTCCATTTAAGGAATGCGTTTAGTTGCTCTTGATATCTATCATTGATTGGAAATAACTCCTGGTTGCTATTTATATATAATTTTACTTTTGGCAAATATGATTTTGGCAATTTCAGAATGAACCATTCCAGGCATATGGTGAGGTAGTGCTTTTTCTAAGGCAAATATTTTTGGCTTCATTTTTGTATGAAGTGTTTGCATTAATGTAGTTGATTTTGTGGGTAGTAGCTACTTTTTGGCATGGTAACATGGAGAAGTGAGAAGAGACATTGTGGCTTGTATATTCATTATACTGGAAAATGTTTGCTCTTGTGCAAAGGAGTTGCATAGATGTTCTTATATTTGTAGCGGAGTTGTGATCAATAGGTCTTTGCATTTATGAAAAATCAGTGTGTTCATAATTTTGATTGTTAACTGACATGCACATTGGGTTCCTGTTTCTTTTCCTTTCCATCTTACTTTTGCCTCATCTATTTTCTATTTAGGTTAACCGTATCATTTTGTGTTGTTTTTGTTTCTGTTTTACTCTTTAAAAAGTTCTTAATATTCTTATTTATGCGTCACTGTTCATGTATCATTCATGCATGGTAATGGAATTTGCTTCTGTTAGGAACGTGAAGAAAGACGGAAGAGATTGAAAAAAGACCGACCAGATGACCGGCTAGTGCATGTCTCTCAGCCTCCTGCTCATGATCACTTCTATCAAAATAGGAATCCAAAGTTTTATGATAAAAGTAGGATCCCTCCGGGTAAGATCCCTGACATTGCACAATAATTGCTATATAGTTTTGTGGTTATTGTCAATGTATTTTAATAACATTGGTGTTGCGTTGCCCAATTATTGTGGTGTTTTTGAGCCTTTGTTAATAATTCATCTGTATCTTTGATTTCAATTTTTTAGTACAAATTGATAGTTAATACCAAGATTGATTTCAGCCTATTTGAATGATTGTTTCAGTCTTTCAGACAGTGTTTTATGACATTGGCATCATCACTAAAAAGTAAACACATGGATTTGAAATTATTACTCGTTTCATTTTTGTGCCTAAGATGATGTTTTGATTGATTTATAAAAATTCAAATTCTTGTTGTTGCTTATACCATTATGCATTATTTTTCTTTTTCAAATCTTTTCAGGTTGGCTGGACTGTCCTTCGGTTGGGCAGGAAATAGGCTGCATTATCCCATCAAAGGTTCCACTTGGGGAATCTTATAATGACTGTGTTCCTCCTGGTAAAAGATACTCTTTTAAACAAGTGATTCATCAGCAAAGAGTTTTAGGAAGAAAGGTATATAGAAAATATTGCATTCCTTATATCATTTTACATTGTTAATACCTTGTTAATTTTCCCATGAAATGGAAAGCAACTCTCTTCTATTGACTATGATCATCTCAACCATGTAAACGGCATATCAAAATCCTTGCAAAAGAGTCTAAAAATTCTCAAAAACACTGGGTTATGTTAACTATAGAATTGAAAACTGCATATGGGGACTAAGGTGATTAAACAAAGTAAGGCAGTGGACAGGGTTAATACCATTCAAGATTTTGCTAAAGTGTTTGTTCTAAGGACTTGAACGAGTGCTTTCATGCATGTCACCCCAATAAGTTAAATATCAGTCTTTTGTTGGATAAGACTTGTAACGTGAGATTGTTAATTGGAGAATAATTGTTACCTTACCTGCAATGTTTTGTTTTTCAGCTTGGATTGGTGATTGATTTGACAAACACATCTCGTTATTACCAAACTACAGACCTGAAGAAAGAAGGCATCAAGCATGTGAAGGTGAGCAGAGGATTAGTGTAGTATAATGCTTCTCTTGTTGCTTGCAGCTTTGGTTTTAATTTTTCGCTTTTTGTTCTAGATTCAATGCAAGGGAAGGGATGCTGTACCTGATAATGTGTCTGTAAATACATTTGTTTACGAGGTACTTTTTGCTACTATACTTGTCTGTCATTTCCAGAATCTACTAGAATATCTGCCTTACCTCTTCTTAAAATGTGATTCCTGTGATAGATTTAGGCCCAATTCCCATGGTGCATTTATCAATTGATGACTGAAGTTTTGGCTGGTATTATATGCTTCCTTATCATCATGGCAAAGCCAACAAACCACTATGTTGTAATCTAAAGCATAAATTAGACCTTATCTCATAATCAGTACTGTCTTCCCACTTCTGATCTACATATGGCATGCACATTGCCAATCTCATGAGTTACTTGTTCCTAATGTGCTTTTACCAATTTATGAATTTTTCCATGTAATTTGTTGATCAGGTGTCACAATTCCTCCAACGTCAGAAATCAAAGAAATATATTCTTGTCCATTGTACGCATGGGCATAACCGCACTGGATACATGATTATTCACTATCTCTTGCGATCACAATCAATGTCTGTTACTCAGGTCAGTTGTTTGTGTTGCATTTCGTCTTTTTCAATGTTATGTAGGTATTTGTAATGTAATATTATTTTTGTTTTACCTTTTGTGCAGGCAATAAAATTTTTTTCTGAGGCACGTCCTCCGGGAATCTACAAACCAGACTATATTGATGCCTTGTATGCATTTTATCATGAAAGAAGGCCTGAAATGGTTGTCTGCCCTCCAACTCCTGAGTGGAAGAGATCTTCTGATCTTGACCTGAATGGTGAAGCAGTCGCAGATGATGATGATGATGATGATGGAGGTCCAACTGCATTACATGTACGGACAACCTTGTAGAAATTGTTTATTTCTCATCTTTTTATGCATGTGTTATTAACTGTAATAAGGGCATTAAAAAGTGAAATCTGATATTAACAAAGGCCTTAATATCCATTGCTTCTCTTCCATATGGAAAAGGTAAGATTTTGACTTGTTAGCTGAAAACTACCTACTTATGATAAATACTGTGGATGGGGTTATCTTCTTGGGTAACTCAGTAATCTTTGCCGGTGGTCAGCGGTCCTTTTATTTTTCTTCACCATGTAGATTGGAGAAGGTATTTCATTATGTGTTAATAAAATCTTACAAATTGTATCAAGTTAAGCTTTGTTGTTAAGTTACTGCTACTTGATATATGCTTGTTTATGTTTCTTCTTGTTTCTTATATGATTTTTAAATTTTTCTCAAAATTCTGAATCATGTATTTTGTCTAGATTTCAGCTTTAATAAGTCTTTTGTCATTTCAGGAGAATCATGAAACAGACGTAGTTTTGACAAATGATGACATTTTGGGAGATGAAATACCTCATGACCAGCTGGAATCACTGCGATTCTTCTGCTACCAGATGTTGAAATTAAATGTTCCCGTATGCACTTTGAAAGCCAATATTTTTTCTTTGATGTTTAGCTACTTATTCACATTGTCAGGACTATCAGATTTGGGGACAGAAAGTTTTCATCAAATTTATGACAGAGAGCATGCCATAGCTTTTTTATCTTTGTTTTTTTAATTGCTTGTTTACTGTATCTGTGATAATTTTGTGGAGGATAATTAAGTGATGAACTTTAGGCTTTGAATATTTTAGAATGACTGTTGTAATGATAATATTTGAAAATTATAAGAATGTTTTCTCTTAATTATAACATTAAGAGGGAACTTATCCCTTTTATGAAAACAAAAAATTATTAAAAACTTGAATACCTTTATTTTTCAATTAAGTCTTTGTGTATTATTCGTTACCGTTTTGGTTTAACATGAGCTCTGCCATGCCATTTCTTGAAACCAGGTTAGAGGACATGCACAATTTCCAGGATCACATCCAGTTTCGCTCAACAGGTCCTTAATATGTTTTTTTTTTTTTTTTTCTGTTTTCTTGTTTAAGTGGTTATGCCTTTTTCAAATGGCTTATTTGCCTGCGTGATGGTTTCTGATTCTGCATTTTGTTGAAATAGGCAAATTATCTCTTGGAACTGTGATGAGGCTTTAAGCTATTTTCGTAATATTGCAGGAATTTTTCTTGTAAACTAGTCAAGAGTAAAGGTGCCTTGGGATGTGCAAGAAGCTATACTTCATGTTAAAGTTATAAAGCATAAATATTTAAAAATTAGTGGTCTGAAATTTGGTTGCCATTGTGGTGGATAGGTTTAATGGAAAGGATATAATTTGACAATTATGGATTTACGTTTTAAGTAACCCTTCTTTTTTATTTTTGTTTATGAAAACACTTTCAATTTCTTAAGGTTTTATGGTACACATTAATCATTTCTCTTTTTCATTCTTTTTTGGGATTAGCTTGGTCCTTGGTGATAATGAAAGTATTTATGATGTTTATTTAAAATACAAAATAACAGTGAAGAAAATAGGGTAAAGAATAAAGATGTGTCTGAAGCTACAATGCTGGCTCGAAAAAGGTCTTGAATCATGCATGAAGAACTTACCATTGTAGAGAGTGTAGGATGTGAATAATGAAGTTGCTATAAAATTGAATGCTGTAAAGTCAGTAAAAAAAGCAGGAATATCTTCCATTTCTCTGTTTTGGCCCCCGAGAAGATTTTATTTATCAGCTTCTGGTGTTCATTTCTTACTTAACTGCCTTCAGGATAAAGCAAATGTTGAGCTAGTCTTATTAAGTGTTCTTTTTCATTTTGACCTTTTTATAATTTTTCTTGGCCAGAATGTTTACATACAAATTGAGTTCTCTATTCTTATGCTTGCAGGGATAATTTACAACTTTTGAGGCAACGCTATTATTATGCCACTTGGAAGGCAGATGGAACACGATATATGATGTTAATAACTGTTGATGGATGTTACTTAATTGATAGAAGTTTTAATTTCCGAAGGGTTCAGATGAGGTTTCCATGCAGACACCCAACTGAAGTATGTATTTGCGTGTCTTCTTTTCTAAGGAAAATTCTGGGAATTTAGCGTCTCATGTGTCTTATTAATTTGACATAATCTTTTCACTTGTAAGGGTATAGGGGACAGAACTCATCATTTGACATTGCTTGATGGGGAAATGATAATTGATACCGTGCCAGACTCTAAGAAGCAAGAGAGAAGATATCTCATCTATGATATGATGGCACTTAACAATACTCCTGTCATAGAGGTTGGTTGTGCTTCTTTGTTACAAATTTTTCTCTTAATTGTTTGTCTTCTTTGGCATTGTAACTGTCTTACAAAACTGATAGTTCAGTTGATATCTATCGATATAGCTATTTTATCTTACTTTACTCTAGGCTTTTGGAGACTATATATTATATACATTCATAGTTGGGTTTGTAAAAAATGCTTTAATGATCAGTAGTCTTAGTTTTGCTTTGGATTTTGATCTCCCTAACCAAAATTTCCAGCAAGCATTATTTGATGTTGGAACTGCTGTCATCCATTTGAGGTAATGGAAGATAACAGTTAAATTCTTTAATGACTAAAAAGTAAATTTGTCAAGGGAGTTTGTGTTGGTTTCCCATACTAATTTCTGGAGCTTCTTTTCTAGTTTCTTTTTCTTCTGGAGATTCAAGAATTGAGTTATTAGATCTAAGAGTAGGCTCAAATTAAGAGACAAAATGCCTTTTTCAGATTCATGTTATCTCCATCTTTTCTTATGAAAAAAAAAATACAAAACATATCTAGTAATCCTATAGATCAAAACTGGTGCAGCGGCCTTTCTATGAACGATGGAAAATGCTGGAAAAAGAAGTGATTGAGCCTCGAAATTATGAACGCCAGAACATTTACCAGAGCAGGAATCCTTATTATCGCTACGACCTTGAACCCTTCAGGGTATGTATTAAGGAACACCAATGTTTAATATATTTAACTACTTTTGTGAGATAGGCTAAGAATTTACTTAAATCTGTTATCAGGTGCGGAGAAAGGATTTTTGGTTGCTCTCTACTGTAAATAAGGTTTTGAAGGAATTTATCCCCAAGCTCTCTCATGAGGCGGATGGTCTTATTTTTCAGGTGATTAAACAGGATTATTGGATTTCATGCAATTTTACTCTTTGTGTTGCTTTGTAGGCATGGTCTGTTAGGAAGGATTGTTATGTTTTTAGGTGCAACTGGTTATTGATGATTTTTTTTTTTTTTTTGCCAGGGCTGGGATGACCCTTATGTACCTCGCACTCATGAAGGTCTTCTTAAGTGGAAATATGCTCAGTTGAACTCTGTTGACTTTCTATTTGAGGTTGTTTTTTTCATTTTTCTTTTAATTGGTTTCTTTTAATGTTAAATTTTGGCTCTTTTGGCTTCAAAAATTTGTAGACATTCATCCCTAAACTGAAAGCTTTAGGTATTGACAGATTGGCACTGACGATTGTCAACAACTTTTTCTCTATGAACGGGGGAGAAAGAAGTTGATGGAAAGGAATACAGTTGAATTCAGAGGTACTGTGAATCGAGTTTATTCCATTTTTCTGCTTCATTTGATGTCATTACTATTGATTCTGATTTTTTAATTTCCTAAATTTCTTGCAGATGTTTCAGATCCTCCTTCTTCATTCTCTGGGAAGATTATCGAATGTTGTTGGGATGCTGATCAACAGGTGTGGGTCTATATGCGGATCAGGACAGATAAGTCGACTCCTAATGAATTCAATACTTTCAAGAAGGTATGTCTCATTGCTTTTTTGACAAATAGTTCATGTTTTTCCTTAACTAACTGGAGTAAGTAACATCTGTTTGCTTCTGCAAGAACAGGTTATGCGAAGTATAAGGGATAATATCACAGAGGAAATCTTATTAGGTGAGATTAATGAGATTATTAGCTTGCCCATGTATGCTGATAGAATAAGGATTGACAGCAAGGCCCACCTGCATACAAATTCTGCACGACGGAGGTGATGGATAGCATACTGGTACTGGTTCTTGTGCAGTTGATTGAGGTATTGGATGCTTGGGTGGTGCCTTTCATTGCCTGTGTTAAAGTGGCTTCGAGGTTTCTTTTGGTAAGTAAGTTAAGGGTCACTGTGATATCATGTAATTAGCTATCCCCTTTTTAGTCAGTCTTGTAGTGTGTGCTAATGCTGGTGAGTTGTATGATCCAGGTGGTACACTAGTTGAATGGTTCTGTGACATTCAGGTCTGAGACTATTTTTCTTATAGTTCAGATCAAAGAGGATTAGCATTAGGGTAACCAATGTATATTATTTCTATTTTATTCCTTATGTTAGTGATCTCTTGAGTTCTTTTACAAGTAGCCATTTTCCAGAACCGAAAAACATAGTTTCATTTTGGGGTTTTTGCATTTTGGCTCTCTGCGAATATGTGATTGGAAAATGCCATGGGGGAGACTTGGTATTTGTTCATATATTGGTACTTTCTTTTCTAAGTCAAAAAGAGTTATGCAGCTCTTCTTTCAGCACCTCAGTGTCTTCTCTTAGCTCTTTTGACTTTTTTCCGCTATTTAGGCTCTTTGTGTGAACTTAAGCTGTGTTATGTTTTTGTAATTACAATAGATTTTTATACATATAATTCAACATTTCTTTTATTTTATTGGTTAGTGGAAATTGAAATGCAAAATTATACCATCTACTCCCGAGCAACAATGATTTTGTAAATGCTGATATTTAATTCAATGTTACGTGCTAACTACCCCCTCCTCCCAATTCTATGTCTAATTGTATTTGTTTCTTTTCATATATTTTTTATTCCATGGTTGATTTGTTCGATTAAGGTAATCTTTTTTTTCTTTCTTAAAAATTATCAAAAAAATTATCGGTGAATGAAACAACTGATTTCTAAGCCTTGATTATCAAAATATTTTCTCCAGTCCTCGACTCATTTCCTCCCTCTCTAATTTTATAAACAGCAAAACTATCACGTATATAATACATTTTTTTTTATTTTATTATAGTATTTTTATTTTCGTTTGGACAATTTTTTTGAACGATTTAAAAAATGTATTTTTCTTTAAATGTAACACAGTAATTATATTTTAAGTTCATTTTAATTTGATAAATGTCATTTGTTATTTATTATTTTATGACATTAAAAGGAGCAAAAGTGAGATATTTGTTTACATTTGATTTTAATTTTAATTTTTTTATACGATTTTCCAAGAGAATCTCGGTCAGCATAGTACTAAAAAAAAGAATAAAAATAAAAAAACAAAATGACCAAAAAGTAAACCAAATACATAAAGACCAAAAAGTCGTAAAACCATTAAATTAGAATTTCTTTCTTTCTTACACTTAATATCTAAAAAAATAAAAATAAAATAACAATAATACAAACCATAAAGCAGAGTAAATTGTTTGGCTGAGTTCAGCATGATCAAAGTCGTCAATGTCCGGAGCTCCTCCTCTTAGAGAGGAAGACAGGGACAGGATCTTTACAACTGTAGCCTAGGTTTTATTCACTCCTCAATTAATCATCTCCTTCTCATATTTCCACTCTTGACTTACACATTTTCTTTTCCTCCCTTCAAATTCTGGAGTGAAACGAAGATCACAACATGAAATCCTTAGAGATTAGGGTTTTTTGGATGCTTTTCCTTTTGATTAGTCGCTCCAGTTTCTCTAATGGCGAGGGCTCCAATAATAAATTCCGTGAACGACGTGCCACCGACGACGAGCTTGGTTATCCCGAAATGTAAGTCCTTCTCTAGCTTCTACGATCTTATTTTCACTTTCTTTTTTCTTCTTTTCTTTTTTTTTTTTTTTTTTTGGATTCGACAATTGGATTAAATTAGAGGAGCCATTGTTATAAGAATTTTTTTGTGGGTATGTGTAGGGATGAAGATGCTTTGTTGAATACACAGTGCCCTAGAAATTTAGAACTTAGATGGCAAACAGAGGTCAGCTCTAGTATTTATGCAACTCCGTTGATCGCTGATATCAATAGGTGAAGTTTACTCTTCCTTTATGTTCATGTTTTAATTTCATGGTGAGCTTTTACTATGTTAAATTTTACTTCTTTTCATTTCATTTTCAGAAATTTGCTGATTTTTTATGAGTAAATTGATAATTATAATAATAATTTAGTTGACTCTAGTATGATTGTATAATTTGTAGTGATGGGAAGCTCGATATAGTGGTTCCCTCATTTGTTCACTACCTTGAAGTTTTAGAAGGTTCTGATGGCGACAAAATGCCAGGTACCTATGCTACATGTTTCTCTGATCATGTTAAATCAAGTTTATAAAATGAAGATGTTTGTTTAGTTCTAGAGTAATTTGAACGAAGTTGATGCAGTTGAGTTTTTAATAATGTCAGGTTGGCCTGCTTTTCACCAGTCAACTGTGCATTCTAGTCCTCTCTTGTATGATATTGATAAAGATGGTGTGAGGGAAATTGCTCTGGCTACCTACAATGGCGAAGTGCTTTTTTTCAGGTTATTTGTCTTAGTGAATTGCTCATTAGAGGAAGTGCTCTCAAAGTTGGTACATGAACTCATTATCATGATGTTGGAATACTAATTTGTCCAAAGTATTATTTTTAGGGTTTCAGGCTACATGATGACTGATAAATTGGAGGTGCCTCGTAGAAAAGTTCGTAAAGATTGGTACGCGGGATTGCATCCTGATCCACTGGACCGTTCTCATCCTGATGTCCATGATGATTTACTCTTACAGGAGGCTGCTAAAATGAACGCAATGAACCGTATGCTATTCCCAAGTTCTCAATAATTCTATGCCCCTGTTACTTCTCAATTTCTAAAACCTCTCATTTTATGGTTGTTGCTAAGAAAGCTCCCTTGCACTCTGCTCCATAATGGTAGTTTGCGGACAATAAACTGGCAGAAAAAGTATACAGCACATTTCATTGGGATTACATTGTTCTTTTCGCAAAAGCTTAGTCCATTATTCCGCATGGTTTATTTATATTCTGAAGCATTCTCTTCTCATGAAATGACTCACACCAATACATGTTGGTTATCCTTGCAGAAATAAATGGAAGTCTACCTGAATCTAACCTTACGGTTCCAGCATCAACAGAGAGTCACTCTAGTGAGGTTAACACGTCCAATGCAGAGCATGGAAAGAAAATGAATGGAAGTCAAATAGAAGATACGATCAACCTGCCAACTAGCGTTGGTAATTCTTCTGTAAACACTGAAGGACATAATAAAACAAGTGCTGGGAGGCGGCTTCTAGAAGATAACAACTCTGAGGGTTCGCAGGAAGGTAGTTCTGGTTCAAAAGAGAATGTTCACGAAGCTACTGTGGAAAATGCTCAAGGGTTAGAAGCAGATGCAGATTCATCTTTTGAGTTATTCCGTGATAGTGATGAGTTGGCTGATGAGTATAATTATGATTATGATGATTACGTTGATGAATCCATGTGGGGAGATGAGGAGTGGACTGAAGGACAACATGAGAAAATGGAGGATTATGTGAATATTGACTCACACATCTTGTCTACTCCAGTGAGTATAAATTTCAATTAGAAAATGTTTTTGTTTCTAGTGGAGGAACTTCATTGCTAGACACAAGTAGAATTCTACTATAACTGTCTCAATTTGCTCTAATTGTATTCAGGTCATAGCAGACATTGATAATGATGGGGTGGCAGAAATGATCGTTTCTGTTTCCTACTTCTTTGACCGTGAGTAAGTTGTCTTCCTTACCTTTCATTCTGACTTGGTAGTCTAGGTTATCTCTCAGTGCCATTGGAAATTCATTCAAGGAAAACTATAGCTTTTTCTCTTCTCTTTTCATATTTAACTTTTTCGATCTGGTTTAAGTTAATTTGTATTTCATGGAAGGAGGGTTGCTCTTTTACAGTTGAAGGAGCTGAAAAAATGACACTATTTGTTAGGTATTACGACAACCCGGAGCTTATGAAGGAACTTGGAGGTATTGATATTGGAAAGTATGTTGCTGGTGGCATTGTCGTATTTAATCTTGATACAAAGCAGGTTAAGTGGACAAAAGACTTAGATTTGAGTACGGATACTGCCAACTTCCACGCACATATATATTCTTCTCCAAATGTTGTTGATTTGGATGGTGATGGAAACTTGGACATCCTAGTTGGAACCTCATTTGGTTTGTTCTATGTATTGGATCACCATGGTAATCCCTTTAGATTGACTAGTTTTTTTTAATCTATTTCCCCTGTATTTTGAATTTATAGTTCTTACAGTTTGTCTTATATGAGTCGCCCAGAGTTCACAACATAGCTAATCAATATTCCCCACCTTTGTGCCTATGCAAATTCAAGTGGCCGGTATCCAAATCTACTCCAATGTTGAAACTACTTTAGCTCATACTTCTAGTTTTTACAAATTTCCTTTAGGTTTAGACTTTTTCTACATACAGTTTGTTGCCTGATACATGATTTTGATTGAATTATGTGGGTTTCATTTGTGAAGGTGTTGGAAATGCCTTAAATAGTTTGTCACCCTTGCTTCCTACCACTTTGAAATTTTCTGCTTGAACCCTGGTTAACTGTATATAATTGGAATGCACTTGATCGCCTGCACTATATCTACTTGTATCACAATACTCTGTTTCAATTTTTTTTTTTTTTTAAAATGTTTGTCCTCATGCTGATTGATGTTTTCATTGGGTGCAACTTTCTGTGTGAAGATCTTCCATCTTTGTTTTTCCCTTTTGAACTGACTTTAAATTATAAGCAACTCTCACAATTTTTTTTTACCAATTACCCAACTGAATTATTCATTTCATTCAGGAAATAGCAGACAAAAGTTTCCTCTTCAAATGGCAGAAATTCAAAGTGCTGTGGTTGCAGCTGATATAAATGATGATGGCAAGGTTGAGCTAGTGACAACAGATACACATGGAAATGTTGCAGCATGGACTGCACAAGGGGAAGAAATTTGGGAAGCTCATGTAAAGAGTCTGGTTCCCCAGGTGAGTTGTAGCATCCTTTCTGTAGTTTTGCCTGTACGTGGATATTATGATTATTTTTAAGGTATCTAGTTTCTATATATGCATTTATGGTTTGATGTTGTTCCTCCACTGTCCTTTTTTCTTTTTTATTTTTCCATATAACTTCATAGTTTTGTTATTACTACTATAGATTATATAATTGCATGAAGGGATATGATATGTACATTGGTCTATGCCCTGGATGCATGTTAGCCATCTGTTCAAATATCTTTGCTCTTGTTTTAAATCTCTAAATTGAACTAAATAATGCATAAAAGGACTAGTGCTCAGCCGATATACATTAAGATAGATACTTGTTTGAGGTACTTTGAGATCATTTTATGTGAATATCATCTCATTCCTCAGGGTCTTGCAGTTGGTGATGTTGACGGAGATGGCCACACAGATCTTGTAATTCCCACGCTATCAGGGAATATTTATGTACTAAGTGGAAAGGATGGTTCAGTAGTTCGTCCCTATCCATATAGAACACATGGGAGAGTAATGAATCAAGTTCTTCTGGTCGACTTAAGTAAACGAGGGGAGAAAAGCAAGGGACTCACTATTGTTACAACTTCCTTTGATGGTTATTTGTACCTGATAGATGGACCTACATCATGCGCTGATGTTGTAGATATCGGTGAAACTTCGTAAGTTATTTATTCTTATGCACTATATATGGTTCCGTGCCTTTCCAAATGCTCTTTCATGTTTCTTTATCTTATATTTGGACCGTTTCTTGACAGCTATAGCATGGTGTTAGCAGACAATGTTGATGGTGGTGATGATCTAGATCTTATTGTTACAACTATGAACGGAAATGTCTTTTGCTTTTCAACCCCTGCCCCACATCATCCCCTCAAGGCAGGATAGAGCTGAACCTTGCATAGGAGTGAGTTCTTGTGAATTTGCTAAGAATTTTAAGTAACAATTAATTATATTTTTATTTCAGGCATGGAGATCAAATAACCAAGGAAGAAACAATTTTGCAAACCGGTACAACCGGGAGGGAGTATATGTTACACACTCATCAAGAGCTTTCCGTGATGAGGAAGGCAAAAGCTTCTGGGTGGAGATTGAGATTGTGGATAAACATAGATATCCATCAGGGTTCCAAGCACCTTACAACGTCACAGTAAGCCACCATTTCATGCACAAATTACAATTGCTGAGGCAACTCAAATATTTCATTCTTCTCGTTTTTTTTTTTTTTTTGGCTAAAGTAGTTTAACTTTTCATTCTCCTTTGTTTTTATATATATTGTCCTCAAACAATGCAGACAACATTGTTGGTCCCGGGTAATTACCAAGGAGAAAGAAGGATAAAGCAAAGCCAGATGTTTGAGCGTCCGGGAAAATATCGGATAAAACTTCCAACAGTCGGGGTAAGGACAACAGGGACTGTTGTTGTGGAGATGGTCGATAGGAATGGACTCCATTTCTCTGATGACTTCTCCCTTACATTCCATATGTATTACTACAAACTGCTGAAGTGGCTTCTCGTCATCCCAATGCTTGGGATGTTTGGTGTGCTTGTCATCCTTCGTCCACAGGAGGCCATGCCTTTGCCGTCATTCTCCCGAAACACCGACTTGTGACAACTGGGCCGTATTGGACCTCAACAACACACAAGGCCACTGCCCGCTGATGTAGATGTCTTTAAGCATTAGTTCCTACAAACGTTTGAGTGTCTTTTTTTTTTTGAGTTCGAAAATTGTAACATTGTCGAATTTGAGTTCTTTTTTTGACATTAGATAGTTAAAGTTTAGTTTCACACCGTGCTTGTTTCAATCTGAAGGAATAGATTTATCTGGAGTGAAGCAATGTCTACGGGCTCTTCTTACACGCAATCTCCCTGACTTTATTTGCGGCTTTTCGCTCTTGGCAAAACTCCAGCCTTACTAAAAAAAAAATGAAAAAGAACATTTGAAAAGCTTCAGAACTTAGCAAGTGCATCTTGAAACACTGGTTGAAACAAAATTATTACAAACCTAAAGCATGAGCAATAACACACGCCCCATGGTGTACTTATCAAACTTCATTATTCTTTACCATCAGAAATTCATGTTTAAATGGGTTTTTTCATCTTGCTTTCGACCTTGCTTGAGGGAAAGCAATTGCATATTTCTTTTTCATAAAGAATCCTTTTTTTAATTCTAATCTTCTTTTTACTTGCTTATATATTTTTTTTCAAGCATCAGCCAGACACACTCCCATACGAAAGAGAAAGAGAGGAGTCCGTCAAAGTCAAAGCTGAGGCTGGTTGCTGCTACTTCACGTCCACGACCAAATTCAGTTCTAGAAAGATTTTTGTACCATGAAAATAAATTCCATCTTAAAATTTAGTTCTAGAAAACACAATCTCAAACACTCAAACCAGGTTATTTAAAGTTAAAACTAGGTAGTGAATGTGTTCCTCACTTCAAAGTAATAACAACAATCATCACTGTAATTTTCATGTCAACCTGATAGCAATATCAGGAATGATATGACTTTCAGCGATTTAAAAGCAACAATTTCATGCCCATTTTCAATCCAACTGTTTGCAAAATCATTTAGATTTGCTCACTAAAAGGATTCTTATGAGATTCAACCAAATAGAAATTGTACTTTCATTTCAATCCAGACAATGAGAAGATGCAATGACATTAACACTGAGCTATGCTATGATAGAATCTTGTGTCAGTTACTAGTATTAGATTTTTTTGATCTTACTGATAAAATTATATGTTTACCCTGTACATTGGAAGAATTAAATTCTACACAGGCAGTCCTAAATATCACCAAATGGGGTGAGTGGCTTTTGGTTGACAGCATAAAAGTCAGGCTAATCATCATAAATATGAACCGGGGAACTAACCAACAGTGTCCTCCGATGATCCATTCACTACCTAGAGATTATATTCCCATAAAGAAGAACTTCAAAGAGTAGTGTGCCCAAAAAATGTCAGAAAGCTTTAACCAAACACCACGGCAGAGAAAATGCTTTCTTAAAATAAGTTAAGCTTATAGAGGTTTGAGTTCATTTCAGGTGGCTGCAAACAAAGAAGTGTGAGCTGTTTGTAAAGTGAACACTTAGTCGTGTGTCTAGAAAATAAGATCATATTCAATTTTCCCCGTTCTGGGATGAACACTGCTGATCCATTTATGTGTTCACTTGTTCATGTCCTTCACTGCTTTATTGACAGCATTATTCCTCAAATTAAACAATCTAAAGGTTTCTTCCATAAATTTTTACTTACCTAAAGCGGGAGCCAAACCCAAAATCAAGGCTTTTCACGAGCAAGTGGTCTGAACAATTCTTCAATTTACATGCAAACATTAAAAGCATAAATACCATTCTGGTTTCTGATGAATTTAACCAAAAATATCCAACCTATCAATCATCCAGCTTGGTCAAATCATTGCTGTCATCAAGTAATTCTACTCAATTATTCATCATAAATTTAAGAAAAACTTATTTAAACATTATCAGAAGCAAGATGTAATCAACAAGAGTTTAACTAGAGTTGGTAGCATCCAAAGAAACAGATACAAGCAATCGTATCATGAATTAAACCGAAAAGTCTTACATAAGAGCCTTAGAAGCCCTGTAAGATAGGTCTCTTTCCAAGCCTCTTGATCTCTCTATCCATTTTCCCAGTAAGCATCAATCCAAACATCCTGAAATCACATAAAAGGGACCAAAATGGATGCCCAAAAGTGGCAGGAACATTCCCTTCCACAAAGAAATGGCTGTACCAGGCAAGTCCATAACCAAATATGGGCACAAAGAACAAGAACCACCAATTAAACAACACAGAATATATCAATAATAGAATACTCGAGAGTGTGCCCGCAAAGTGCCAGCGCCTTGTAGATGGTTTTGAGTGCTGATTCACATAAAAGGCCCAAAACTCTTCCAAGCTCCTGAAATTCATCTCGTTAAGAATTAGAAAAGATAACCCAATTTAGAAAGTTGATAACTTGAATCACCTGACCAGAAGCCTTGTAAGAAATTAATCCAAGGAAAATTAAATTTTGGTTTGATTTGACTAGTGGGCTTTGGTTAAAAATCACAGAAAATAAGGACAAAATTTTGGAAAAACAAGTTTTGAGTTTTGACTGGGATTCCCAAATAAGGAAAATAACAAAGTTGGGATTGTTTCAGATTATGGGATCCTGTCACTCCCTGTCTGAAAGGCTGGAAATTTACTGGATTGATGTAATAAAGAAAGTAATCCAAGGAAGGAGAGTGGTGTAAGAGAGTTGAAAAGGGTGAATGGTTGTTGTCTATGGAGGTGAAGGAATCAAAGTAGGTTCGAAATCTCTTACGCAACAGCTATATGGCTTTTGTCAGCTGAGATATGTGATGGATAGAAATTTAAGCTTACTTGTTTTATATTTTTAATAAGTTCATTTTTTTGTAAAAAAGTTTTTTTTTTTGGTTTTTTTATGAAGCTTGTACAGTTTTGGGTAAAAATAATTACATAAATATTGAAAATAAAAGCTAAAACATGTTTAATTATGTCTAGATGAGACAAAGATTTTAAATAATTTTCACAAGTTTTAGTATGTCATTGAAAAACAATTTATAATTAAAATGTGGCTTTTTTCACAATTGATTAAATATTTTCGACTTCGATATTACTTTTCAACTTATTATTATTTACATAAATTGTGTTCTCTTATTCATCAATATTTGCCTAATTCTTCGGTGCATCATAACAAAAGAAAAAAAAAATACTACGAAATTGATTTTGACTTGGGGTGACTTGTAATCAAAGTGTTAGACCGGTTTCTAATGAATTCCCAGGGACAGAAGTTCTCTTTCCCTAGGTCATTTTTTATTAGAGGGGAAATGCTGATGCTTTGGTTGAATTTTCTCTTTGAACTTATTTACAGTATATTTGACCCAAAACGCTTTTGCTTGGCAGCATCATGGATTATGGCATCATTTCTGATAAAGTTATAGGGTTGACCCTAACAGTGGTCTTTGGTCCTAACTTGCTTGTTAACAGCAAAAAGAGAAAGTGAAATTTGGTTTTGATTTGGGTGAGATTTCATGACTCTGCATTCTGATAATTTCACTGCCAAGTGTTGGCAGGAAGCATATAAACTAACAGAGTGCAGAAAATAAATGGAAACAAAAGTTTTATGTACTATATTATGAAATAATACAATATTAATCTTTGCAGTGATTTCTGATGGATATATGATATATCAGGTAAGGGAAAGAAAAAGAAAACGAGGCACATTTGCCAGAAGCAAAAACAAAGAATGAACTGTAAGTCACTAAATACTCTTGCTATACCATTCATGAATCATTGCCTAAAAGATTAGCCCCCAAAATTTTGAATGCTTAATTAAACTTCTGTTCATTTTCTCTTTACTTCCCAAGCATTAACCCTGTTTTTTTTATGCTGCATTATTAATTTATGTTCTGTGACATTCTAGAAAACTCGCTCCCCAGTTGCGAACAGGTTCCAGAAGATGGTTGTAACGAAATAGAGGCCAGCTGTGACACTGAGGAATGCTTGAAAAGATCCTAACCACTGCACAAAATAACCGGTTCCAATGGTGCTGATTATGGCAGCCAATGTTCCTGCTGAGTTTGCTATGCCTGTTCCCATTAAGAATATTGGAGACTTAGTTAAGGAAAACTGCAAATCTACAATAAATGTAATTAAAATCATCTATGCTAGTTACGAGATAGAATGGCTTTAATGTACCATGGACAAATCCTGCATACTGAGGTGCAATATCCTGATCAAATGAACCAAGTAAGTAGGCATTAGCTTGGTTGAGTACTCAGAAAAGTATGGGCAGTTATTGTCTTAGGGTGGCTAAGATTTGTTTATGTTTCATAATTGAATGGACAAAATGGAACTTACTTGCATATTGAGAAGAAAACCTGCTTGGCTAAAAGAACTCAAGCTCAGGGCTGCTGTCATAAATAAAGCTGCAACTGCAGGTGACTTTGCAAAATTTAGGCAGAGCAGTGACACCCCAGGACCAATGAAGCCTATAGACTATTACATTTACAATTACACATCAGCAGTTGCAATCTTTTAAATAGCAAGATGATAAGCAAAATAAAGAAATCAATGTCCCGAGGAGTGAACTGCCAACTTCAAAAGGTCTTTTACCACGGCTTTCATGCTTGTTTAATTTCTTACTTCTTCCAATTATTATCTACTCTAGTTAATATTTAGTGATCAAAACCAAATTTTTTAAATTCATGAATCTGATTTAGGGTTTAAGACTCGTGAGAGTACATGTCCTACATGATCTAATAGCTTTGGAAGGTGTACCTGCATGATCTTTCGAACTAATGTTATAGAGTAGCCGGCCTTGATTAGGGAATCCGATACTACACCTGCAATGTAACCTGAAATTGCCATTGTCCCCCATGGAACCGCACTAAACAAAGCTGCTTGTTTCAAGTTCACATTAAACACCTGCATTCAGCCGGTACGAATAATTTATTACACTAAGGAACATGAAAGTACTCCTACTAATAACAAGAAAAATAAGAAAATAAGTATCTAGATGTTTGAAAAATGCAGTTAAATTTAAGAAAAGCTGAACAAAAGTTGCAAGATAGATCCATGTATAAGCTTAACAAAAATTGTGTGAGTAGATCTCGACAAAGTTATGAGCCCTTGAGTATGCCAGCAACTTTTTCAAAAGCTTTAAGCATTTTGTATATAAAATAGACGGTAAATAGAGGATTAACTGATGAGAGAGCTACATACAGTCTTGAAATAAACGGGCATCCATGAGAGGAGAACAAAGTATCCCTGAAATAAAAAGCATGGCTCAAATGTCATTACATCTCATAAAAGAATTAATGAAGCCACTGAGAAGTTGTAGAAATGATGAAAAAAAACTCACCCAATTGTTAGTTACATTAGCAAATATGATTGCCCATGTCGGTAACTTTGACAAGAGGATGCGTATAGGTGGAAGCTCACCAGTATATACTGGAGGATCAACTTTCCCAGCCTGAATTAATCGTAGCTCAGATTTGCCGATAAAAGGACTTTCTCTCGGATCATTTGTTACTTTATATACCCATGATGACAACCATAGCAGCCCAAGAGATGAAAAGAAAATAAAAGGACCTGAAATTCCAATGGATGACAACATGATTGGTGTCAGAATTAAGCCCACAACATTTCCAAGATGAAATCCAGCCATAGAAATTCCAACTGCACTTGCTCTTTCATGCCCTGGAAACCACCTAGAAAAGATAGAGAAAAGAACAATTTTCGTCAGCCAGCCAGAGATCAATTCTTTAAACAGTGATGAAAATACTTTTTAATTTTCGTTACTAAAAATTTATATTCACGTATTAAATCATTTACGTGCTATAAAATACTAGCCTTAACGAGAACTGAGGGGTCATTACCTTGATAAGAGTGTGCTCATGGAGGGCAGAGCAACACCTTCAGCCAGACCAAAGAAGGCTCGAATTGCCAAGAGAGCAATGGTGGAGTGGTTGGCAGCCCAGGGAGTCAGAAGTGTAGCCAAAGACCACAAGGCCACACCCCATGCCAACACTCTTTTGCCTCCATATTTGTCCACCAAGGCTCCTCCAATCATAGAGGAGAATATGTATCCCCAAAGAAAGGCCGACTTCAAACAATGAAGAAAACAAGATGACACCGTCTAAACTGAGTCATACTTTTTCACATATCTATTTGATTGAATGAATACATGAAAAATTAGAGGTAACACTAAAAATCATAATACTATAGACCTAAAGAACAAATTAAATTTTAGGCCTTTCTCTAAATAAATTCTTTTGGTACATCATTCTCTAATTGGATACAATATTAACTAACCTGTAAACATCCTGTATACATCCCTATGGTCAGAACTAATAAAACCTAAACTCCCAAACTATTTGTTCCCCCACCTGTCAATTTGTACTTGGGTTTGGTTCAAAGTTCAAGCCGAACAGCCCATTGACCACATGAATTAGGTCCCTTTTGGTAGCCAAGGCCCACCCTTCTCGTCCAAAGTACAAACAACCACAAAACAGAACTGCCTCAACTAGGGAGGGATCGGGATTCGGGAACTTGGAAGCCACGTGGCATTACTCATAACAATCGTCTGGTATTTCTTTGAGTCAGAGAAAGTAAACTTTCATTTTCAAAAACTTAGCCTGCTAATATAAAAATGCCGTCTTTATATTAGCAATACAAGGATTTCCACTTTTCATATTTAGAGCGGCGAACCATCAGCTTATTCTTTTTCTCAACCACCACCCAACAACTACCCCATTTCTCTATATATGATACAAGTCAACAATTTTCGTTAAGTGTTTTCTTACGTATGGATTCAAGAAAAGCGTTAAAAAAATGGAAAAGAGAGATTAATTTGGATTACCTGAACAATGCCAAGGAAAGAACTTGACCAACCAAACTTATCAGCGAGTGGAACAACGGTAACGGACATAACAACTCTGTCAGCATTACATAAACACATAACACAAGCCATTAAAGCCACCACCTTGAACCTCTCTGGCACCATCCTCACGGGGGTTTCCCCGATCAAAATCCTTCTTTCCGTCCTCTCCGCCGTACACCTCACCACCCCTCCTCCTTCCTTCTTCTTGGAATCCTCTCTTATTCTTGATGACAAGCCCAAGCTCTCCCATTTGACCTTCTTTCTAAGGACTTTACGCTGAAACCCGAGGTTGGTCGTCCTTGATTGGATCAAACTTGATTGAGAGCTGCTCAAGAAACAATAAGGCTTGGGGGAAGAAGAAGAAGAAGAAAATTGAAGTTGCAAAGTCTTAGCAGCCGTCATAAGGATAGAAATAGCAAGAAGCTTGAGATGATCAGTGTGAAGATTTTACTATAATAATAATTAACATAAGAATCAACAACTTATCATAAAATCTTTCTGCTATAATGCTGGAGATTTTGCCTTCTCTGTATTAAAGAGAGAAAAAAATGGTTTTGATATGGGGTTGTTGAGGGACGGTAGAGGCCGAGGCGACTAGAGAATCGGTCCCTACGAATATATTTACGTCACTCAGTTAAGAGGGTATTTTCGTCACAAAATATTTTATGTTTCCTTGGGTTGCCCTTGCCTATAACCAAAGACTCGTACGTGGGAACACGTGGATTTGCTTACCTAACCTCGAATTTTCTCCAACAACCCCCATGTCTGCTGGCTACTGTGACCGGTCTCCTCAAAAATTCATCCTCCATTTTCCAATCTTCCTTCTATTTTTTACAGCTGGGATAAAATTTTTCTTTTCAGAAAATTTACCGATCTTATCCGGGACCCGGTTAAATTTTAAAATCCATATTTTTTTTTTATGAACTTCTCAAACGCGGCGACCCGGCGGAGTGGGTAGGCATTGGATTTTTTTTTTTTCCATTTTTACAGTGAGTAATTATAAAGTACTCACAGTCACATATTTAGTTTTTCATTGATCTTTCTTTTTCTATTTTGAGCAATAATTTTGTAATTTAAAAACAAGTCATTAATGATATATAAGAGTGAATTAAACTTCCTAAGAGTCTTTCATAGGATCGAATCTATCATTGGTTTACCCAACTAATTAAATTAGTGGACTTTCAACTCTGCATTAGTAAGGACAACTTCTAGCTCAAGAAAATAAAATGTGAGTTGAACATATCAATACCTTACAATTATTTTGGGTTCGGCGTAAATTAATTGAAACTTATCGATTAAATGATAAGTGTTTTAAACTTTGATTCGGCTAAGTTAGTTAAGATATGATTACAATTAGATTTATGAATAATGTTTATTAATATTTTTTATTTTTTAAATTACATGAATTGAATTATTTATAAATTTAGATATTCATAAATTTTTTATAATCGGTATCCATGAATATGTAATTCGAATTTAAAATTGACATTTCAATAATTCATGTAAATAATGAGGCCTTTCAAATATTGCATTGCCTTGGCTGAAAAAATGGTGGGATAGCCTTGCCCTTTGGCCCTCGACGTTTAGTGAATTACTACTAATTAATATTCTGATTAATACTGTATATATATATATAAGGTCATGATCGAGGGTAGGTGGATAGGTGGAATATGAGATTATAAATAAAAGGTTTTGCTCTGAGTTTTAAAATAAAAATTTTTTTAAAAATAATAGTAGTTCTCTTGGCAAATTGTTTCCACAACCCGAGGAAATGATTCAGAAAGTGGAAATAACTTGCAACAGATGACGTTAGGTTGCTTTTTTTTTTTTGTTTTAAATTGCGAAAGAAATAAGGTCTTGATCTTGACTATTGCGATTTAAATAATGCTGACAGGTGAAGCAAAGCCAGTTCACAGTCACAGATCACAATCAATCTGAGAAGCGGGCCCTTTCTACTTTAGCCGATTGGATTTTACAAGTATATATCGAGCTAATAGTACGTTTTAGTTTTCGATGATATCAAGAGAGATTTTTTTAGATTTTAATAATTCATAATTTCACAATTTTAGCTTATGTTTGTGCTTTGTTACTTTCTTGTACGCATCCAATGTGGTTTTGGAGTCAGGGTCAGGGCATCAACCTTCGGTTTTAGTATGGGACTGCGTGAGTCATGCCTTCATATCTGAGCTGAAAGGTCATCTATACGGAGTTGAGTGCGTTGCTTTCTCACCCGAAGGTTACTTAGAGCCGTTGCAATGGGAAATCTTGTATTTGTTGGAGGATACATTCACCTTTGGGATTGGCGGAGTGAGACGTTGGTTACAAAGCTTAAAGCAATTTCATCTTGTTCTACTGTTCGTATGTCACTTTCTCTTGGCTAACCGCTGGAAAGAAGTACCCGAAATTCTGGGCGTTTCTGGCTTTAATTAATATTAGTACATTTTCCATCCACTAAGCCCAAGTTGGTGCTATGAAGAAGGTTTTAAAACAGAACTTGGCCCATTTTTCCCTTAAAGGGCCTAAAAGTTTCCACCAACACGATTTAAGGTGTAGAAAAGGGCAACACTGATGTCTGATCTTGTACCATTGAAATCAACGGGCTGGGCTCCATCGCTTAATAAAGCAAAATTTCGCAGACAGAGAAAAATTTTTTGGATCTTTCTTGCAAGAATGCATACATCCTTTCCAAGCAAAACTCATTGGCCTCTCAACTTTAACATTAAAAGGAAAAAGGGCAGGCGAAAACCCATTTCCAATTGAGGCTCTATACCAAGAGCCCTATAGGTACTAGAAAAACCATGAGGATGTTAAACTTTGGTAAAGAACATTATAGCATTTACAAAACTTGAATTCCACATTTTTCTTTCTAGTATTTTTTATTAGAAGCGTTTTGCCAGAATAAATATGAAATTTGATCCAAAGGGAATCAGGAGGATACTATTAGCTAGGTGTAGCATATCTTTTTCCCTTGATGGGGGAAAATTATAAAAAAAAAAAAGTAAGCGATAACAGCATGTAACAAGAAAAACGGGAAGTTGGATGCATTCCCTCTTTATTGTCACACATGCACCGATCACTTTTTCTCCCTGTATGATCAAGGTAAAACAATTATGATTTCTATATCTTGCCTCATTAAAATGGACGATATAATGTGAAATGGGTTTTTTGGGAGAAGCATGTTGGGGTCCAAATTGGAGGTATATATATCAAATATCATTAATTTCTACCCATTCTTTTTAAAATAAAAAGCTTCTGATTTATATGCGCTGTATGTTTTTGTGGGGGCAATGGACTCAATTAGATTATCCTTTTTACGCTCATAAATCTTTGGTAATGATGGAGCTTACCTTTTTCTATTTTATCTACAGTTAGACATGTATTTGCATCCGAGTTTTCTTCACAGCTTATTCTCCTAGAAAAATAAAGAGGTACATTGGGAAGAAAAAGAAATTGTTATCAGAAGAATGAATATATATATATATATATATAACTTTTTCTGTGAATATGGTTTCTGTAATTATGGACAATAATGATCTTAGTGACATAACAGGACAACATGATTTGATATAATGGCTTGGGAGAAATTGGTGGAATCCATTGGTGCGCATGTTTATCTTCTTTTCATATTCAATTGTTTTCACTGTTTCCAAATCAATTTATCTTCGTTAATCTTCATGATTTTCGCAGAAAAGGTGAGCTTTACAGCTCTAAAAAGATGTCAACTCTGCTGCAATTTGAACAAGTAAAATTAGAGTCCCTGTGCTATATATGAGATTCACCCCTCAATTTGGGGACTTCGTATCTTCTGCTTAAAATCTGCTCCCCGTTTATGTCAGAATCATCAGTGGGTGGACGAAGGGATTATTATGAATTAATGATGTTAAATAGTGATGCATAACATGAACATAAATCATGATAATTTTCATTAAGGTTACATTAATTGCCCTACCATTTTGTCCTAAGTCATTTTATCATTGCAATGTTAGGTTTAATTTTGTTATATTATCAATTATAAGTCTTGAAATTTAATTTTTAAATTTATTGAATATTATATTTTGAAGTTGATTAAATAAATAAATTACACAAGTTTAATTTCATTCTCCAGCTTTAAATTATAGTTTAGTACAAATTCCACATGCCAACTATAAATCATAATAGTTGGTATACAAAAAATCGAGCCTATAATCTTTATTTTAGACAATATAGGTGAAAGTGTTACTTTATCCACATATAAAGTTGTCAATAATACTTACACATGCTAACGTTCACAAATATATATTATTAAGTAGATGTTGAAGAAGTGGCCATTGATCAAAGAGTAGAAATTTAGTGAGAATCATATCTATATATCAACAAGAAGTAGTTGTCAATGACAAAAACAAGCATGAGACAACAAATATACCACGAAAATGATTGATTGGAGAGTGATTTGCATGCATGGGGTTATGGTAAATTGTAGTCTAATATTGAACTTGTAAGAGCTTTGGTGGGGACTAAGAGAATAAGTTGGAGGAATACATTAACAACCTTACGCATATTTACATACCCATTTTATAAATAATAAATATATTTCCCATTTTATGAATAATACATATTTTTTTCTGTCCTATTTTATATGTTTATGTTTGATTTTTTTATCAAATAATAATAAAAATTAGATGAATAAACATATATAATAATAATAAAATAAGGGAAGTAGAAAATTTATAAACAATCGGCCAAAACAAACAAAAATCAAGAAAGAGACAAACCCTGGAGACTGGAGAAAGAGTAATAAAGCGAAAAGAAAAGGTAGAGAGGACAGGGACAGGGGAAGCCTTTACGCTTCATTTCATATAGAAAAATACACTCGCTTGTACATTGGCCACAATCTCTCGTTCTCGTGCCAATGTACAAAGGCACATATGATTGCGTGAGGACGACCAAGTCGGAGGGGCCTTGGGTTTTGGTTATGATTATGGGACCCCGTGAAAGGCAACCGAAAGGAGGTGGAACTCGATGAGAGACAGATGGCCTTTATAGCTAAGGCTTGAACTAGCCGAGGATGGAGGGGGGGTGTTTGATGCTCATATATGATATCTCTCGTGACTTAGCGGCGGGTCATCTTCCTAAAGTATCATTTTTCGTACTTCGTGGAAATTAAGAAAAAAATTTTATTTTTATGTATTTAATGTTAAATTTTAAATTTTTATAAAATTAATATTATATAGTTTTATATAAATAAAAAGTAATCTTGAAAATTTAATATGAAAAAGAAAATAATAAAAAATATTAAGTCAAAATTTTTTTTCGTAAGTCATAAGCTCCTATATCCTAATGAAAATATTGAATAAATCTCAAATCTTAATATAATTATCAAAGAGGTTGCTACGTATATATATATATGCTCTCTAAATTAATTTTACAAGAAATAATAACTATTGTAATAATTGCAAAGATTTGTCATTAACATTTTCTGCCGGTCGATAATATCTAAGAGAAATATGTTAAAATAAAAAAAAATTACATATTATTATTCTGCATTTTATTTTGGAGGAATGATTATAAAATACATATATTATATTGCGGAAAATTGATGGGAGATTCCTCTTATTCGTCGGCACACGTGAGAATACAAAATTCAACGACTGCTTTCAATCAGATCATCAGATGGTGATATCATCAAATCAAATAGACTTGGGAGCTAGACTGGCCCTATTGTAACCTCCTCTCGTGGGCCCGAGCCTGTTTCCCTTTGGGCTTTGGAGATTCAAACGTGATTCGCACGCGCTCCCCAATCAGTTTAATCTAATCGCTCGGCATTACAATTGCTGACCTGAACATATCGTCTTTGATACCATATGGGGCACGTAAGCCTACATGATCTGTTACAGATACAGGTGTGCCACTCATCTCCCAATTATTTTTTAGCAGTCTATTAAAAATCACAACATTTTTAATGAATTAATTATGTTAAATGAGAAAATAATTTAATAAATAATAAAATTTTATTTTTTAACCTGTCTTTTAAACATAACACATAATACAAATTATCGTAGTGATTAAAAGAAAGAACCACAGTGGATTATAATGCATGAATTCCTAAAAAAAAAAAAAAAATTAAGGGTGACTTGACTAATTACAAATGAATTAGGTTCTAAAAAAAATATATTGGTATGAAATCAGATTACAGGAGAGTATGTAAGTTACAATTGAGGAAAAGAAAAAATAGAACCCAAGTTGAATGCAAGCATTGGAGTCATAGGTTTACGAGGAACTTAAATTTCAAGTGTTCTTTAATATATATATATATATATACATGTTTTAGAATCCTTTTACAAAAAATTAAGTAAAGATTTTTAAAAGCTAACAAATAAAAGAAAAAAGAAGAGTAATTTATGATAGTCTAGAATATATTCTATGGGGAAAAGCTTATGAAATTCAAAAAATAAAAAGTAGTGATAAAAAAATTACCTAAAAAAATGAAACTAATTTTCCTTGATGATTTTGCATATCTCACAAGCAACAAATCTTTCTTTCTTTTTCTTTTGAGAAATTCTCTCCTCTCTTAGACATTAAGTATTCAATCACTTATAAAACATAAATAAAACAAGAAATAGTGATAATTTTTAGTTTATTAAAAAGAGGCAAGTTTCTCTTTTGAAGAAATGGCTCAGTCGACCAGGGGGGCCCAAGGACAAGGGGCTTTTGCCATGCATTTGAGTGATTCCATTTTTGTGTGTATTCGGAGTCTTTGGAGTTTGGACTCACCCCCGTCATTTTTATGTACCCTTTACTAATTATTATTACAAACCAAGGAAAATAATTGTCCAGTGAAAGAAAAAAAAAAAAAAAAACACATGAAAATACCCAAAGAAACGATGTCATCTTAATTCATGTAGCACTAATTTAGTAATTCTCTCAGACTCAGCCAAAGCTGAACGACCCCGTTTTTGCTTAGACAAAGATAAGCTTGGTCTGGAATCAAAGATTGAGAGTGACCTTTTGATAGGTACGTGTGGATCAATTGGTGAGACAATATCTGAATCCACAAAATAAAGCCAAATGAAAAAACTTGCACAAGAATTGCACTTATTTGGGGGAGTTTAAAATAAAATAAATAAATAAATAAATAAAAAAGAACAAAAAGGCCAAAAAAAAAAAAAAAAGGGTAAGAAAGCGAAAAATGATAAAGGAGATTGAGAAAAACAGGCCTTCACCCGACCCCTCCTCTCCCTCTAGTGAAGGCGTGGTTTGCTTTTGCTTTCTATCGACAGGAATCTTTGAAAATCCAAAGCATTCCCTAAGTAAAGAAATTTTAATAAATCTCAAGGAAAAAAATATATAGTTACTGTAAAAGCAAATTAAAGGGCTTGTAACAAAATTTGATAAAATTATGATTAGCAATTTTGGTTGATAGAATTTTTATAAAATCTACTTAATAGGATAAGCTAAAGCATGTGTAATTGACTTATATATGCAGTTATCACACAAGAGTTTGATTAATTTTTTACATTTTTTATGTATTAAAGAGTGGCTAAAGTTTTAGATCTAAATCCAATTGAGATAATAATATCAACTCCATAATCAAAATTACTACTTTCAAGTTTTGATAATGCTTAAATTAACCTTAAAATACAAATATTGATCTAATTAACAATGTTTAAATAAGCTGATCATGAGAGCCTAAACAAATAAGTTTTTTTTTTTTTTTTTGGAGGAAATAAAAGATTTAAGTCTAGTTAGACAAAGAGAGTTAAATCTCAAAAGACAAAAGTGATTGTTGTTACTTAATTTTTGTTTTGGTCCTTGTGCTATGGTGCTTAAGACAAGACAAGTAGGGCCCAAAACAGTCAATCGACAAGCGGGTGCTCCTAGGAAAAACTAGTTTAACATGTAAGGAAACAAGCAAAGCAAAGATTGACAGAAAGAAAGAGAAAGGAAAGGATCAAAAGGAGCAGTGAAATGTGAAGTGAGTTTGAGTAGTGGATCGTTCTAATTCTATCTACGCCGAGATTTTCCTTTCTTTTCCTATTTGCAAATCCTTGCTTTTCAATTTTCTTCCGTTGCTTCCCATCATTCTCTTTCTCATTCTCATTCTCATTATCCTTCTTTCCTCTCATTTTTTTTTTCTTTCACTCGCGCTTATAATATGAGCATAGTGCTCATTTCATTCTACTACCGGTTATGAATCCCAACGTGGAGCCACCACAACCGCCGCAGCCCCACCGTTCTTCTACTTCCTGTGACCGCCACCCTGAAGAGCATTTTACTGGCTTTTGCCCCTCATGCCTCTGCGAACGTCTCGCTGTTCTCGAGCCTTCTTCTGCTGCTGCTTCTTCTTCTTCGTCTCGGAAACCTCCCATCGCCGCCACTACTTCCACCGCCACCGCCGCACTTAAAGCCATATTCAAGGCTTCCGGAGGAGGTGGTACGCGACCTGCGTTTTTTCCCGAGCTCCGGCGGACAAAGTCCTTTTCGGCCTCGAAAAACGAGGGTTTATCCGGGGCTTTTGAGCCTCAGAGGAAATCTTGTGACGTTAGGGTTCGAAACACGCTTTGGTCACTTTTTTATCAAGACGACGAGAGGAACCCACATAAAAAAGAAGCTGCAGGAAACGGAAGATATTGCGAAATTGTTGAAGTTGAAGCTCGAACTTTGGGTTCTTCTTCAAGTGTTGTTCAAGGTCCTGTTTTTGAAAGCAAAGAAGAATACAAAAATGAGAGTGAAACCGATCACGAAGACGACATTGAGATCATAGAAGAAGAACAACCCAATGTGGCTGTTCCTCATGCGAGTTTAATCGAAGAGAAAGTTGAAGCAATTGTGGAAGAATACGAAAAGGAACTGTATCAAGAAGAGGAGCTGAAGCCCATGAAGGATCATATAGATCTTGATTCGCAAACAAAGAAGGCTTCTGGAAGAGATTTTAAGGAGATTGCTGGGAGTTTCTGGTCAGCTGCTTCAGTTTTCAGCAAGAAATTGCAAAAATGGAGGCAAAATCAGAAGCTTAAGAAGAGGAGAAATGGAGGTGGGTCAGCGAGATTGCCAGTGGAGAAGCCGACTGGGAGACAATACAGAGAAACCCAGTCGGAAATTGCGGATTATGGGTTCGGGAGAAGGTCTTGTGACACGGATCCAAGGTTTTCCCTTGATGCAGGGAGGATGTCATTTGATGCAGTAAGGATGTCGTTTGATGACCCAAGATATTCTTTTGATGAGCCAAGAGCTTCTTGGGATGGGCACTTGACCGGGAGAACATTTCCAAGAATGCCCACAATGGTTTCCGTTGTGGAGGATGCTCCAGTTCATCATGTTATGAGGTCTGATACTCAAATTCCTGTGGAGGATCCGCCGGCTATGAATTCCATTGATGAGGATGAATCTCGTCCTGGAGGGTCAGCTCAAACTAGGGATTATTATTCGGATTCTTCTTCTAGGAGAAGAAAGAGTCTTGATAGGTCCGGTTCTATCAGGAAGACTGCCGCAGCTGTAGTGGGTGAGATCGATGAAATGAAGTCGGTTTCTAATGCAAAGGTTTCTCCTGCAACTGTTGATTACTTCCATGGACCTAAACTTGTTGTGCCGGATAGGGATTCGAACTCGAATTCTTTGAGGGATGATTATTCTGAGGCTTTTGAGATTGGCTTTAGAGACAATGCATCTGTGATTGGGAATGGGGAACGGAAAGGGTCATCTAAGAAATCGCGGAGGTGGAGTATAGCTTGGAATATTTGGGGGTTTATTCACAGGAGTGTTAACAAAGATGAGGATGAAGATAGGTATAGTAGAGCTAATGGTGTGGAGAGGTCGTATTCAGAATCTTGGCCTGAGTTGAGAGGGGAACGGAATGGAGATGTGAGAGGGGGTTTTAATCCAAAGGTTTTGAGGAGCAATAGCAGTGTAAGCTGGAGGAATTCGAGCAGTTTTGGTGGTGCAAGGAAGAAATGCGTTGAGCCAAACGGGCATAGTAAGAAGAGAGATGAGTTTGTGTTGGAGAAGAATAGGAGTGCAAGATATTCACCAAATAACATTGATAATGGACTGTTAAGGTTCTACTTGACACCGATGAGGAGCAGCCGGAGAGTTGGGTCAGGCAAAAGCAAGGCAAGCCATGCACATTCTATTGCGAGAAGTGCACCGAGGTTGTACTGAATTTGAGATTCGTAAGATGTTTCTTTGGTTTAATGTTGTTAATTTTGCTGCATTTGTTTTGTAACCACACGTGCCTATGTATTCTTGCCGGTTGGTTGGATAAAAAAAAAAGCACCCTAAAATTGTTGCAGTTCTTGTGAGCGGCATGCTTCTTCCACTATTCAAATAACAAATTTTTCTTTGTTTCTTGTTTCGAATCACATTTTGTTAAATTTTTTGAGTCTTTCCTTTCTTCTGTTCTCTTTTACCAGAAAAGGTTTGGACAAACAGAATATATGTGCAGATATAATAGAGATGTGATCCCTTAGATCAGTTTGGTTTCTCTTATTTCTTTGTCTCATACAGAGTTGGCTGATAGGTGGTGAAGGCTGAAAATTTTGTACGAGTATGTTACCCGTGACATTTGGCATGTTGTATACTGTTGTGGAAGTGGGCTTATGCGCCTTGAAGTTTCTATTTGTCACGAAGTGATACACAGGATAAGAAATACGGCCAACTTATGCTATATACACAAATTAAACTAACTTGCATGCAAATCTTGTAATAATGAGTTTTATGAGAAGGATTGTAGAAGATTGGCTGTACGGCCTCTCAATATGAAATTGCTCGATCTGGATCTCATGATTGCTTTCCATCATCCTACTGCGAATAGATGTGGATGTAATGGCTTTTGAAATATATTTAGCTTCTGTTATGCTCGCATTTCACAGTGGTAAAACCTTTGCTTTTAAATGTTTTTTGGAGTTTGGGGCTTCTGCTAGTGCATACTTAGCAGCCAGCTTCAAATGGCCAGTTTCTTTGAAACTGCAAGTTTGGTTCTCTGTATTTATAAAATCAATGATGGAGCTGGACTAGTTACCCAATCTATCAGTCCATACAAGTTAATCTCATTCATGCCATATTCAGCAAAAAAAGAAAAAAAAATCTCGTCCTCATCCTCAGTAGATTTTCCAACAATGGTTCACTTTCTCTACTTTGTTGCCGCTCATGTTAAAGCTCACAGCCTGGCCGAGTATCCTGCTGGAAGTAATCAGGTGATCATATTTTCCACAAGCCGCAAGAATTTCAAGCTTAATCAGTTCAAGGAAGCAACCGTTACAAATGCAAAGATCTGTGATAACTAACACGAAAAAACAGCAAACAGTGCACTGTCATTTTTTTTCCTACTTTTAAATGCTATGACACAAAAGTGTAAATGTTAGGCATAGTGCCAACATGGTTAAACTCTAGTATTAATTGTCGTTTAGAAAAATTTAGTGCATGAAGTATCCAATAAATGTTCAAGCCCCCATTTTCGCATTGGCAGAAGCATAAATGAAACAAAGCAATGATTATTTCCCCATTAACAAGGTTAATCTTTCCCTTTTACAGGGATACCAAAAAGGAATCAAACCGAACACCAATTTCAGTCAAAGAGTTAGAGATGATCATGCTTTCTTCTTTTCTCTAAATATGTAAAAGTTCCATCATCAACAAGTTTTTGCCTCTAAAGTCAAAAGGTGACTAGGAACACATCCCAGCATGTTCCTCCATAGAAGAGTAAAGAAAGGAAAGAAAAAGAGTTAAAGAAGCTCAAAACCCAATGGCTTGTCTAAGAAACTCGCAACTGAGCCAAAATAAGAAGTGGGTTGCAATAATTTGTTTCAGATAATTGGGAACTTATACGTCAACGTTTGTACACTTATGGCTGAAACTCCACGATTGATTGTGGCCTTCTTTATAGACCGAGACATGGACATTTTTCCCGTTTGTATGGCTCTCCAATACAGTGAGGAATTTGGTACCATTTGTTTTTACCAGGGACAGAGGAAGTTTATCTGAAAGAGATGAAAATCTTCCAACAAGATATTGTTGTCCGGACAAAACATCAGAGTTTTCATGGTATTTCGTCTCAATTTGGTTTTGCAAGGGCCATTGTTAAAATATTTTAATAAATGGATTTGAAATTTTTAGAATTGGGATGTGTTTGGGTCTAGAGTTAGTTGGACTTTTGTTCATCTCAATTTGGGCTCAGTCTTTGGCCCAAAATTACCCACATTTGACAGTCTCTAGTCCATACGTGGGCTCCTCATCTTCTCCATGACCGTGTTCCCCAAAAGCCTCTCACCGATGCGAGTTCTCAAGGCAGAAATCAGAGAAAAATCCCACTCTGCACTTGCTTTCTTCTACTCAGCAACTCGTCATCCAGGTGACACCCACTCACCCGACGTTTTCCACCACATCCTTCGACGACTGGTCGACTCCCAACTTGTTTCTCACGTGACTAAGGTCGTTCAACTCATCGAAACTCGGACACGTAACTGCCCAGAAGTCGTGGCTTTAACGATAATCAAAGTCTGCCAAAAACTCAATGCCTGATAAAGCATTATATTCCTTCCAACGAATGAAGCAAATTTTTGGTTGTGAACGTGGGATTTGATCTTACAACACTTTACTGAACGCTTTTGGCGAGTCGACTCGTTGTGAACAAACTGGGTCGTTTTTTAAGACTTTGAAACAGTGGGCATAAAGCCGAATTTGCAATCTTATAATGTTTTGATTAAGGTTGCGTATAAAAGGAAGCATTTTAAGCAAGCAAAACGTTTATTGGATTGGATTTGGAAACGGTTTTCATCCAAAAGTTCAAAGCTATGGGACTTTGATTAATGGCCCCGTCAAAGGCGGGAACTTGGTCGTTGCTTTGGAATTGTTCGACCAAATGTTTAACAGAAAAGTGACCCCTGATGTTATGTGTTATAATATACACTAATTGATGGGTTTTTCAGAAAAAAGAAAAAGGAGATTATGTGAAGGCATAAGAGGTTTTGGTGAGGTTGTTGGAAGATTCTTTATGTCATGGACTTAAGTACGAGTTTTTGATCTCACATAAAATATAAAAGTAAGTTTATTTGGGTATATAAGGGTTTACATCGTTTTTATTTTGTAAAACGTTTTTTGTAAGATAAAATCGTGAGGTTAGAAGAGTTAGAGCGAATAATACCTCATAAGAGTGTGAACTATGATAGATAGGTTGATCTAAGAAACTGGATAGTATATACTCGGATCCTAAAGTCGCGGATCCTGGAGTCGCACGGGTCGAAGTTTAAGACTCGACCCGTGACAAGTGGTATTAGAGCCAGTCCTAAACCATTTGATTCACGTTAAGTGTCTCGAGAGAGATAGATAGGGTGACTAGCCTCCATGACGAGGGTGTCACGAGGTTGGATAGAAGAGAATATCACATACCTAAAGAGGAGTCATGAGTTAGAGCGAATAATACCTCATAAGAGTGTGAACTATGATAGATAGGTTGATCTAAGAAACTGGATAGTATATACTCGGATCCTGAAGTCGCGGATCCTGGAGTCGCACGGGTCGAAGTTTAAGACTCGACCCGTGACAAGTGGTATTAGAGCCAGTCCTAAACCATTTGATTCACGTTAAGTGTCTCGAGGGAGATAGATAGGGTGACTAGCCTCCATGACGAGGGTGTCACGAGGTTGGGTAGAAGAGAATATCACAGACCTAAAGAGGAGTCATGAATCTCATATCGAATATAAAAGTAAGATCAATGGGGTATATCAGAGTTCACATCATCTCTTTTTTGTGAGGCGCTTTTTGTAAGATAAAATCGTGAGTCCAAGAAAGCTAAAGCGGATAACATCTCACAAGGGTGTGAACCGTGACACGTAGGTTGATTTGGGACGTTGGATGAATGGATGTCTGGATTAAGGTGTGAACTGTGACAGGTTGATTGATTTGAGACATAGGATGAGTGGATGTACGGATCCTGGAGTTACGTTTGTTGAAGCTTAAGTCTCGACCCGTGACACTTAGACTTATTGAAATCGGCTACCTATAATGTTATGATTAATGGTTTGTGTAAATGTGGCAAGTTTGAGTGTTTGAGGATACGGGAGAGGTTGAAGAAGAATGTAAGAGAGAAGGCTTTGTTTACTTATAGTAAGTATGATACAGGGATTGGGTGAGGCAGGGAATGTTGATGGTGCTGAGACAGTTTATAAAGAGATGGTTGAACGTGGGGCAATGGTTGATGTTATTACTTTAAGAGATCCTGATTTCTTTACAAGTTCTGGGATCTAGAGCTGGTATATTTGTCATTTGAAGGAGTTACTAGAAGTGCATGACAGGATCGTTTATGCCAGGAAAATTCTTTCAAAGTATGGATGCATGACCATCTAAAGGCTAAAAGTCAAATTCCTATAAATGGCTTTTGTTCTTCCTCTCTTGTTTATCCTTCGTTGCCCTCCCCAACTGTTAACCAATTATCTTTTAACATGTCAATTCTTGCAGGCTAGATTTATATTCTTTAGAGATAGATATCTTGACGTAAAACCACACTCACCTATTTGACCAAAGCTTAGTCTTCCCCATTGGATATTCAAATCTGTTGTTTTTCCAGTACAATGAGTGAGAAAAAAAAAATAATAAAGCATAAGATTTGGAACCTCACATTGGTTTTGGTGATTGCAGCTATATCACTAAGATCAGATGTTGATGATGCAAAAGAAAAGTTGCCCGATGTATCAAACCCAAGCATTAAGTTATTACTTGTGGGTCATGCCATATATGCGTAATTAATTATGGATAACAGCTTTACAGCAGAAGTTTGTTAGATTACACGTAAGAAGAGCCTTTACTTATTGTTTTCATCTTTCTTTTCTGTTTTTTCTGCTTCTGATAACAATGTCTGTTCATAGATGAACTGAGGAAATAAAGCAACTAAAATAGCTCCAAGAACTGCAACTTTTCTCCAATCAGATGAAGAGATGAAAGAGTCTGCAATTTCAAAGACTAGCACTGCAATTAGAGCAAGGTAAATGTTCCTCCTTGTTTTTGACCCAACCTCTTCTTTGGTAATCTCTTTAATCTTCTCCACTTCTTCCTTTGCTTTTGCCTTGTTTATAGGCTTTCTCTCTGTCAGGTTCTTAAAGAACAACCCTTCATTCCTATCTTTCTCAATTTGGCCTTCGAACCGCGCTAACTGGTTTTCATTCTTCTCAATCTCCTCTCTGTTCAATTCTTGGGATTCTTCAAAGGCTTGCATTTGGCTCTCAATGTTCTTCATTATCTGCTTATAAGAAATGAATAAGAAGAGGGTTATCAGCAAAGTTGCATATCAACCAAGTCTCTCTACTCTCTCTCTACTTAACATAGACAATTAAGAGCGCTTATACAGACTCCCTACCCTTTCACTGGCTTCTTCAAGTCCTTTCAGAGCGTCTTCTCCAACTTTATCAAACTCAGCATTGGCTTCTTCAGCAAATTGGGTGAGATAAGCAGCTCTTTCATCCAAGTAGTCAGTGAGACGAACTTTTTGAGCCTGTAGCATTGCTATTTGTGCAAGCAGCTCTTGCTTACGAGTGTCTCCTTCGGGTGATGAGGATTCGGGATCAGAATCAGACTCGGAATCGTTGGACTTACTGAGACGCAGGATGGAATTCTTTGTGCATGCGAATCTTCTTGCATGGAAAAGGGCATGCTTACTGGGGGTAAAGGAGGCTTGAATGGCTTTGAGGGCAATCATCTCTTCCCTCTTTTCTCAGTGGCAGAAGGAAAGACGAGATGCTTAATTTCTATCTTCCATCTATTCACATTTGGAAGATTTTCTAGCCTCCCGTTTTGTGTACGTTATCCACTTTTGGCTGTAATATAATAGAGAGAGCATTATAAAATTACCATTTTCTCTCCTTGAAGGGATAATCACTTCTTCAAATTTATGAAAACGATTTAAAAAAAAAAAAACAATATTGGGTAAGGGCATGTTTCCTTGTTCGAAGGTCAGGGCAAATCGCAAATTTAAAACAAATTACATTGAAATAGCTCATGAAAGAAGATTGTTGACAATTAAATTTAAATTTAAATTTTATAAATGAAGTATTTAAATTTTATTAACTTAATTAATTTTCATTATATGCTCTCAGCACTGAGACTCTTTATTATAGAAATGCACTTTTATATTCCTTTCAAAATTTTTTAGTATAAAATACGAATGGGCAAGCTATAGTCAAAATTCTCCGATGACGCCATTTTCTTTCTGGAGTTGAACTGTATGGCCTTCAGGGTTTAGCTATATTTAGCTGTTAGAACCACCATGCGTTGGCAATTGATATATAGGCATGGGAGCCAATTGGGTTTTGCTTCGGTCAGCCTCAAGACCATTAACCGGATCCTGTAGGATTGAAAATTTGATAGGTAAAATTTATCAACACATAAATGTTTTCAAAAATAGCAAGTATAGGTGTTTCCGCAACCAAAAGAAAAAAGAAAGTGTTATTCATGTGGATATATATTTCTTTTGCCAGCCCCAAGACTAAAAACCATTTTGATAAAACAAAAGTTGTCTATGATTAGAATTAGAAATCAGAAATTTGATGCTTTGAAGCTGGAAATGTTAAAACTGGAAAAGCAACCTTTCGGAGCCATTTTCAAGTGAGAAACTCTTCCAAGGCATGGTCAGAAATTTTATGCTTTGAAGCTTGAAATGTTAAAACTGGAAAAGCAACCTTTTGGAGTCAGTTTCAAGTGAGAAACTCTTCTAAGGCATGGCTTGAAATTGGAGCAAGAGAACAAATGATAGCAGATCCAGCTGCAGACAAAGTCATTAGACAGAAAATACCTTAAAAAATAAGGACAATGACTGCGATCTATTTGCACCAATAGAAAATAGCTGTCCAATACCAGATTGAGAATTATGTATGTAGCAACATACGCAATAACTTTAGTTCTCATAAAAAAAAAAAAAAGTAACCTAAGAAAATTCGAGAAATAGTAGTAAATTGAAACCTACAAATCGGGTGGACTTGTTTCAATGGAGGCAACTTGGAGTCTTAGGAATTACTATGTCTAGTTACTTTTTTGTATGTATACCACTTCGCAATCCAGAGATACACCAAGAAGTTGACCAGACTGAGGATAGCCAAGAGCCAATAGAAATAGTCAAGATGACCCCTGTTCAGGTTATCCGGAATCCATCCGGGCTTCCCGTTTCTTGTGGTCACATTAGACACAATGGTAACAAGCAGAGTGCTCAAATAGTTGCCTAGTGCAACCGTTGTTAGCGAGAGAGCTGAGCACAAGCTTCTCATAGCATCGGGTGCTTGGTCATAGAAAAACTCCAATTGCCCAATGAATGTGAAAACTTCTGCACATCCGACTATGAAGTATTGTGGGACTTGCCAGAAAATCGACATGGGAATATACTCAAGATCATAGTAGTTGTTTTTCCTAACAATGTTGAGCCGGACCACCTCCAAGATACCTGCAGTGACCATTGCAAAAATAGAAATGACAAGGCCAATGCCCATTCGTTGGAGCTGGGTGAAACCTCGCTCCTTGCCTGTGAATTTCCTTGCACATGGGACAATGATTATGTCATATACAGGAGCCCAAAAGATAACGCTCAGAGTGTCGAAGAGGGAAAGGGATGCCGAAGGGATCTTGAAGTGTGGCCCCATGTGTTGGTCCATTGTGTTGCCTTGTAAAACAAACATAGTGTTCATTTGACTGTAAACCGTAGCAAAAACAATTCCAGATGCCCATACCGGAAGCAATCTGATAATGGATTTGAGCTCCTCAACTTGAGTTACCGTGCACAGTCTCCATGGATTTAGTGATCCCTTAACATAGTCATTTTCAGTCTCTACAGCAGCTTTGTCAAAGAACCTGTTACTCAAAAAACAAATAACTAGATTAACAATCAAATTTGACACTAAAAGATGAAACGAAACCAATTAAAAAGCAAGGTTGTGTATGTAAACAAAGAATAAGCGGGGGTGAGGATATTGCTCATAAAAGAGAACATGTTCAAGACCGAAATTTCAGATATACGTGTCGATTGTCCAACTTTAACAACGTACCTTAACTTATCTGTGTGCTCTAGCTTTCGGCTTCCTTGAATATTGCATTCCTCGTCAGTAGTCTCATAAAGAAGAGACTTATCTGTAGGAACTTTCGCGTTGAGTTTTCTGAAGGATGAAACTATAACCTGAAAAATCCTTGTTAATGGACTCCCCCCAGGTTTTTGAAGACGATATAGTTGACTACCAGAAAAGAAGAATACAACTGCAATGGCCATTGCAGCTGCTGGGATTCCAAAACCCCAGCCCCAGCCCACATTCATTTGTATCCATACTAGAACAGAGGAAGCAATAAGTGCTCCAATATTGATTGAGAAGTAAAACCAGTTAAAGAAAGAACTTTTCTTTTTCCTCTCAGTATCATCAGTTTCATCGAATTGGTCAGCACCAAAGGATGAGACACATGGCTTAATTCCACCAGTACCAAGAGCAATCATGTATAGAGCTAAAAAGAAGACTGCAGATTGTCCGACCGTTGGGTGGCAATCATCCCCATTGCATGATGGCTTTAGTCCAGTGACAGAAGCAGACAATGTTAAGAGTGCCATACCCTTCAAGAAAAGCAAATAATCATCAGTCGAGAAATTGAGTAGAGTTGTTTTTACTTGACAGAACTAAACATTTTGAAGCAAAACTTACAAAGACATAGATGATTGAGAAACAAGCAATTGTCCAGTATCTACCCAAATATGCATCAGCTAGAAAGGCTCCAATCAACGGGGTAATGTAGCAGGTTCCAGACCAATTCGTAACATTGTTTGATGCAGTGACATTTCCCTGATTGAGACGCTTTTGGAGATAGTTGACCAGATTGGTCCCCATCCCATAGTATGCCAACCGTTCACAGCATTCATTTCCTGATGAAATTTGAGAGTTTCAACATATGCAAAGCAAATTAGAAACCATTTAAGATAAGAGGCAAAGGAAAAAAAAAAAGAAGACATAATACTAATACATATATTCAAACAAGGATAAAACCAGAAAAAGCTTAAAATCATACCAAGAATGAAACGGCAGGCTTTCCAATTCCCGGTGTTGTTCTTGTTGGCAGGATTCTTATGGATATCCACTGTCCCATCTTTCGTATAGATATCATCAGCTCCCATCTTATCTTTGGAGCAAACCTTTCTACCCCTTGAAAGTTTACAATCAATTGGCTTTTAAAAAAGAATATGAACAAAGTAAGCAGGTATATGATCTTGAAGTTAATGAAATAATCACTAAGCCAATTGAGCCAAGCAGAGTCATTACAGCAAGTATCTTGATAAATGAAAGACATGATCTGGAATTTTAAAACAGCAATTTGTATTGAAGTAATTATACAGTTTCCAAATATTCAATCTTGATAATAATACTTAATGCCTGCATCATTGACCTTTACCATAAAATATTGGAGCACTTGGGTTCTGTAAAACGAAACTAATTTCCATCTAATCTCATAAATCTGGTCATACCCATGTTACTTTACTCGTTAACTTATTGTAACCTAGGCAGCCAGGGCACACTTCAAATAAGAAAATAAATAAAATCAACAGAATGGCAATCTCTTCAACTCTTCAAAACCCCTTCAAATCCGCAAAACATCAACACATAAAAAAATGGTACTATTTCAAGTTAACTCAAAACCAACTGAATGCTAAAAGGGGAACAGATTGGTATAATTCTTTCTTTTAATATTGTATAAATAAACAGATTAATATGATTTTGTCCGTTTAATACTGTGTAGTAATATAATAACAATTGGCACATGCCACAGGGAATTCCAAAATGAAAAACAAAAAAAAAAAAAAAGTGAAGGACAAAAATAAAATGGCCCATAAATTACTGGCAAGAGAATCCAAAAATTCGTACTACATGATTTGAAATTCACATGAACAAACTAGAGAGTAGTCAAGACTAAGCTTGACATCATTACACCGTTGCCTAGCGAGATGATAAACATAAAAACTAAAACTGATAATATTTCCTCAAGGTTTCGAGTCAAGCTAAAGAAAGTCTACAAGAATTAAGTTATGAGTTTAAGCACAGACATTAAGAAAGAAACAAAGATATTATACAAAGTAACCGAAGCCATAACAAATCTGAGTGTTGTTAAATTGTTATATATCTCAGATCCATGAAGAGTTCATTGAAATGTTAAAAAATGACGAGGAAATATTTGAAAAAAAAAAAAGCCATAATCTGCATGACTTTCCATGTATGCAAAAGCAGAAAACACCAGGAAACAAGGCAGATTTCGAGAGAAACAACCCCCCCCCCCACCGAAAAAGAAAAACAACAAACATGAGAGTATAAGAATGGGATGAAGAGATGAGAGTTGAGCCATTCACACCTTTGAAAGAGAAGCGTCGAAAAGCAGGGAAGAGAGCGAAGTAGTGAAAAATGAGAGAACCAAGGGCAGGGAAGGAAGCCTACTTCCAACTCGTGCACACAGCGAAAAGGTTCAAAATTCAAGTCAGAGACGATTTTGTCATTCTTTTTCAGTGTTTTTTTTTTTTAGACCTCTGCGATCGTTTTATAAGACGCAAACAGCGTAAATTTCAATTATTTGCTTTCTAGTCCCTAACTGTTTGGAATTTGCAAATGGGAAGGATTTGGAGTCATTATTACTTATTTGCCCTAAACTTTGTATTACTAATAGTTCATGTTACGTTTTTCACTATGAAACGATTGACGATCAATAAATAGGTTGTCAAATTGCATTGAAAGTCAAATTCAGCTATATTGAAAAATTAATAATTTTATTTCGAAGGAAAAGAATTTCAAATATTGTGTAAATGTGAATAAAAATTAATAGAGGCTAAACACATAATATTGCCGATTTCCCTTTCAAATGGTGTGTAAATGTTAAAATCATAAATACTGATTAACTGGCTGGCATTCAATGTAAATGCCTCCTACAGATGGATTCCAGGCCTTCATATATGGCATTGTCTCTAAATGGAAAACTTTCCTTTTTCAGTCTCCCAAAATCTTGACATGTATGATATTTTCTAATAAAAGAAAATTTGCAATTATATAAGATAAGGTTTTGGTAAAGACTCCGATGACAGCATAATGTTTTGATCTTTACGGGATCCTTTTTTGTTTTTGGAAATACTTTTTTTAATTACTAAATGAAATTTGTGTTTAATGAATCATTGAATTAGAGTTAAGAACGTCTCCTGGCATTTAGCTGTCAATCAAAATCAATTTTGTTTCCTTTAACTGATTGGAGTTGATATCTTTGGTAACAGAAGTGAAAGGTCCAGTTCATATTCATCCAATGTGTGTATTAATTTTTTTTTTCTAAAATAGAATTTATATTCACACATGAAAAACGAGTTTCATAAAAATCGCATAATAAACACAATTATCAAACGTAAGTGTTGTTTTTCGTCTATCTAAAAAAATAAGTCTATGGTTTGTATATATGAACTCTGAAAGAGCAGAGAAGCAATGCTTGCTTCATAGTAAGAATATGCTTTTAGCTTAGACGGCTATTGATGTCGACTATGAAAGATCGTTGGATAGTATTGAAGCCATATTTAACATTTTAGTGGGATTGCTTTATCTAACTCACTTATGTTGCTATTATTCTCCTATGAATGATTGACGAATGAATTTGTTATTATAAAGTTAGAGAAAACAAAGGGGACCCCAAGCTTGGATTTGCAGGCTGTTCACATTGTCATGCGCGTGACTTTTTTCAGATCCAAAGTTGGTCAGGCCGGTGTAGTAGTAATGATCCATTGCTTGACGCCATTTCTTTTTATACAGTCGCCTTTTTTGATACCCATAGTTGGCCTGATTTCGGGAAGGATTTGTGCTCTATATATCATCAACAGCTTTGACTTCTATTATAAATACCAAAGCTTGACGCGGTAATGCTTACATCTACTCCACGCAATCAAAGATAAAACTCTGATAAAGTCAATTCATTCTACAATCGAAGATTCATCATCGGGAGGGCTTTTTTATTTTCCTGATATAATCTAAAAGCGGATGAAATAACCAATTATCCCTTCCATTAATTAATATATTATTAAAATTGATACTTAAAAATTATAAATTTAAAAGATTTTAAACAAGTAATATTTTTTTTAATAAAGTAAGTAATTGTATAAAATTTTTAAAAGTAGGTTAAAACTTTTTTAAAAAATAAGTGGACGAGAATAAGCAAACGTGTTCTATACAGTTTTTTTTCAAAAGCAAATATTGAATTCAAATACTATATTCTATGAAATTTTGATGGAGCAGTTTGTTTTCGTATTGCATTATTAGAGAAAACAATGGTCAGTAAGAAAGAGGTTGTGAGGTTGTAAAAAGGCATATAATTTTATTTTCTGGAAAAAGAATTTCTAATAGTGGGTATATGCAAATAAAATAAAAGGATTAAATTATTAGGTTAAAAGTTTCAATCTAATCATATTAACGAAAGTAAAATCAAATAATTAATCAATTATATAAAAGATAATAATTTAACATGATTTGATTTAATCAATTTATATCCACAGAGGAGAAATAAGATCCATTAATTATAAAGAATTATAAACAAATATCAAATCAAATCAAACACTCATAACTAATACCTATAGATCATTTTAATTTTTTTTAATCTTATTGAGTATTTTCAACCTAAATAAATACATCTTTTCAACACAAACAAACACATACTCATATGTATCCATTTATTATTATACCTATTGGACCCTCTCAATCTCTTCTAATCTATTCTCATGTACCATAAAAACATATATATTTATAATACATAAATCTTCAGTAGTCTTATGGAATGTCTATCCCGTAAAATCTTATAACTCTCTTTTATCTTTTTATCATACCTAACCCTGTAAAGACTTCACCTATTTATAAGCATACAAACTTGATTATTCAGAATCTCTTTCCTCTTAGAATTCTTCTTTTATAAATCAAACTTGCCTTTTAAGAATCTCTTTTCTTTTAGAATTTTTTTTCTACAAGTCTTATTGTTCATCAAGTAATATCTAATAAATCTTAAATAAATCTCTTATAGGATTTAAATTATTATTTCCAACAATCTCCACATTGACTCAAATTTCATCAAATCATTTATTTTCATGCTAGACATACTTAGTTCTACATGTAATGGAAGTCTCATAATTATTTATTTTTTTTTTTGTCTTCAGCCTTCATGCAAATCAATCTTTACAACATGAACTTGAACTTCTTCCTTGAATCGAGTTCTTCTGGACTTGCCTCTTTTCATGGCTCGAACCTTTAACTCTTTTCACGTCTTGAACCTTCAGTTCTGATACTACTTATTAGGGATCAGCACAGCCCTAATCCAATTACACTAGTAAAAACGAAATCGAACAATTAATCAATCACATAAAAAATAATAATTCAACGTGGTTCGGTCCAACGACCTACGTCCATAGATGAGAAACAAAATCCATTAGTTGTAGAGAATTACAAACAAATATCAAAGCAAATCAAACACTCATAACTAACACTCATAGACCCTCTCAATCTGTTCGAGTCCTATGGAGTATTCTCAACCTAAACAAATAAATCTCATGTGCACATTTTTAACACAAATAAATACATATCTATATGTACCTATTCATATCCATATGTACCTATTCATCGTTATACCTATGTGGACCCTATCAATTTCTTCTAATCCTCAAGTAGTGTTATGGTGTTTATCTCATAAAACCTTACAACTTTCTTATATCTTTTTCTCATATCTAATCCTATAAAAATTTTATCTATTTATAAACATACAAATTTATTTATTAAAAATCTTTTTCCTTTTAGAATTGTTCTTTTTTAAGTTAAATTTACCTTTTAAAAATTATTTTTCTTTTAAAATTTTTTTTTGTAAATTTTCTTATTCATTAAATAATATCTAATAAATTTTTTATGAGATTTGAGTTTGTATTTCCCACATAAATTGCTAATGTGGCCAAAATCACGGGGGGCTAATGTCAGAATATCATAAATACCAATTAGGTGGAATTTCTGGAGCCTGAATCTTCCGATCTTGGTGGACCTTTGTATCTGGACATTTTGGTATGACAAGGCCAAAATGAAGCCATTTTTATATATGGCCAGTGAACTTTCTTGCGAATGGAACAACGAGACAGTCATAAACTGGAATCCAGAAAGTTGACACTAATTTTGTCAAAGAGGGAGATTGAAGTTGAAGAAGCTTAAACGATCCTTACATGTGAGTGTCCATCATGTTGTCTTGCAGGACAAATAAAGTGCCCATTTGACTGTATACGGCGTAAAATATTATACCTGTGGCCCATATATGAGTATTCTTAAGATAGGCTTAAGCTCTTCAACTTGGGTTACTGTGCACAGTCACCATGGATTTATGGATTCTTTGATTCGATCAGAAGAAGTCTCCCAGCTTCCTTGTTAAAGAAACTAAGCAAGATGGATAACAGTGGATGAGGGGACTCCCTCCCGGTCTCTGGTTTCTGTACAGCCTTGTACTCGAAAAGAAACTTGCAACAGCAATAGCCATAGCCTCAGCTGGAATGCCAAACCCCTCAAGCACATCCTACATTGGTTAGTAGCCAGACACGGACGGAGGCAGCGACAAGGGCAACGATATTAATTGAAAAAAAAGAACCAATTGAAGAAAGAGCTCTTCTTTGCTTTTCTGCATCATTGGAGTCATCGAACTGATCTGCACCAGAGGATGGAAGACAAGGTTTAATCCCTCCAGTACCCAAGACTCTCAAGTATAGTCCTAGAAAGAACACGGCAGTTAGCAATCCTTTTGGATGACAAACGTTGTTTTTATCACTGGCTAGTTTTAGACCATGAATAGATGATGAAATTGTTAATATTGTCATGTCCTGCAACGAATTACACAACATTAATTTGGTCTTACAATCCCACTATAACAGACAAGAACAATGATTATGAAAAATAGCCGAATCTCAAAAGCACAAATATGTAATCAGATGAACTTACAAAAACATAGATGATGGAGAAACTAGCAATTGTTCATTATCTTCCCAAATAGGCATCGGCTAGAAATGCTCCAATTAGCCGCATGACATAGCATGTTCCTGACCTGTTCTTAACATTAATAACAGCTCAAAATGACATAGCCATTGTTTGTGACTCTGACTTCTTTCCTGCTTTGCAGCCAATTATCCAGAAATGATTAACAAAACATAAATGGATGATCATTTTAGTTATAAAAGATTTTAGTCTCCTTAAGAAAGTGCAGCTTGAAAATAGTTATAGGAGTCAGTAAAAAATTCATTCAAGTAGCACAGACATACCAAAGTGGTCAGAAACTAGTCTCACTGGCTCAGACAGAACAGATACATGGATCAGAGTAACTAGTAAATCAATGGAACGAACTATATAGTTTTGAAGCTCTATATCGTCTGCCCCCAAAGGCCTTGCATCTTCTTTTTCCTCGTTGATTGAAGGCAAACTGTTTTTACTGTATTACTTGATGCTTTAAAACTAAGTAGCATTACTTGAAAAATGGAAAAGGAAAAGAAAAATTATTGTACTTCTGAGATGAACCAACTAAATTGTGATCTACTGGACTATTATCATATTCACAATCAATTTTTTACATTAGTTGTTTATATGCCTTTGATTTTCAAATGACAACTCAACAAGTTAAAAGTTTTAAATTCAAATATCAAGAAATGGGTAAAATTTAATCAAATTATTATGTAATTCATGACCCAAATAAGCTTTTATGAACAAAAAACAAAATTATACATGCATTTATTGTCATGATCTGAAAATCAAGGTGCGTTGATTTTTGTTTTGTTTCAAATTTAACATTTCTTTCCATTTTTTTTCCCTAAATTAAAGTTTGTGGAATTTTGCCCATAGAAAATAGTGGGTTGGCTTTTGGTTCAGTTCCATTAGAACGGTCCAAAACATACCCATTAAAAGCCCCGATAAACATGGCTATGATAATGATTATTCCGAGCTTTTCTTGATCCAAAACTTGAAAGTCCTCATTGCAATAATTATCTCACCAAGCACCTCCACCTGTAAGTTGTATACTACGAATGAATGAAATTTGATTCAACAAAATAATAGGATTAAATCTTAAATCAATCGATCATTGGTGTCTGAAAACGACAAAGTGAACTCCAAGGGTACTTCTCAAGGTACACTCACCGGACAGCTCCTCTCCACCTGCACTTGATATTGAAAATGACAAAAAAATGATAAAAACAAATAATGTTACGAATGTCACTTTTTCTTTTGTGTGCAAGCCACAGCCAACATAGTCACGTAAAACAGTTGATGTTCGATTCAATTTCTTACATTACATCCTTAGCTAAGCTTTATCCGTTCAAAATAATGTGGTTTCAAGAATGAACATCCCTAAAATCTATCCTCATCAAGCTCAATCGATCAAGCTATGAAAGTGAAAAAAAAAAAAATCTTAACTTCTGGCCAGAGGAAAGACTTTGAGCCAAACAGGGGAACAGGGTTTATTGATACTTGTTTAGTTTCAACTTTGGGAGAGATATTTGGCATGATTAAATATTTTGATCACGTGGATTCAACCTTCGAGTAGGCGTGATTTGGACTCATTTCCAAACGAGTCCTTTCACAATTTGGTAGCAAACCTATGACTTTAATAACTAGTTGCCTTCAAATCAGTAACATCACCTTTTTTAACAACTATTACCCAATTGGCTTAGGAAAGGATAAAATGGGGGGGAAGAAGTTTGTTATTTGCTCTCGGTTGCTTTAATCTTGGCTTTCAAACAAGCCATTTTACTCAGTTGGGTTGCCATCTGATGGAGAACATGAAAGGCATTTCTCAACCTTTGATTATCTTGGTCGATAAGATAGCAGCCGATTGCCATTTCCACAGCTAGCCACCACGTATGCTCCTTGGCCTACGGGCTTCACCTACTTTTATCTATACAACATGTAAGCAATTTTATTGCTATAAATTTCGTCTAATGTTACTAACTATTGACATGTTGTTTGAAAAACCAAATCATCAATTGATCAAAGTGTGTCCAAGTTTTGTTTGGATTTAATTTTATTTTTCGATGATCTTTATGAATATATTCTCATATCAATAAGATTGATTTAGAAAATTATTGTGTTTACTTTAATGCAAATAATTTTGCCATATATTTACGCTATATTTAAATAAACATTAATAAAAGAAAAAAAAATAAGTAAAATAAAGGAAGAGAAAATTTTTTAAAGGAAAGTAAAGGATACATGTACCATTTATTTAAATAGTTAAAATTAATAAAAGAAAATAAAGTAAAAGAATCTTAACAATTATTATTTGGTTAAATATTGGAAAGAGAAGGAAATTATTTATTATATTTTTTTTTCATTATAATCTTTGATAATCTTTATTTTTACTATAATATTTACATGTGTATGTTAATGTATTCCGTATTTTCAATTTTCTTTTATTTTTTCATAAAAATAGTCATTAATGAAATTTATGAAATTCATAAAAAAAAAACTGAAGATAATAAATTTATTGGTAAATAATATATTGTATTCTCAATATAATTTTAGAGTTGAAAATCATACACTTTTAATTTTAAAAAATTAACAAAGATATAATAACCATTTTATATTTTGAAAATTTTATTCTTTTCCTTTTCCCCCAATTTGGGGTAATTAAAAAAAAAATTGAGGGAAACAAGAAGAGCTAAATATACCTTCCTTTCTTTTATTTTTAATTATGTTATATACAAACAAAAGAAAGAATTCCCTATTTCTTTAATTCCCTATTTCTTTTTGTTTCTTTTAAATTCTTTTTTTTTCTCTCTCCTTATCAAAATCCAAACATGCTGTTAAAGTTATTCAAAGCATCACATATGGATTAAAGGCCTTAATTCTTGGGTGCAACCAAATATCTGTCCAGGCTTGTAAAATTGCTCTCAGCTTCTGTTAAAAGGATGAATTAATGGAAAGATGAAATGCCACAATCACTAGCGTCGATTTTGATGGTGATTTGAACGCAACCCCAAACCTAACATTGATTCTAGTGGCGGCTTAATCTTGCTCTAAAGCCTCTGAGGAACATGTAACAACCACACCTCTTTGTTAATTTTTTTTCTTAATGATATTAGTAGATACGAGAAAACAGGGGCTTTCGCGGCTGTTATCTGTCCCACAACGGCTTGAAATGGTCATGTGTCTTTCGAGTTTCGGCCACCTTCTTTTCCCGTTTTAGGAAAATACCGGTAGAAAAAACTAATCATAAAGTGTTACCTATGGAGCTCCACCATAATCAATTATTAGGTTAAAGAAAAAATTTCTTCGTGAAGTTGTAATAAATTATAGTTCACATATAAAAAGAATAATGTTGATAAAGTAATCATTTATACAACTTCAATAAAAGAAATTCAATTTTTTTTTTTTTTATTTATGATTTGATCAAATCTGTTTAGTTCTTTCACATTTCAATCTTTCTGTGTTAAATGATTTAAGTAAAAAGTAGCTAAGTGGGACAAATTACTAGACAATGTCTTGGAGATCAATAGCTAAAATGGTAGGCCAAAAGGTAAATTACTGACCATAAATTCCAACCAACCAAATTTCTGATTAAGCTTCTAAATTCTAATTAACTGGAAACAGCATCAAGAGGTTTAATAACTTAACTTGCAATTATGATTTGGTCCCTAAAAAACAACTTTATGTGAAATGCAAGAAATCATGGGAATGAACCTCGTTATTTCTCAATAAATCTTGTTTCTAAAGATACATTCATCCACCTAAACAAGGAAAAACGACATGGCAGCCATTGCTCTAACACCCTTTAAAATGGTGCGGTGGGGAGTCATACGTGACTGAAACAAGGCCGAGCAATTACCAAAAGAAAAAAAAAAACAGATAGATCGAGAGAGAAAGAGAAAGAGAGAGAAGGAGAAAAAGAAATAGAAAAGGAGAGAAAATGGACTCCACGTTTGCGATTCGAGTTTTAGTTCTTGTTGCATTACTCTTTCCTGTTCTTGTCGACTGTGATGTTCGACACTACCAGTTTGATGTAAGTGCATTACTTAATTGTCGACCAAAATGCGTTTGTTTGGAACCACTAGATTGAAAAACATGGTCTACACTCTGCAGCAAAGTGTTGAAGCACGAAGCTGCAGCAAAGAAAGAAAGGGATAAAGATTAATGGTCTCATTTAATATGAGAACCTTTTTCTTTATTGAAATGCTTGATTTTTCACATGAAGTATCTTTTCATTATTTGATGTTTGCTTGCCTCATACGTACCCAATTTTTTTTCACGTAAAACAAGTGGTTCTGTTCCAGTTGCAACTGTTTTTTTTCCCTTTTTTGTAGTTCTGTACTAAATTTTAGAACAAGCAATAATCATTTCTACCTAGGAAATTTAGTCCCAACACCCACTTCAAAAAAATTAAAAAAATAAAAAAGTACAAAATTTATGGTACATGACTGTACAATCTTAAAACTGTCATCAACATAGTTATTTAGAAATTAAACTTCGTATTAAGTGAGTTTGCGGTGTTGGTAACAAGCGCAGGTGGTAATGAAGAATACAACTAGATTATGTTCAAGCAAACCAATTGTTACCGTCAATGGTAAGTTCCCAGGACCAACTTTGTACGCCAGGGAAGACGATACAGTGCTTGTGAACGTCATCAACCATGTCAAATACAATGTTTCCATACACTGGTGATCCCCAAATCCCTGTTTTTATCCGCGCTAAATAACTATTCACGAATATACCTGCAAAAATCAAACACAGAATGGACCCTTTCTCATTTGTTGTTCACTTAATTCTGCAGGCATGGTATCAGGCAACTTCGAACAGGTTGGGCGGATGGGCCAGCATATATTACACAGTGTCCAATCCCAACAGGGCAAAGCTATGTATATAACTTTACCATCACAGGTCAAAGAGGCACACTGCTTTGGCATGCGCATATTCTCTGGCTAAGGTCCACGGTCCATGGCGCCATTGTTATCTTGCCTAAACACGGTGTGCCTTATCCATTTCCGAAACCCCATAAGGAAGCAGTTGTTATATTAGGTGAGCTAAAATTTTAATTCATTGATGTTCCCTCCTACCAGTGGTTAGGACCAAAATTTTTGTGGTCGGCTTAATTCTCAAACTTGCACAAGTTGGAGTTAATCTAACTCGATCGATTACTGCCAGCTGAGTGGTGGAAATCCGACACTGAAGCTGTGATCAATGAAGCTATCAAGTCCGGATTGGCTCCAAACGTCTCAGACGCTCACACCATAAATGGTCATCCAGGACAGGTCTCCAGTTGTCCTTCACAGGGTACGTCCCTCCCCTTTCTCTTGTCTTCGACTGAGAAATTTTGTTTAAAAATAAGATCTTTGATATAGAATTGTTACAATCTTATCCAGGAGGTTTCACATTGCCAGTTGAAAATGGCAAGACCTATCTGCTACGCCTAATCAATGCTGCACTTAATGAAGAGCTTTTCTTCAAGATTGCTGGGCACAAGATCACTGTTGTGGAAGTTGACGCCACATATGTTAAACCGTTCAAAACTGATTCAGTTTTAATTGCCCCAGGCCAAACCACCAATGTCCTTGTCTCTGCTGATCAAAATTCTGGCAAGTACTTGGTTACAGCCTCCCCTTTTATGGACGCTCCAATTGCAGTGGATAACCTGACTGCAACAGCGACCTTGCACTACTCAGGCACACTTGCCAACACCCCCACAACTCTCACTACTCCACCACCACAGAATGCCACACCAGTTGCCAACAACTTTGTAAACTCTCTTCGTGCCCTCAATTCCAAACAATACCCAGCCTTAGTCCCACAAACTATTCATCACAATCTCTTTTTCACAGTTGGACTGGGGATTAATCCCTGTCCTACTTGCAAAGCCGGTAACGGCAGCCGCGTGGTAGCTTCTATTAATAATGTGACATTCATTATGCCTACTACAGCCTTGCTTCAAGCACATTTCTTCAACATCAGTGGGGTTTTCACTACTGATTTTCCTGGTAACCCGCCGCACGTGTTTAATTACTCTGGAACTCCACCAACAAATTTGCAGACAACAAATGGGACAAAGGCTTTCAGGCTGGCTTATAACTCTACAGTACAACTTGTTTTGCAAGATACTGGGATCATAGCCCCAGAGAACCACCCAGTCCACTTACATGGATTTAATTTCTTCGCCGTTGGTAGGGGAGTTGGAAACTATAATCCAAAGACAGATCCTCAGAAATTTAATCTTGTCGATCCTGTAGAGAGGAACACAATTGGGGTACCATCTGGTGGATGGGTAGCTATCAGATTCCGTGCAGATAACCCCGGTACATTAACAATATTCTGATACCATTATAATCCCACGTTTTTAATCCATGAACTTCTCTCTGATCCCCATTTCCTTTCTGAATTTTCAGGAGTTTGGTTCATGCACTGCCATTTGGAAGTGCATACAACATGGGGGCTTAAGATGGCATTCTTGGTGGACAATGGAAAAGGTCCTAATCAGTCACTTCTTCCTCCTCCAAGCGATCTTCCAAAATGTTAAACAAGGCAACTGTCGATCCGAACACCGAGATTTCCAGATCGAAAGAGATCTGGAATGATGAAGAGATTCCAACATGGGGGCTTAATAAGCAAAGCGATAGTTGAGATTGAATTTGTTTCTTGAGTAAATGAAAGAATTTACTCAAGCGTGTTTGAATAACATTTGTATAAGCTTTTTTTCTTGAATAAATCGCAAATTTATTCAAATTCAAACATCTAAAAAGGAACAAAAACAAGGTAGCCACTAGCGAGTGTCTAGAAAGATCGTTTAAGCGTCAGGTTACTGAAAATTGAAATACAAATGCACCTTTTGGTTTTCAATTTTATAGAATCCTGCAACTAGAGAATTTAGGAGTAATGATCTTCCGGAGCCCATATTTTCTCATAGGCTATTCAACTATTCTGTTATTAATATTTGTATTGAATTTGATTTTTGCCCCAAGAATAATGATTATAAGTTGGCGAGAATTGTGTTTTTTTATGATTCAATCAAACTGACTGCCCAATTAGTTGAAGTTTACAAGCGAAGATGTACAAATTCATGGAGAAAAATTGACACTGATGAACACTGTTGGATTGGTTACTCAATTCATCCAGGGCATTTTTAAATGTGGGGTTTTTTTACTGGATAGAATAGTTAAATTAATTGTCAATATATTTTCTCATTTAACATGGGCAACGAGGTATTTGAAAATTATTTTCCCTGGAACCTAGAGAACTAAGAATCTTCCCAGTTCCCATTAACGGAATCCTTATGCATGAAGCTTATTATAACATGGAGATCCTGGAAATTGTTGAATCAGAAGATAACATTGTGGAAGAAGACCAATTCTCAATCTGTAATTAACAACTTATCCAACAGTTTCTAGGGTTTTCTTTATGCGTGATATTATCAAGGTTTTAGGCTACTTACAATTGTGAACCTCTTTTTGTCTCTTTTAGGTTAGAAAGTTGCCATAGCCTCGGCCTTGGGGTAGGCCTCTATCTTAAAATGTTCATTTGAAAAGCCCATTTGTCAGCAATATTCAAGGCCCACATAGGGAATAAAGGTAGGATAATGGCTTGTTTACTTCAAGCTCAATGTTCACATCTTTTTCCTCCCACTTAGTACTACTGGGCCTGCTGGACTTAAAAATAACTAAATTCTAGCTTTGGATTTTCAGCTGTCGATTATTAGTAAATCATCACTGCTTTGAGTGGTGCCTGCCTTAGTGGGAGGAAATAGGATGGGACTTTTGATGTTGACCCCCATCGGCTCAATTATTTAGCTGTCGATTTCTACTTCAAAAAGGCTTTGTCTGCTTTTATGAATTTCATCAGTTTTTATCAAATGGAATGACAACAAAACCCCTCAAGTGTGACTGATGCTTTCCTACATTACTTTCGTATTTTTTTAACAATCTGTTGTGTTGGCAACGTTTAATTGCACATAAATTTAAGCATTGCCATGGATAATTGAGCTTTCAGTAAAGAAATAACCCTGCCAGCCTGACTCTGATCGGGAAATGGGGGACCAATCTGTGGGTTATATTTATCAGAGACCCGGGACCAATCTACCAAGTTCAGGCAGGAATCAGGATTCCGCCCTAAATATTTTGACCTTTCAGAACTTTTAACCCTAATAACAACAGGTAATAATTGTAAACTCAAATCCTACCCCTTTAATCTTGGATTTCCTGAAGTAGAAACCTCATCTTATTCACTTGGATAATCTCACAAACTCTTTACTTTCTTCTTTCATCATTAATTCTTCTATTGAATGCTATAGCTGAATTACAGAAACCCAGCCTTTGGCTCATTTTAAGCTAATTCAGATCCCATGTAATTGTATTCTAAATGTTTATAAATATATCTTCAATCATTTTATTTTTCATTTCCAAAAAAGAATTAAAATTAATTTTTTGCATAAAAAATATCTACATTTATCATTCAGTCAAAATTACCAATCTTATTAAAAATCTTCCGCATGAAAAGTGCTAAAAAAAAAATAGAATAAATAGAATTTATGAAAATGAAAAAACAAAGAGAAAAAGTAATCCACATACCAAATTTGTACAACATTATTTTAATAAAGAAGAGGAATCTTTCCATAAGTGGATAGACTCCTACTTTGTTTAAGCAGTCATTATCATTTCCAACAGCCCCATATTAAACCCTTCAGAGGGAAAAGGGTCTCAAAGTGGAAGACAATAACTTTGGGAATTTTTTTAATTAAAAAAATTGATTAAAAATGACAGTTCAGTTGTAGGGTATCTTATGCCCATGTGTGTTCTTCCACTATATTTGTAATCAAGTGATTTTTTTATTATTATTAAAACGATTTGAATATTTATTTTAGTGAGTTGTGCATAATTTTTTTATTTAAAAAAGTAAATTTTGAATCTTTATTTTTCAGATAACAACAAAAATTTCATTAACTCGATATAACGATTTGGGTAATAAATTGTTCCAATTTCTATAGTTTTAGACCAAATTTGTTTTAAAAAACTCAGATTCAACTATTAGTTTGAGTATTTATTATTTAGTTGTAAAATTAAAATGCTGGTATTTCAATTTGCAAGGCTAGAATAGATGAAGTTGGATGTGTGTGAAAGAGACTATCATCAATGAAGGGAGGGAAAGCCTATCCAAGTCATTCACTTGTCAATTAATATTTAATGGAGTATTAATTTGCACACAAACGCATCTGTATTTCAACTCTTTTGAGGTGAGTTTGTAAATAAATTAATCAAAAGCTGTAAATTGAAGTAAGCACAAACATTTCTCTCTACTTTGATAATATATCAAACAAATGAAGCAATACCCATTCATTTATTGATTGAATACAAAAAATCGGGGAATATTAAACAAATAAACACCAATTTACCAAACTTTACAGCTACCAAATTATTCTTGCTTGTTTTTTGGCCAGATTTCAGATTTTATTTACAAGTAATTATGACAATCTTACTATTACCTTAGTCTTGATAATAGTCTTTTATGTACAAAGGAGAATCTTCCTTAATAATTTTTTTTGTCAAATTTTTTCCATTAGCTATGATTAATTTGCAGGTTATTTGGAGATTAACAGCCCTAATTGTTACTTTAGAGAATTGCTAGGGAGCATCTGATCAGTGGGGTATCCCCATTAGCTATGGAACATTCTCCAAGCAGATTCTATGTCCTTTTTTTTTTTTTTTTTTCTTTTGTTTCCTTTTCATCCTCTTTTGAAAATGCTCCTTCTTTTGTCTAATGAGACCCAATAATTTTGACAATCTTTTTTTTTTTTTTTTATTTTGCTTTTTAGATCAATGGATTCACATTTGTTTTGGATTATTTGAATGGATGACAAAATAGAATATTATAGTGATTTGATTAAAATTAGTACTCAAAAATATGTTTCGATGTAAATTAACAATGATAATAAGATTAAAATAATAATTAATTATCCCACAAAAATAATTAACTACCATAATAAAAAAAATTATCTTCATATTCATAAATTATATATATATTCAACTCAATAATTTTGAAAAAAAAATTCATATCCAACAAATGTAAAATGAGTGGAAAAATAATTTAGAAGATGGTGTGCTCTTCCTAATTGAATTACTCAGCCTAGCTAGCTATTTTTGACATTATGGCTAATTTGATGAATTTTGGTATGAAAATGATTTCCTTTTAGGTCTTTATGTCTGGCCATTTACGTGTGGCATTTTGGGTAAGATAAAGCTTTGGGTTCTGCCATGTTTCACCTTTTCTACTTTTCACTTTTATTTATCTCCTTGAGCAATTCCTTTTTTTTTTTTTTTTTAAAGTAGAACTTTTCATTCAAAACAATCCTTTTCTTTTAATCACCACAAAAATTTAAGAAGATCCGACCATGATTTTCATAAACATATGTAATAGTTTTTTTTAATGGAGGTTTATGCTTTAGCCTAATCTTACATTAATCTGATAATTAAATTGGAAGATTAATTATATTTTGCACATATAGGAACATATAAAATCATACTAAAATTTTCCAAAATTAGTATTACCCTAATCTAAAAGCATTAAATGTGAGTTGCCTAAGTGAAATCAAACAATAATAGGCATCATAAATTTGCAGCTGTCCATGCTAACACATACCTATGTCAAAGCATTGCTTTTTTTTTTTTTTTTGGGCTCATTCTCGTAATGAACCTTTCTTCACCCATTAATCAATCTAGTCTCATCTTCACTGGTATAATAATAGATTATCAAAAGCGCTTTTTTTTTTTTTCATACAAAATTAAAAAACTAATATTAATCTGCTACATAAAATATGAGAGAGGTAAGCTACAACAAATTGATTTTGTTGGTTTATATATATATATATATATATATCCCAATTTTTACAAAGAACTTTTTGTATATTATTGATATTTAAAAAAAATTATTTGGATTTTTTTTTTTACCAGAGAATGAAAAGGATGGAAAGGCACATATAATATATAAACAAATAAAAATCATTGACCAAAATCCATGCATGTGAATTGCTTCTTCTTACGTACAATGATGGGAGTAACAGGTACAGTACGATTTAGCAAAGCAATCGAGATTATGAGATCTTTGAAGTTATAAGATTACAATTTATTACACTTAGTTAAACATAAATAAACAAAAACTTCAATTTTATGGGATCTTATATCATAGTTTTTTTTTTTTTTTAAATAAATTATAGCATTTTAAATCTATATGTGAATATACGTACGTGGGTGCCCGTATAAAATTCGATGTGCTCAAAGCTTTTGAAACTGAAATTACAATAAAACCACTATCAAATTTCAATGACAAAGAGACAAACATCTCACGTGCTACAGCTAAATGTCAACAGTCAGCACCATTGGCCATGTTGGTCTCTTCTTCAGATAAAATGACCAGAAAACCCAACACCCACTTCCATCCCCCAACCAAGCCATTGGCACATTGTCTTTGTCCCTTTCATTGTCTCACTTCTGATTGGCCATCACTTTCAGCATAATATTTAGAAAAAGAGCCTTGCTTTGGCGGCAGCAGAAGCGCCCACAATCTCCTTTTTCACCAATCACAGCTTAGCTGCTTTGACCTCTCTTTTTCTGTCTGCCCTCACCCTGCTTATTCTCTGTTTCATAGATATACAGTCAGTACAAAAGAGTTGGCATATTTCTATTCATTTCTTTCGCGCACTCTCTCTTTGTTCTCTTTGCTTTTGCTTTACCCTCTAAATGGATATTAAAAGCAAAGAAAAAAAAGCATAAGATTTCCCCACTTTTAGCACTCTAATTCTCTAGAAGTTCTATGTTCTTCCTCTGTTTTAGCTCCTTCATGGATTTACAGTGTTTTCCAGCTTTAAGTCTTTTAATCTATGATTTGGGTTTTTGAATTTGGAGCTGTATATTGGGTTTCTTGTTTTAACTTGTTGTTGTTGTTGTTGTTGTTGTACGTGATTTTGGATCTGCCATGGATGTCTAGGGGTTTTCATCTATACATCAAGATCTGCTTTTTAATTTTAATTTTAATTTTTCTTACTGCTTCATAAATTTTCCTTGGGTTTTGGAAAGTTGTGCTTTTTGAGATTCCTCAATTTAATCTTTATGTGAAAAAGGGTACTCGGATTCCATAATGCTTTCATGATTTGATACTTCTTTGGTCATTTAAAACAGTCACTTCTCTGCATTTTTCTACCTTGGTTTTTCTCTCTCTTTGAACATTTCATTCAAAGAGGGAGAAAAGCAAAAGCTTTTTCTCTCTGTGTGTGTGTGTGTGTGTACGGGCAAATCATCTGTGGCAGTTACATAACTAGAAAAAAAAATTATGATGAATAGGGGCCTTGAAATTCTCTCTCCAGGCTCTTATTTACAGACTTCCAATTGGTTGTTTCAAGAGAGCAAAGGTACTAAATGGACTCCTGAAGAGAACAAGTGTTTTGAAAATGCTCTGGCTTTATATGACAAAGACACCCCTGACCGATGGTTTAAGGTGGCAGCTATGATTCCAGGAAAAACAGTTGGAGATGTGATCAAACAGTACAGAGAATTGGAAGAGGATGTTAGTGATATAGAGGCGGGGCTGATACCAATTCCTGGATATAGCAGTGATTCTTTTACATTGGAGTGGGTTAATGATAGTCATGGCTTTGATGGATTTAGGCAGTATTACACTACAGGTGGAAAAAGAGGGACAGGGACTCGACCTTCTGATCAAGAAAGGAAGAAAGGGGTGCCATGGACTGAGGAAGAACACAGGTAATTGCTCGCCTTTGTTGATAATTTATATCTTTGACGATTCGATAAATATCTTTAGATATCAAGTTATCGTTGGTTTAACATGTAAATATTTGTGGAGTTAAAACCTGTAATCGGAGATTCCGAGTATGCTTTTCTGTTAAAGATTGATAATCTGGATATTCAAGATGGAAGTCGATGGATGTAAATGTTGGTTTGGTTTTAGAGATAAACAACCTGGAAAATATAATAGGAATGGGCTTTCCTAATTGATCTTATGAATGTTGACAATGTGGTTGGTAGACACTATGCACGTTTGGTTTGTGGATGTATGATGTCTCCTTTATTGCCTGTGCAATTCTGTACTTTCAATGGTTTAGCACCTCATGATGTTTATTTGATGATTAATGACAGGCAATTTCTAATGGGTCTTAAAAAGTATGGTAAAGGAGATTGGAGAAATATTTCACGCAATTTCGTGACGACTAGAACACCAACTCAGGTGGCAAGTCATGCTCAAAAATACTTCATCAGGCAACTCACTGGAGGGAAGGATAAGAGGAGGTCCAGTATCCATGATATTACAACAGTTAACATCCCTGATACCCCGTCTTCTTCACCAGATCATAGCAGGCCTTTGTGTCCTAATAATTCTTCTGCAGTCGTACAGCCACAGCAGCAGCTAAAAGTGGCCGGGGTAACTAAAGAGCTATTTGATTTTGAGTGGAAGCAACAAAATGAAGGAGCAGCTATGGTTTTCAACCAGACGAGTGGCAATGCCTTCCTGTCCCCTTTCTGTGGGGTTTCTTCACATGCACCCAAGCTGGAGGAACAAAATTTGCTAAGAGGACCTCTTCCCAGATCTCAATTTGGATCTTATAACACTCTTTTTCCAATGCAGTCAATGCAACGTCCCTAAATTCATTGATGAAGTGGGAAGAGTTTCTTGAGGTATTATAATATTAATTAATATGATGAAATCAAGCCTAACAGTGATGTTAGCTAGCTTTGTCCAAGCCACGTGTATATCTTGAAGATGCAATTAGTCCATATTTATCACTCTAAAGAGCTATCAGTCAGGTGGTTTTGTGATTTATCATTCAAACTCTGGATCATTGAACCAAAGGAAGCTTATTTACATGAAGCTTGAGCTTTTTCATTAATTCTAATGTATTATCTGTCTGTTGTCACCAATTATTCTTAGATTGATTGCGTTTGTTCTATAGATACCGCCATGTGGGTCAGAGTACTCTGCAAAATGACAGACTCTACTATATAGGCTTTAAACTTGATAATAGACCAATAATTCAGATGTCCTTGCTTCAACTGTGATGTTGTGCACCTTGATTTCACATCATGGACAAGGTGAATAAATCAAAGGATATTCTTTCGTCTTTTAGCCACAAGCCTTTATCTTCTTGTTGCTTATGAATTGCAACAAAAAAAAAAAGGGGGGTTGGGGGAGGGCTGGAGCTGGACCGGGTAAGAATATATTATGAAACTGTAAGGGAATATCCAAAAGTCTTCTATGCTCCTAGGCGAACTTATTTTGTGGTTTACATGTATGCATAACCAAAGTGGAAGCAGTTGATTTGAACAATATGCGTTGTCAACTGTTGCTTAGTCCGACTCATTATGCCCTTTTAGCAAATTCCTTCTTGCCAAAGAAAAAAAAAAAAGGGTTAATGGTAGTTTAATTAGTTGATTGATCTTGATAATAGAATCTTGACTGAAGCGCAGACTAAGAGCCACTGATTTAAGCATCTCATTCTTCATTTCACCTTTCTTTCTTCTCTTTGATCCTTTCATGAGGATGAGACGGTCTGTTTTTTTCTTTGCTCGAAGGTTTCTGTACTCCAAAACCAGACGATTGTGATTAAATGGATGTATTAGTCAGTCATGAGTAAAAATCAAAATAAACTATCCACGTTTTCTTCTTCTGTTCCTTTGGTTGCTTAAGATAATTCCATCTTTCTAAACTGACTGACCATTTTGCCAAAAGACTCCTGATTCTTCAACCCCCCTTTTATGGTCATTGATTCTTCAAACCCCTTTTAATGGTCAAAATAAAACATCCATTTTCCTATTGTTCAGGATGGACCTCAAAGATTCCTGCAAAAGATGGTTGGGAAAATATAGTAGCATCATGTCTTTTCTTTTTGGTTAGTGCTGAGAGGAATCCTGACGTTTAGTCATCTAATATTAACACTATGGAACTAGAATTCTAAGAAAAAAAAATCTGAAGCCCATTTGATTTTACCTTTTTTCTCGATGAAAATGACAAACAAAGGGCTTGTGCTAATGCCCAAAATGGGTTATTCAAATGTTGTTGAGAAATGAACAGCAAATATACTCGTTTAGTTACTATTCGGGAAAAAAAAAAAAACCTTGATCAAACTAAAACAATCCCATAAAATAGAAAAGGGAAATGAACGTTTCTTTACGATTACTAATAATTTTCCTTGAGCTGCTGTTCCATCTGGCAGGCTCCATTTTTTTGTTGCTTCTTTCCCGCTTGTTGCTGTCACTAATTTGTTGTTGTTGTTGTTGTCGCTCCACCAACCTTCATGAAAAGCCCGTTGCCCACCATATTGCTTGCTCAATGCACATATGATTTTCGGCCCCACCCACTAGACAAACAATTCAAGGGCAACATGGAGCAATATATAAAGTACAATAAATTTTTCCTCTGATCAATGACAAAACTGTCCACTTCTTTTTTTAAAAGGATCGCTGTTCTGCAAGTTGCATAGGAAAAGCACTTTGGCTGCCCCCCGCCCCCACCTTAGTCCTTTAGGTCGTTTTGAGACCGCACAGATCCCAGCTCACACCTCATTCTTTAACTCTTCTTCTCTTCTCTGTTCTTTTTGCCCCTCAAAATTGAAAATTCTGTTTCTCCTCCTCAATGCTTTCAATTGATAGATCCTTCTTCCCACCCCCTTGGTGCATCATTGTAGGGCCAAAGGTGCCAGAGAATAATCCCTTGTGGCTGCATTTGATACAAATTATAGAAGGGAAATAAAAGAAGACAGAAAGTGGAACATTTTTTTAAAAAAAGAATCCACCCCAACCAATCAACTAATAAAAAAAATACTACTCGCCAAGAACTAAAAAAATTTTTTTTTTGCTTGTTGCACATTTTTGTGTCCAAAAAGGTGAATCATCAAACAGGTTCTACCTAAGCATGCCTATATGCTGGAATTACATATTAGATGCAAGGAAACGTGGCATGTTGCATTAGCTACAGGAATTACTGTTCCTTTTATGTCTTTCTTTTATTAACAATTTGGAAAACTCCCGTTCTACTTATGCTATTTTTCATCCAAATGCAAATCCCCAACAATGACTCAATCTCACCTTTACCATTATTTTTAATCTCGTTGGCCGTCCAAATGAACTATAATCATCTATTTTCAACCCTTAGTGACCCAGTCTGCTACCTGTTGAAGCTCAAATCTCATTGTTTTCACCATCTTGTCCTTTGCCAACTAGCATTTGTCTTCCCTAACACACGTAGTTTAGAATTATGGCTAGTTTTTTAAAGTAGCTCATGAATCAGTAGATGCCAGCAACAAAAAATAAGCATTAGCTGAAACAGAACAACATCAATGCAGTAATTTTGAAGGTTCCTTCTCCGAAAATGGTTCGAGAATTCAAAACAAAATAAAAATATATTATTCCAGGAATAAATCATCTACTTCCCATGCTGGCAATGTTCTGGACAAAAAAATATCCTGGTAATACATTCACAATTACAATTGAAATGAACTAATTATAATGATGAAAACGACAAAGAGTTCCATCTATAACCTGTCACCTTCAGATGTCGGTTCTAATCCTCATTATTGCAACCAAGATATACTCCACCCTTACCCTAAAAACTGTTTAATGCATAGGACAAGCAGTTGGATTTTGAGCTCAGGATATCAATGGACTTCATTCTTTGTCACTTCTTTATTTGTGAAGTGTGAGTGGTGACAGTTGTGAAGACAGCATTTATTTGTCACTTCTTTTTTCAACCGTCAATCAAAGCAAATTAGTGGGCGTAGACTGGCGAACTGCAAATCATGGCGTTCTCCAAGTCGTTGTCCTGTTACAAAATGCTTTTAGCTTTATTGTAGACATATAATGAACTGATGTGACTTGTTTTACTGTAAATATTACTTGAATGTCAAGAAAAACATCCTGTTTGGTTGTTTAGAATCACTTGGATATATGAAAATCTAAAAGTATATAATAATTATGAGATGGGCATGATTGAATTGCTGATACGCAGTGGAATCGTGGGTTGCTCTTTGATTCTGAACTCAGGGCCAAAACTTACAGAAAACGAGAATGCTCGCCAGAAGTATACAGGGTAATATCGTCTCGAAACGTAGGTGGAATCACGTCTTTCAGGCAGGCTTAATCAAAGGTGTTAGACTAGAGCTCTAGAACGCTAGAAGCAGAAGCTACCTCCGGTTACGATATGATTCCGCTAGGGGAAGGTAACGGTCCTCTTATTCCGAGTGTGGGCTGGGCTGCCTGTTGGGTGGATGACTTCAAGTTTTATTGGATTACTTGAAGGACCCAATCGTCTGTACAAATTAGGGCCTAAACAATGGAAATGGTATGTTAAATATATATTTTAAAAATCCCTGATGGAGACTCCATCTCTCTATTTCTTTTAATCATAACAATTGGAAATTTCATTAATCTATACAAAACATGAGACTTCACCATTTGTTTAATAAAGAATTTGGTATTCATTCACCTAAATATATAGCTCATAAATAAAAAAGGAGTCTTTTACAATGACAAAAGTCAACACTTATAGTAGTATTAGTGTTATAAGATTATGAGAATAATTCTCTGATAATGAAATTTAAAGATTTTATATATATATATATATATATATATAAAAGGTCAGAGATGTGCAAGCAGTTCAATATTATATATATATATATATGTTAATTAAGAATTAGCTAATGATTGTATTATAACCAAATGAATGAAATAAAAGATTAAAAAAAAATAAAGAAAACCAAAACAAGTGATGAAATGCCCATAGTACCAAGTGCATGTACAAGAGATTATCCTCCTGGGTTTAGATGTATTATTTGCTTATGATGTAACATCCTAATCACTTATTAATTACAAACACACCAACATTTATATATTTATATATATATATATTTAACTTCATTCATTTAATTATTTAAAAGGAAAAAAAACTTCATTCATTTACTAAGAATGTAGTTTTGACAAAATCATATTAATCAAGTTGGTTCAATTACTTTAAGAGATAACATTTCTTCTATCTTCATATGATAGTCTTTTTTTGTAAAAGAAAAAATTAATAAAACGACAAACAAGTTAAAATCATAACCATTCCCCTGATAACAAATATCTTTGATTTGTAGTCATGAACTGATAATACATATTTTTAAATCATATATAGTATACATATGTGTAGATTCCGTCCAAAGGATTGCTATCATATATATATATATATATATATATATATGATAGCAATCCTTTGGACTGAATCTACACGTATGTATATATGTCCATGTTTTCCTAATCGAATTAGCTAGCTGTCTTTTAATTAAGATCACTTCAGCGCTTTCTGTGTTGTGCTCGATCGATTTGTACTCATCCTCTTCCTTAGGATAATGTATTGCCCTATTTTGCATTATAAATAATTTGTTTTCTTCGTTTTCTATTTTTTTGGATGCAAAAAATAATAATAAGAGGCATTTAGTGCATGTGTAAACCTTAATATTTGTGAGTGTCTATAACTTTTGTAACTTGTAATAATTTTGATGATATTCCTATTTTATTTTAAATTTATTATAATTGTGACATGAAAATGAAATGGATAGATTAAAGGACACAGAGGGCTCCATTAATCTATATCTATATTTATGATATATATATATATATATATATAAATATGGATGTTGAAAAATTTTTGGACGGACAAAAATGGACGTGATTAATTGTTCACTAAATTTTTAATTTTTTATTTTAAATACTTTTTATTAATAAGATTTATCTAATTTATAAGTAAAAAACTTAATTTCATTGAAAGACTTTCTTTAAATGAATTGATTTGATAATAAATAAAAAAGAGTTAAAATTTTACATTATATTTAATTTTTTATTAATCTTAAAAAATAAATAACTTTATTTGATAAATAAGAAAATTTAAATTTTATATTAAATTTTTTATCTTCAAATATAATTTTATTTATACATTAATATTAAAAATAATAAATTGCATTTAGTTTAATATAATTTACATACGAAATAAACTTTACATGTTAATACAAATTTTGATTAATATACAATTTATTAGTTTTATTTATTTATAAAATATAATTATATTTAAA